CATCTTTTTGGAAAGAAACATCTTCAGAAGATTCGTTGCCCGATATAGTTCCTGATGGCACATCAACATCGACAAACTTATCGGTATTAGCCTTGGGTATTCTATCAGGAGAACCGTTAGGAGTTTTAAAATCTTCCGGACCACCAGAAAAGCTTCTTGCTCTTCTATCATATCCTTGAGATTTTGCCACAATGCTTTCAGTCCCACCTTGTCCAGCATTGGTGACACCAGTGCCAGTAGTAGAGGCTGCCAAGACCCCTTCCGACCTTCCTGGTGTTGGCTTCGTGAAAGCTTTAGACTCACCTGTGAACTGATCGATGACATCTAAGTCTAATTCATAAATCATTGTTCCGACATCCTCACCAGTGTAATCGTCATACGCTTCAAAATCAGAGGGATCACTAACAACATAATCGTTCTTATCTCCTCCCATTATGATGATTTTATTATATCTAGGCAAATAAGTCATTGTATGACCACACCTTGAGCCTGGTCCATTAATCTCACCCTCTTCAGTCAACTTAGACCAGACTAAGGTATGTAAGTCTAAAACATGTAAAGAATTGTAAATTATCCCACTAAAGTCATTACCACCATAAATATAAAGTTTTTCATTAACAATACAACTTGAGTGCTCATTAACGGGTAATGGAACAGCGCCAGTAGTTTCAATCTGTGACCATTTGTTACTTAGAGCATCAAAACACCATAAATCATTAGATACTTTTTCATTATTATAGACTCCACCAAAGACATAAATTTTATTCTTATAAACCGACATCGAATGGTTAGCCAAAGGTGGGGGCTTAAAGTTGTGTAATGGCTCCACCAAGTCCCATCTTGCTTTTGGGCTCTTAAAAGTATTTAATTCGAAAAAGTATAGATCATTGAAGACATCTTGCTCTAACTGGCCACCAAATAAATAAAGCCTAGATGATGAACTATTTAACGAAAGGGCACCAATAGTGTGGCCATATCTTCCATTTGGTTTGTTTAATATATGGCTAGGAATAGTATATTTGTTATTATTGGTGTTAAACAAGTAGAAATTATTATCTGGGAAACCATTAAAATCCGTATCAACGGTATCGCCACCAAATATAATAAAAGCATTACCACACAATACGCCGGAATGACCAACTCTTGCCGGTGGATTATTAAGATTGATAATTTCTATGTTCTTAGCAATAAACGTATTGATTTCCCCGTCATCTGACTCTTGAGGGACAATTTTCCAAGTATCACCAAAAACAGCCCCTTCTTTCAATCCACCCATCAAAAATATCTCAGACTTTTCACTGGAGATAGAAGCAGCAGCATGCCTATACCTGGGAAAAGGGGAATTGAATAATTTGTGCCTCTTCCAAGGAGATTTCCTCGTAGATGCTGCCACGGCTCGCTTATTTTTGATAGACATGTTCCTAGAAGCTAAGCCTGAGGCCAATGCTGAAGAATGACCACCACTACCTACGTCAACATCATAATTTTTAGTGCCTAAATCTGCCGTAGACCTGGGACGTCCTTCGAATTCACCTGTTGTCATGGTCGTGTCCGCTTTGTTATCTCTCTTCTTCTTACCGAACTTAAACCTTGCCATCGGTCTTTTTTCTCGTTACTTCGTTTCAATTCTGGCTTCCCACTCGTGCCTTATATAATAATAGGATGGACTCTCTTTTGATTTTTAGTGTTCTGCTAGCTTAGTGTTTTTACACAAAGGGTTGTTATATACATCAACTATTATACTTCATTACCGCATTAGGAAATTTTCAGCTGAACATTAAAAGATCCCCACCGAACGACCATAGATATCATTATTTGCCCGGCTGGGGCATCAGAGGGTCACCTGCATCCTACGACCAAGAATGGCAGGTGAGAAAAGCCGAAAGGCTTAAAGGCTCACAATGCTCCTCAAATAGATCGATCAGACATCAGTAGTAACTAAATAGGGAAATACCCCCGGCTTAGGGACTACTAGATCTATAAAGTGATTACTGAAATCTGCAAGACATATGGCAAAAAGAGCGGCGGGGGGCATTGAGACTCTTTACATGACAGTTCTTTGGAACCTAATGAGGTACAATAGATTAGTTTTCATTTGACTACGGAAAACGTTAAGCACAAGCAGAATACTTTGTTTATTAAGATGTACTGGATCAGGACGTTAAACAACCTTTGAGGCAAATTAGCTCGTATTTGTACTGTGAGAGAACTATAGTGCACTGTACCACGTATATCATGTAATTTCGCATAACCGACAGTATTTAAGATCAGTTGATACCTACATCACATTCTCTACCTCAATTACATTGTATATACTCTCTCATTTTGGAACCATCCTCGCTTCAAAAATACTTACTTCACAATCTTGGTGTACATACTTTTCACATCTATCCCAACTCTCCACTACCTGTCTCATAAGTTTCTCCTAACTCTTCATTATCCTCTTCAATAAGGAATTGATTTATACTAGTCCCTGTGTCGGGCTCACCCTTACAAAGCCTACACATTAGGGGATTCTAACCACTCTAACCAATAAGTAAATATCCCAGAGAGTACTACTTGGATATCACCAACGGGTTTGCGACTAAAGACACATATTCTACTTACTTTCGTCAGGTGGCCCCTTGCTATCTATGTCTTCCTTTTTCATGGTTTGCATAGTACCAGGTGAGTGTATCTTTTGGTTTCGGTTTCTCGCTATAGATGCGACGTGAACTCAAAATTAAATACGGAAACTTAAAACTATTGCATGCTAAATGTCATATGAACAACTTAGGCTAATCATGAAGGGGCCTGAGTCCTTGGATGAGGTGCCCCAAATGCTACAGTTAATTAATTCGTATAAAGAACAATTGGATGGACAAATTCTGGAAGACATCGAGCAATATAAACGTAATGTCGATCTTAATGAAGACCTACAAAGTTTACTACAACAATATCAAACAACTCGTACGAGGGCCGAGGAAACTAAATCAAAAGTGAACTCTATCACCAGTGCAATTCTGCATTTCGATCAATGCAAGAGGAACTTAGTACAATCAATGACTATTATAAAGAGGCTCCAGATGTTAATTAAAGCAAACGAGGAGCTAACAGTGGTTTTAGCGACCCATGACTACAAGAAAATATATCATTTCTTTACGGCAGTGAAAGATTTGCTAAACTTTTTCAAGCCCTATAAGTCAATTAGCGAAATTAATCAATTAAGTCTTTCTATTGGCAAAACTCAAAACAAATTGGTAGATGATATCTTTATCGATTTTGAAGAATATTCAATTAAAAGTCAAGCAAATGAGGACTTGCTATATGGTTGCTTGATTCTTGAATCCATCGACAATAAGTACAAGGACAAATTATTGAACTGGTTTTATAACCATCAATTGAAAGAAATTAAATCAATCTTCGAAGGCGAGGCTGGGTCATTGGAAAATTTAGATCGAAGATACGTTTATTTTAAAAACACATTAAAGGAAGTTCAGGATGTGTATTTAAAGGAATTTCCTCAAGAATGGTCTATTGATATCGAGTTGAGCAAAATTTTCTGTAACTATACTAAACAGGATCTCTCCGGTTTACTTAACAGCTCAATGGATTCAAAATTACTTCTTGACAGCCTTACAACTACCTTGGACTTCGAAAAGTATTTAAATAGCAAATTTGACACCAGCGATTTTGATCGTATAATTCTGAGAGTTTTTGAGCCTTTCATTTCAATTTGGATTAAAGAACAAGATAGATCTTTAGACGCCAAATTCTTAGAATTCATGTCGATACCGAAAATACCTCAAGAGTTCACCTCAACAAATAACTTGGACGAGTTGATTATTCTTTTGAAAGTGAATAATGTTCCTAACATTTCAAACTCCTCCGTTGAACTTTTCAGAACCTTTCAAAAAATTTTAGCTAGACTTTTGAAATTAAGTAATGGAGAAGCTTTGATTGAATTGTCAAAGGTCTTTACGAGATCTTTGTATCGATATAATGATAAAATATTATCACCCATTTTGCCAGCACAAGATGCTAATTTGACTGGTATTGAGCCCATCAAATATTTAACAATGTTAATTAATACTGGTGATTATGTTGTAAATAATATAAATGATTTAGAAGAAGTATTCAAAAATGTGATAGATAAGGAGTACAAGGATAAAATCGTTTTTGATCAGGTCCAAGAAGTATATTACCGATTGATTAGTAAATCAACCGATGCTCTTTTAACAAAGATTTCTAACGATTTGAAGTTCTCCTGGAGAGAGTTTTCGAACACAAACTGGACCAATATGGAATCTACAAGGGAAACATCAGTTTATATGAATGATATGATTAAGAGCTTGACAGATAATATTAAGATTATTCTTCCCTTAATTATACGTGACAGTTTTAGTAAAAACTTCTGCAATAGACTAGTCGAACTAATAGTCAACTTATTTTTGAATAACCTAAACCTTGCAAAGCCCTTAAGCTTGCTAAATATAGAACAGATTGAATCTGATATAAAGGTTCTAAAATCAAAAGTTGTCCAATTCCAGTTATACTCAAATCCGAACTATACTACTTCAAAGGATGAGCAGACACCTTCCAACTTGTACATAAAGTTCGTGAACACCCAATTCAGTAAACTTGATATCGTCTTGAAGCTTCTTACCACTCCAACTTTACCCGTTGATAATTTGGTCGAGAATTACTTTCTGCTCATTGGTGATAAATCAGTTAAGAACTTCAAGAAGATTTTGAGGTTGAAAAATATTGAGAAATCTCAACAGCAAAAATATATAGAGAGCTTCAAGCTTCAATTAACCATGGATAATGATCTTGTGGAAGAATCTCACATTCTTTCGGTAATACAAGATGAGCTGGAGAAAGAAGAGAAATTGGCGATTCTGATTCCCAAAAATCCCCTGACACCAGATACGAAATCCCCAAAACTTCTCACATCTAATATTAAATTAAACAACTTAAGAGACTTTGCATTAAGTGGCGAAAATAGATTGAATGAGAATTTCAGGACTTTCGGAAAGTTCTTTCGAAAGGATCATACTAGCGAAAAACCGTTGTGAAATATCAGTATTCGCACTTACATATATAAAGAGACATAATTAATTTTTTTTCTTATAATTCTTTGTAGTCAGCTATTTTACTATTCTTAATCGTCATGACAAAATTGGTGAAGATATGTGGCATTAGGACGAAAGAAGCAGCTTCTGTAGCTATAGAATCTGGGTCCGACCTTCTTGGTATAATATTAGTGCCAAATAAAAAAAGAACAATAGAATACACCGTAGCGAAAGAGATTTCTGAGTTAGTAAGATCACATAGGAAAATGTCAGTCAAAGATATACTAAGCTCGGTCAAAAAGAGAGATATTAAAGATTCCAATACCTTCTTTTCTAGTGTATCAGAATTGGTGAAGGAGAATGGTCCATATCTTGTCGGAGTATTCAGAAACCAGCCCGTAAGCGAGGTTTTCAAGATAGCTACAGAGCTCAGGCTTGACTTCATACAATTGCATGGTGATGAAGATAAGGGAGAATTTTTGGAATATAACAAAGAACTCAATTTTGGCATTATACCACGCTATGTTGTCCCTAGAGATGTCGATGTGATGAGGCGACTGTTTAGCACTTTAATTAACTCAAATGGATTTGCATTTCCTTTATTAGACTCAGAAGGAGGTGGCGATGGAAAAGTAATCGACTGGGGTATTTTAAGTGACTTGAGTTTTGGTAAATTTATATTAGCTGGGGGGTTGGCACCTTCGAATTTGAAAGAAACGGCAAATTTAGAAAATTTGATAGGCTACGATGTTAGTTCTGGGACAGAGGATATACAAGGCAATAAAGATCCACAAAAAATACGTGATTTTATTAAGATTGGAAAAACTATATAAACTATTAATCTGCTTGATCCCAATTTCCGGGCCTTTGTTGCTTTGGCATTTGGGGTCCTCCTGCTCTCTTAGCCATGATGATTTGATCAATAGACAATATTGTATTAGTTGCTTCGACGGCTAAATTTATCGCACCTTTCTTGGTTGATAATAAATCGAAAATTCCTGCTTCAGATACGTCAATTAAGCCATTATCAGTCTCTCCATTGATGTCAATACCAGTCCTCAAACCGCTTCCGTCAGTATTTGAATGCGAAGCATACAATTTACTCAAAAGTTCGCTTGCATCTAAACCTGAAGTCTCAGCCAATACCCTGGGAATAACCTCAAAACCCTTCGCAAAATTCTTAATAGCTAACTGCATCAATCCTGGTGTCTTTTCACCATATTGCGTTATCAATTTAACCAATTCAGTCTCTGTGGCACCAGCACCAGGTAACAATTTATTGTCTTTAATCAAACCTTTTATAGCATTAACACCATCATCAATAGATCTCTCGATATCATCCAAATTATTTTGAGTGGCACCTCTGATAACAATGGTAGATGTTCTTGAGATTGATTCGTCTTGTCTAAATATAGTCACTCTATCACCACCAATTTCCTTTGATTCAATCACATCGATACTACCCATTTCTTCAGGCATTGGAGCACCCAAGCGAGGAAGAGGTGTAGCACCGCAAACTTGACAAATTCTTCTTAAATCGAACTTGGAGGGCACTCTCAATACCAAGATCTCATGTTTATTGAAATAATGTAAAGCCAATTCACCAACATTTGTCCCTGCAACAACAACTTTAACTCCGGCGTCCTGAATTTCCTTACACATTTGATCCAACTGTTGCTCTTCGCCTTTCGAGAAATCTAACATTTCCTGTGCATTATGTAATAAAACAGTACCTTTAGTTTCTGTCGTAGAAATATCAATAGGACAAGTAAAAACTGCCACTTTTGACTTTTGCTTAACATTTTTTATATGTCCTTCGGGCTCTCTTGGAAAAACCATTCCTTTAACAACATCTGAACTAGACAAAGAAGAGCCCATAATTTTCACAACTCTAATAGAGTCAATATTGAATGAATTTGGGTTTTTTGGGTTAAGGATCAAATGTACTGCCTTTATAACAAGGTCAGTAATCAAATCTTCGTTCCCATACTGTTTGGCAGCAATCACTGGCTTGATCACCTTTTTTAATTCTCCTTGATCGAGGATTGATTCCACCTTTTCAACAACTAGCTTATCTAAAGTTTCAGACACAAAATTTTTTGCCAAATTATATCCCTGAATAATTTCGGGTATACTCAAACCCATTGTGATCAATTTTTCTGCTATATTCAAGAATTCCCCAGTCAAAATTATAACCAAGTTGGTATTGTCACCCATTTCAAACTCTTGCTGCTTTGATGCCATGATTAAAATTTTTACTGCGGGATGAACTATCTCTAGCTCATTCAACATTGTAGCGGCGTCATTAGTTATGAAAATTTTACCCAACTGATTCACTATAATTTTGTTTCTACCACTGGGCCCCATGGATGTCAAAAGGATAGATGATATTTCTCTAACAGCTTCAATATTTCTTATTACTGCCCCATCTGAATTAGAGTGAGACTGGTATCCAGGCTTAAAGAGTCCCGCATTTGGTGCTTGTGGTAACCTAAGAGACATTCTGAAGTATATAGCTTTGTTAGTCCTGGATTATTAGAAAAGTACTGATGTCTTTGTTGAAATAATGGCGTTTTCGACAAAAAAAAGCTGAGAGTTTGTGCAGGAAATCTTTTGTCAAAGAAGAACTAGAGTATAAAAGAAAATAACATTACGAAAAAAAATAGGCATCATATCAAATTCACGTCTACAATAGACAGCTATAATAGTCAAGGAATGTAGGATATTGATTTCTAGAGGAAAAAAATGCAAATGTGGAGCATATTAAGTTAAATATTTTAAATAAATAGTCTGGATCATTTCTTTGGCATTTTCGAGTCTAGCGATTCACTATTGATTTTGTCAACGTTCTCGCACGCTACGAGTTCGCGAAGTCCTTCAAGCTCATCTGTAGAGCCTGATTGAAAAAATGACGTTAGACTAGAGTTATAGATTGTAAAAAGTTTCTCGAAAACTTGGATTTTCGACATGTAACCTGATATCTCTTGTTCATAAGCTTGTACGGCATCCTCCAATTGCTTCTGTGCTTGTTTTTTTCTCTGACGACATTTAGAAGCTGCAATTCTATTACGTTCCAAGAGTCTCTCTTTTTTCCACGCTGCAGTTCCCGGGATCGGTCCATTGTTGGGGTTATATATTACTTCACTATTATAGATAAGCAGGTGATCAGGTGGCGGCACACCTGCAGCGCTTGTTAGCAGATCATCATCACTTGGTTGGACAGATGGAGAATAAGTGTTCTTACTACCATTTAATAGCACCGGCAGTGGGTTGTGGGAAGCTTCAGTTGAGTGAGCGATTACTTGTTTATGATTTTGATGATTTTGATGTCTGTTATTTGCACTTTGATTCGACACATGTGTTTCTGTTTCTATGAAATCGTCATTCCTGTGCTCTCCAGTGTCATGGTTTATGTTTTGCATGATTTGCCCTATCTGACCATTTGAAATCGAAAGACCTCTTCTTCTTGGAACACCATCATTATATCCCAACATCATTGTTGTGTCGAAAAGAGGCGGATTAGTCATTGGATAAGAGGTTATATCAAAAGGATCATGGAACGTTATGGACAGTCTTTTGTTACCATGGTGTACGTTACCTGCATTGGTTATAACCCCGCCAGGTGTTCCATTACTCGGTGGATTTCCAAGATTACCATTCATATTATTACCAACTTGGGAGGTGATACCGTTCACGTTATCCTGAATTGTATCAGGCTTTATGTTGTTAGGTGGGGAAGCAGAATTATCTACCATGTTGGTGTCTAGATTGTTAACTGCACTTCCCAACTCACCCATACCATTAAAAGAGTTGATTGGATTCAATCCAATCAGACTAGCAAGGTTACTGCCGTTTTTTATACCGTTCGCTTGTTCGTCGTAGCCACTTTTATCGTAGAAATTAGAGGTTCCATTCTGTACACGGGCAAGGTTATTACCATTAACCCCACTGAAAGCGCCATAACCATGACCTCCCGGTATATTTGAGCTGTTCACCTTTCCTATGCTACCGTTGACTTCTAAACCCGCTTGTCCCCCGGTAGGTTGAACTATATGTGCTGGATTAGCTAAGGCGTTTTTTGGATATGGGTGGGTAAAGTTTATCATGTTATTTTCATTTGTAGATATAGTACCATTTTCTTGTACGATTCCATTCAACTGGCCAGCCAGCAGGTCATAAATGTTTACGGAATTCGTAAAGTTCATCCTTGATATCACGGCTAAAATTGTGTCTCTTCTTCACAATGAGCTAATTTATCAGCAAAAAGTAGTTTTCAGTAGAAAATCACGTGGTGCAGAGATCCAGAAGCATCAGAGTACAATAGATGTCTCAGAATCATTATTATAACAAAGCGAAGTGCAGGTAAACCTGAAGAGTCCATTTGGTATGGAAGAGGACAATGACAACGCAATATATAAAAACATTGCAAATCTTCCCCCCATAAAGCAGTTGATTCAAATATTGAATTCTTCGAATACCACAAACAACCTTCTTCAAGTCTTAATAGAAAATGTGGACCATGAAGAAGTCAACCTAGAATTCATCATTGAAAATCAGAGAGGTATGAAATTCTTTGGTATTCCGTTGTTTTCGGAAGAGTCACTTGTACCTTTAATAGACCCTTCTAGTTATCAGACGCTCAAAGGTACTAATATGCTGCTTAGCTATAACGATCTTAACAATTACGCCTTACCTGACTTAGACTGGGAATGGTCATGGCCTAACTGGTATGTGCTTATGTTTGATGATGTTGATGATCAAGGATGGATATATTCGAAGATGTTTTTTAGTAATCGCCATTGGAAAGGCAAATACCATTTGGGCAATTTTGTACGGAGAAGAGTTTGGATTCGAATGAGAAATAAAAAAGTGCCAAAGGACGAAGATCTTAGATCACGAAGTCACATAGCAGATATAGAGAATGATTGTTTGGAGCTCGCCTAGGTTTTTATTCTTGAAGTTCGATTATTTTCATTTCAAATAATAGTTATTTAAATTTTTTTTGGCTCTCCCCCATCAGTCATTACCAGTATATATTGCAATGCAGAGGCCATTTTATCCTTTGTTTCTCTTAAAAACAAAGTATCAATGCTATTACAAATGTACATGAATAATCTTAACGAATGATGTTTATAGATTTGCACTATTCAAGTATATAATTGAAGAAAAGAATTTTGAATGGCTGCTCTGTTCGAGTAAACTGAGCTGTTACCGAACACATAACTTCTCAGTTTGTGTTACAGATGAAATATATAATAAATAGCTGATCATAAAATTTTGCAACACTTTTTACAACCATGATTAGTTCTATCGATTTACCCTTAGCGATATCGCTAGTCAAATTCAAGCATCAAATTGGAAATGATCAGAGTTTCAATGGTACGTCCTATAGAATTGTTGCAGTTACATTGATATATTAACATCGAAGACTTTATTTCTTCTGTTGTCTTAAAAAACATTGGAAGAAATGAGAAAACAAAATTGATCACAAGGAGGAGCAACAAGACAAGAAAAGGTAAGTTAATACAATCGGGAGTCAGAAAATCAGCTACTAGGAGTATGCCGCGAGCTTTCTTTTCATGTCTTGATGCGCTTGGAGTTAGAGATTATGAGGAAAGCACAACAAATTTCATTTCTTTAAATAAGCACATTCCAATTGCAAATTTGAAGGATTTGAACAACCTTCTTATATTATTGAAGTTTTTATTTAGATCAGATACTCTGTTGAAGAATTTGTACTTAATGAAAGTTGCGACCAATTCTTTCAAGAATGTCGCAACTAGGGTATTAAAATTATTGAAACCAGGACAAAGAATATCCTGGAACTTAATATTCAAGTGCCTAGAAGAGTGCCTCATTGTTACAGTGTCTTTTAAAAAGAATATGGATAATTTTGTCTTGTTTAAATTGTCACAATTGGAAATTATTTATAAGTCCATAATTTTAAAGTTGCAAAAGTTTGAGCGGATAAGACTTAGAGTTTTACAGGATTTTATCTTAAATATATCCAAGCTCATAGTCTTTTCAACATTTAAGGAAAATTTTGACGGTCCAAAGCATCTTCTAGAGTTAGTTGACCAAATGCAGCTTAGCAAAACTTTGAAAGAAGAGCTTAAAAGGTTCATTGCGGAGGAATTCAAGTTCAATGCTACTAATTTGAGCTTCTACAGACTAGACCAGCTATTGACAAGCCAGATCGAAAACCTGAGTCTCTTAGATCTTTTAGTGAGATTTTATTTGAAGATGATTAAATGCTATCTAGAAAATCTAAAGCCTATGAAGCTTGACCTTTCATGTATTAGAAAAGATCTCTTATCTCTTCTAATACTCCACGGGAACTCCGAGAACATTAGTCAATATCAAGATATTAATTTCGAGGAGTATTCTTGAGATATATGATTGCCTTTTTACTAAAGATATATGACAAACCACTTAAAACAGTAGTAATGCAAACCAAAGTCTCCAAACCTGAAACAAACATGGGAAACTGAGAAAAATTTAGAATTGATTCAATAACAGGCCTCAATACCAAGCTGCCAATATACACCATCTGAAGGGCTGTATTATATTTGGATAATAAGTTGGGTCTAACACTAGCCGACGGAATTGATAAATCAACAAACCTTTTCAATGATTTTGGCTCATCTAGGGTAATATATCTATAATAGAATGCCATAAAGCTTAGCATAACATCTCTGCCAATAATTATTCCTGCCACTGGGAGTGGAATTGCTTGAATGTAGGTTAATGAAATTGTACAAACAGTCATCAAAAACTTATCTGCCATTGGATCTAGAATAGACCCCAAAATTGAACCTTGGTTAAATTTTCTCGCTATAAAGCCATCAAGAAGGTCAGTTATGCAAGAATATACAAATATAGATATGGCGATGTTAGGTTCATGTTTTGCAATGAAATATCCTATGAAAGGCGTGCTAGCAATTCTAGTCAATGTTAAAGCATTTGGAATGGTATAGATACGATTTGACAGTGATTTTATTATAGGATTGGGTTTATCAGCAGATTCTAATAGTGGATTTCTTTCATCAGATTTCTTTTCCAAGGAGTTTTGTAACTTACGCTGCTGATTGAAAATAATGGAAGTAGTTGAGAACTTATTCTTGCACTGCTTTAGAATTGGGGAATACTTAGGGAGCGTCTTGGGTAAAAGCCGATAAGTAACATGAAAGCTAGATAGCCGTAAGGCTGAAGTCAAATAAAGGTTCATTAGTAGTCCTGTTTTGAGCAGTGAACTGTCGAAAAGGTGGAGCTCAACTTCAATACCCATCTAATGGGGTATCCAGAGAATACTGCATGCTCAACTACATCATATGTACAGGATCAAATCATGATCTAGGAAATATTAATTTGTTACTATAGTACTAGCTTTCTACTTAAACTTAAGTTGATTTGGGAAAACCTTGATCATTTATTAATGAATCTTTTTGCTCTTGGGGCCCTTGACCCACTTTTGTAAGTATAATTCTCGAGACACCTTTCAGAATATCAATATCTGGGAATCCATTGAAATCACTTTCTAATTCATTTGTGTTGACAGAGTTCCAACCATCAACTTCTTTAAGATATTTGAATAAAAGACCTAACACTTTGTTCTCATTTTTTTGCTCATAATATATTACGGAGTTGGGCCCTGCATCATACGTGTATGCGGCAATTATCTCGTTCTCTTCTTCATTTAACTTATGAACAAGTTTAATAACTTTCTTCGAGGTATCATTCAAGTAAAATATAGGAGGATAGGAATCCAAGCAAACTGCGTGAAATGAGTTTGAGTCCTTCATAGTCAACTCTCCGAATTTTTGGAAGTTCTTTTCTAATATGGCGTTTTTCATCTCTAAAAACCTTTTTGGTACTACCTCATCAATTCTATACTTGAACAAATCTGAAGTTTGAACAGTGAGTTGCATACCAGATGTTGATGGAGTGTCCTTCTTATCATCGCTAACAACAAGTATAGCAGCCTTGATCTCGGGCCAATGGTCTAAAGGAGCGACCTCTACAGCCTTCGAATCTTCTCCGTCTAACCTACTTCCCATCTCCCAGGCTACAAAGCCACCAAAAAGTGATCTGCATGCCGATCCTGAACCTTTTCTTGCGACCTTAGATATTTCAGACATATCTTGAGGAAGCTCGTATAATTTAGCAATAGCGACAGCTAATGCAGCAAATCCAGCCGCTGAAGAGGCCAATCCGGCCGCTGTTGGAAAATTATTCTCTGTTACGATGTGCAAGCCAAAAGACGATAATTTTGGTAAGGATGGGTCCTTCTCTTCAAGATCAAGCCTAAACCTTCGTAAGTCGGCTAAACAGGCCCTTGTTCTAGGAGAGTTCAATGATTCTACGTTGCCATTCAACCACAATCTATCTTCTTTGAAAGTTTCCGATGCAGCAACGGATGTGAAGGTTCTCAAATCATCTTGTGATAACGTAACAGAAATCGAGGAATTGGTAGGTAAGTTTAAAGTCTTATCCCTTTTACCCCAGTATTTTAAGGCCTAGAGGTTAGTATGTGATTATTATAAGCGCTATGTAGTAATTCGGCCGAACTACTAGCTTAACGCTAGTCTCTTAAATTTAATCAACTTACCGCAATATTAACTGGCGCTGTGACTGATGCCGTATACAATGCCATTATAGATATGAAGGTTCCCAAATTCCAATTTTTATGTTTTGACTGCCAATTTATATAAACTGAGAATGAGATGTTAGCTCGTTTAACACAACGAAAATCGAATTTTGTGTTACAAATGTTTGAAACACGAAACGCATCATTTCGTAAAATTTTAGCTACTTCAGACTTCAGAAATAAATATTATTACATATATAGCTTATCATATACAAACTGATTAATATCACTCAGGGTACTTATTTTCTGGTCCATTTCCATAATCTGGATTTGCAATCACCACTTCCTGTGGCAAATATACCCAGAGTTCCTTGCGAGTTCAAAGACACTGCCACGGAAATAACAGAATTACGATGGCCCTGAAGCATAAGTAAGGGGTTTCCAGACAATTGATCCCAAAATATCACACCTCTGTCTTTAGACCCTGACAAAATGTACTCGTTGTTTGGTGTTGAACATACAGACAACACGAAATCTTTGTGTCCGACATAAGTTACTTCACACGAAGACTTTTTGGAAGTTCCAGATTGGGAACGAGGATCCTGATTCCCTTCTAAATTCCACAATTTCACTGTTCTGTCCAATGAACCAGATGCAATTTGTTTACCATGTGTTGAGAATGCTACCGAGTAAACGGAATCTTCATGTCCGTTTCCATTTTCGTTACCGGAGTCCAATCTTTCCACCAAGAATCCAGTCGTCGAATCCCAGACTCTTACTGTTCTATCCAAAGAACCTGCAGCAATCAACTGGCCATCAGGCGAGACTGCTACAGTGGTAACACCATCTTCAATGGATAGAGTTAGAGAACATTGTGATGATCTCAAATCCCAGATTCTTACAGTTCGATCCCCAGAACCAGAGACCAATCTATTGCCATCGGGAAAGAAGTCTAAAGAATAAATGTCTTGTTCGTGACCTCTCAAAATTTTAATTATCCTCTTCGTTGCTAAATCCCAAATCCTGATCAACTTATCCTCGGCACCAGTAGCTAATGTTTTACCATCAGGTGAAAAACACACCGATCTAATATACAAATCACCATTGGCACTAGAAGATTGCACGTCTCCATCTTTAGAATCTTCATTACCGTCACCTGAACTATTACTCGAGTTATCATCAATTAGCTTAGCAACCAATTCACCTGTTTCCACATTGAAAACCTGTGTGGTTTTGTTACAACCAGTCGCTATGAATTCTCCATTTTTGGAAAATCTTACACAACATACGACAGACGAATGATCCAAAGAGTGAATAAGTTCCACGTCAAGGTCACGACTGAAGGCTGGATTGTATAAAACGAAATAATCTGGCTTTTGCTTCTTGAAATCTGGGTTCGCCTTAGACACATCTAAATCAACCAAAAATGGTGGGATTTCTTTAAGATGCAGAGCCCTCTGAGCGGGATTCACAATATATTGCGATTTGTCAATTATATTCAAGGCGCTAGAGGTCTCAGGGACAATATTTTCAGACTTTGCAGGCTCAGATTTCGGTGCCTTTGGAGATACAGATTTAACTTCCTGTTTTGCTGGCGATTGTTTCACTGGTGGTGGTGGCGAAGCTTGACTACCTTGATGAGGTGCACCTTGGAAGCTTGCAGCAGAGGTAGAACCCGGGCCACCAACAAATGGTAATCCATTTGATTTGTGTTGAACTTGCTGTTGATGAGCTTGCCTGTCTCTACTCTCTAACTCTGTTTTCAATCTTAAAATTTCTTCTTCATAGGCCTCCTTAATTTTTCGATGTGCCATCTCCAATTCATACACAGTCTGTCTGATTTGTTGCATCTCAGCGGTTTGTTGGTTATACTTTACATCATAATCTTCCTTGACTTGTTTGAAGTTTGAAGCCTCATTCAAAGCAAAGTCGAACTCCTGCTTCACTGCGTCCAACAATTCTCCTAATCTCTGTTGATGCTGCTGTCTCTGCTGCTGCTGTGCAGCTGTAGTACTATATACTGACATCACAGGCAGATGACTCTCGAATTGCTCGTGTTTTGCGTTACCTAAGCTTCTCGCTACGGTTTCTGCCGTTGGTGAATTCTTTTCAGCTGGTAGTAAGCGTGGTTTTGTCAATAAATCTATGACAGGAAAAAATAGTTTCCTCTTAATATATTATTCCGCCCAGTAGGTTTGCTTTTAAAAGAAAGACAAAAATGTCGACGTAAAATTTTGTGGAATATCCGTTTCCTTAATATAACCTGGTTGTTCATGCAATAGGCCGGTGGCCCCTCGAAAAAAGTCAACATGGGGTGCAATGTTCCCAAAGAGGGGGTGCGCAATGGTGCGCCATAGAGCAAAGCAAAATAGTAAAGAAACGACGGAAGACGGGCGTTCAAGCGAGCAGTCGCGCACGGGATTGACTAAGAAGATGTGTGCAGGTCAAAGCTTAGAACTTTTCGGCTTTATATAGCATTTTTGTATCACGAGATTTTTGCTCGTTCGGAGGGGGAGCGCACTATTTGTAGAGCTATAGGAATATTGATAAAGTGTCAAGCAAATTTGAAGTAATCGATCAGATGAATTTACTTAGATAGTAATGGTGTATTTAGGGAATCGTGCCTTTCGAGGCAAACGAGAGCAGGAGATATATGAAAAGTCGTTTGGTGGTAAATACCAAAGGCTTATTAAAAAGAATCATTTCTTATACTTCGGATTACCATTTATGTTGTCAATAGTAGCTGGTTCCTTATATTTGCAAAAATTTACTAGTGTGAAATGGGAAAAATATGATGAAAAGTATAGGCAGTTGGACGAAGAAGAAACATTCAAGATGATACAGAATAGGCGTGAAGTTGACAAAAAAAATGACTATTATAGGCTTCAAGGAATGTTGCAAGATCATAAAGGAGATGTCGACGGAGAGTATGAAATGGTTCGGGTAAAAAGGAAGAAAGAAGATGAGCCTGTGTGGTAGGTTTTCCACCGCAAACGTGCAAATGTGCAAATGTGAAGATATTAAACTGTCATGTAGCTCAATAATTACGGTATATAGCGTACAAATATAAGGTGCGAAATTTTTACTTATTCAACTCATCTCATCTCACTTTATCAGAGGATTGTAAAATATTAGTGATGGTTTCCTTTTCCTGTGAGGTGTGCAATGACACGATACTCAAGAAGAAATTAGATCAACACAGGCAAAGATGCAACGGAGCATACTTTACTTGTATTGACTGCTCGACTACCTTTTCAGGAACTGATTATAAGAACCACACAAGTTGTATTACGGAAGCAGAAAAGTATGAGAAAGGTCTTCATAAACCTAAAAAGGCGACTCCGATAAACGAGAAGAATGGAAGCTCTACTAGCAAAATAAAGCAAGGCAAACAACAGAAAAATGCATCAAAAACCGCTGCAAAAGAGGATAACAGTTCTAAAGATAAAACAAAACATGTCGTAAGCGACAAAAAGCAGACCAAAAAATTAGATCTAGAGAAATATGTCTCATCCTCCAAACAGGAGAGCTTTTATAAAATTTTAAAAAAGCTTGCAAAAGACAAGGATGTTAAAAAAAAGAAAATTTTAGAACAATTAAAAGTATGTAAGAACGAGAACGGGTCGATCTCATTGACATTGTGAGCCTTTATTTACGTTATGAAGATACTATTTTGTCTTGTTGAGTGCTCTATTTATTTTAGTGTAAAATTGGGACAACGTGTTGTATGGAAAAGATAAATTATCACAAAGATAATCTGGTAAAACTTTTCTTAATATTTTACAATTATCATTTTTCTCCTCATAATCGTCACCATAATAATCTGTTTCCTCTATTTCAAGAAACGTTGGTATATAATTGATTTCCGCGGAGGCTCCAAAATTTTTAGATATTATAAGTCGATATTCGATGAACACTTGGCTATCATTTGTAGAATTCTGCTTTACATCGAAGAAAAATCGACTCTCGTCTTCTTGATAGTTCATGATTCTTAACCCAGTTAGCAATTCCAACATATCAAGTGTAATGCCAATATTCTCTAGCTCTTTGGATAGCTGATTCTCATTAATGAGGTTGCTTTTCGTGTTTTTTCCTCTAATTGGAGATTCGAAAGTATTCAGAGACTCCGGAGAAACGCCAGATTGGGATTTGAGAGTTGCAATTTCTTTGGTTAAGCTATCAACATGCATTTGTTTTTCGTGAAGTTCATTCTGAAGCTGCTTGATTAGCTGTGAGTCTTGTTTTAGCTGCAAGCTAGTGGTTTGCTTAAATTTCTTAAAGATTTCATCTTGACTAGTATTAGTTAATGTGTTAATGAAATTCATCAAATCTTTAGAATTGTTTGATGCTAAGATATCCTGTTCTGTTATATGAATAACCTCGTGCGGAAGTTGCCGTATGTTGTCAGCATTAGGTGTAGATGATTCTTTTATGTCTTCAGTCCGGGGTATAATATCTTCAGCTTTCCTGCCTGATGCTTTACGTGTTCGGGCCATTCTAGTCTTCTCAGTGGATATAACTCAATATCAGACGAGAAAGAGCTTACTTCAATTGTTTGTTTTTAAATCGCGTACTGATTTTTGGCGTAAATCTCAAGGTGATTCTAAAACTAGTAACCATCAAAAGTTGAAGAAGACGTGAAGCCTACCCTCGTAATGTTAAACGCTTTTGAAAGCTGAACCGCAATTGTACAAGTTATTTACCGTAATTGTAAAATTTTTTAACAGTGGGCAAATCTTCTTGCCTCCTTTGAACTTGTAGTGCGATGCCTTTATTTTTTGGTCCGAATAAATTAAAGAGTTGATTAATCATGTATAAGTAATATTTGTACGAAATAGAGGAAAGTAATTAAGGGAAGCCAATCACGAAATGTCTTTCTCGCCGGAGATATTTAATAAGAAACTCGAATCATTGCAGGAAACGCAAGATTCGATAGTAACAATATCACAGTGGGTTCTTTTTCATCATAGACATAGCAAAGACAGTGCAAGACAATGGTCTGAATATATCTTGCAACCTACTCTTAAATCAGCCAAGCGTCTTTCTTTATTATATCTATGTAACGATGTGGTTCAACAGGCAAGACATAAGAGGAAGACTGAGTTCATAGCAGAATTTGCAAAGATATTACCCAATGTACTTAATCAAGTATACTCGACATTAGATCCATCTATTCGGCCAAAGGTTGACAGATTGATAAGCGTGTGGGAACTGAGGTCTGTTTTCAATGCTAGTGATATAAGGGAAATGAGAAAAGGCGTCAAGCTATCTAGTAACAACATATCACTTAGCTCAGCTAGTGCCGCTGAATCTAAAGCCCCTGTTGAAGATATTTCTCCCGAACTTAAGCATCTAAATAATTTGTTTAATCATTTGACAAAACTTGTTGATACGAGTCAAGCAAACTTAAGTCAAGTTGGTAGTCAATCCAAGACTTATCTACCACTGGACCCAAGTGCATCTGATAGTCTACCGTCTCCTAAGGTATATATATCAAAACTTAATGTGTTAGAAAAACTATGCAAAATCTCCAGTAAGAACATTGAAGAAATTAAAAAAGATAGATTAGAGATTATATCCCAACTCGATAACCTAAAAAATTTGGTCTCGGAAGGATTGTCTGCTGATGAGAACAAGGAAACTGTGATTTCCTCTAAATTAGATAAATTGAACGAGACAAGAGATGAACTAAAGGCAATGTTGCGAGAGGAACCAGGGTCAAGGGATGAATCGAGAAATGCAGAAAAAATGTCAGTGAAAAATGCAGACAAAGATGATGATGATGATGATGACGATGATGCAATTCCCACCTATGAGAATGACAGCGAGGAAAATGATGAAGAGCCGCCTTCCAAAAAGCTCAAGAAATCCACTTCATCGAGTGAAAATTCTACTCCCAACACGATTAAGAAAACAGTTGCTTTTTCCGAAGACGTTGAAGTGAAAGAGTATACTACTGATGGCCAAACTGAGGGCATAAGAATAGTGAGAGACGAGCAAAATGATTTTTCAGATGATGGATCAGATAATGATGAAAATGTGGAAGAGATATCGCCAGGCTTTGTGGCTCATCATAAAGATGATGTAATATTAAAGGAAGAAAGTGAAAATGATGACTACGATCCCGCGGCAGAATTTGACCAAGATAGAAACACTGACAACGACTATAATAATGACAGAAATCTGTCTGTGAATGACAGCGTCCTTAATTTGCTATCCAAGTTAGCATAATGCTATGTATTTTTCCTGTAATTTGCATATGAAAGCTCTAGAATATAATTTTATAGTACTATTTTATAGGAAAAAATCTTTTTGGAAAATGACACAATTGTCTTTGAATGCAATACTTTCTTACTTGCCTATAACTACCTTGTAACTTTCTCTTCTTGTAAAATAAGCCTTCATCAGTGAGACTCTCGTAGAGTAGCTTGCCATCGATCAACTTTTTCGGACTGGGAAGCTTCCTATGTAAATCTTTTGAAAATCTTTTGATAACTTCCTGGCTATTGACCTCATTGCAACCAACATCAGGAAGGGATGTAGTACACAAATTATTCATAGTGGTTGAAAAGTCTTTCTCTTTTACTGACGTACCAATGTATAGAAGATTTTTAGCTCTGGTACATGCTACATAAAATAGCCTAGCTTTCGCAGCAGATAAATGATTCGCATCGAAAACAGAATCCCACATTGACATTTTGGACCCGAAAGGACTTAATCCCAACACGAAGACGACTGGAAACTCGAGTCCCTTAGCTGTATGAATTGTCGAGATATTTATCATTCCGTCGTCTTTCAAAGGCACGTCTTCGTTGTAGCTTTTCAAAAAAAAATCTATAAAATCTATCTCCTCATGGTCCAATTCAATGAAAGACAGATAAGCGATCTCTAATGACCTCAAAAATCCTTTCAAGTTTGATTCCAAAGTGTCTTTATAATGAGATACATCATCTTCGCTCACATTTCTAGGCTCCTTCGAGTCAGGAGAGTTGAGATACTCAAGTAATGGCAGTGACAGTAGGATTCGATACAAAGACTCAATTATATTATAGGGATTCTGCTTCGTTGAAAGTACAGCTCTTTCTTTTTTGATTGAACTTAAAAAAGTAGCCATATCTTCGAGAATTTTCAAGTCATCTGGTAACTTATATACCTTGGTAATTCCATTTTTTGATTTACCCCTTTCATGCAAGGCTTCCAATTCAGTGATCATACCATCTTCAAGGGTTGAGTGTGGGTTTCCTAAATCCACTGTATTCATTTTAAGGAGCTTTTTGACTCTCGCATAGTTGCCTCGCTTCAGATCTAATAGTAAAAGAATACATATCAAGCCAAATTCAGAACCATCTCCTTTGCATAATAAATTTAAAATGTCTAATAAAAGATGAACTTTACTATTTATCCATGAGGGTGTCAGTGAGAACTTGTTACACCTGAATCCTAATATATCCACTAAGATATGCCGAATATCTTCCACTTCTTTGTTAGATCGTGCCAAAACTGCAAAATCACACGGCTTCAATAAGCCTCCCAGCTGGCAAATTAATCTAGTTATTTCTGTAGCAATAAATATATGTTCATCATGATTCGAATTATGATAATGTAATATCGGTAGGTGGCCAGCACCTTTAACCGCTCTAATATTCATTTGGTGTAGCTCAGTTCCTGTGATACATACTTCTTTTACGAAATTTAGGATTTGTGGAGTCAAGCGAAAGGTTTCCTCAATCAGAAGTTCGGTTACCGAAGCTCCGTAAAGTTCTTTGCTTATAGTTGTCATTAGATTTGGATTGGAGCCTAAAAACTCAAATATGCATTGGTTCATATCTCCTGCGATAGTGAGATGCTTCATAGAACCAAATGGTAAACCATAAGTTGGGTACTCTGCAATGCTTTTGATGACCTTCAATAAAGGTGCATACATATCCTGGAATTCATCTATAATAATCACTTTGTAGTTTGCCAACAGAGGGATCCATTTCTCAATATTTCCATCGGACAAAGAATGCTTGACCAAATCCAATGCATTAGTTATCAAATCATGATACCTCATTAATCCATATTTATCTAGATACTCCATTATTGACTCAATGTACTTTTGACTCACCTTGAACTGCGAGGCAGCATCGTTTATATCTAATTCACCAGATTTGATATTACCTATAACGTTCTCAAGCAGCTTAGAACTTAAATTGCCATATACGGTATCTCCATGGACATTCACATTTCTGCCCAGAAAGATCCTTGAAAAATTTCTCCAACTAATGTCATTCATAAGTCGTTTCCTTGTGAATGATTTAGAATATTGGCTTTCATCTTGATCAACTAATGATCGACAAAAAGAATGAAAGGTACTAATGTTGATGCCGTTAACAGCTTCTTGCTCCAAAGCGGCGTTAAGACCAGCTCTCAAGTTAGATACAGACCTATTGGCCATCGATAGAACTAATATCTCACTGGGTTTTAGGTTCTGATACCTAAGCATATACGCTATTCTATTAACCAAAGTAAATGTCTTTCCACTACCAGGTCCAGCATGGACCGCAAGGATATGATTTGGAGCAGAATCATGCGATATTATATTCCATTGCGAAGCCGTTGGATGTTTATATGGCTTATCAGATAAGTAGCTAATATTAGTTTCACCTAAATTTACCTCTGTTTCGTCGCTGATACCGTCCGGAGATGTTGACAAATGATTTCTTCCACATATCCATAAACTTTGAGGAGAGATTCTCCGGCCCATAATGTATTTGTCAATGGTATTGCATTTTTTATTGAACTACTATTTATTTATTAAATTTCGAATAAAACTGCGAGGGAAAAAAGATAAACTTGGCAACAAAGCTTTAAATACCAATAATTAAGAAGACGAAGAGTGCTATAATGAGCGCTTTAACTTCTCTCAAGAGCCTACTAGACTTTGATACTCCCGTGACTGCTGAGGATGAGATTAAGGGGTCAGAATCACTTGAAAATCTTGTTTCTTATATAGAAAGTCAACGAAGCAAGTCAAATCGCATACCTCAATTACTTGAACTGATTAGGTTGGAAGTTATTCATGGAATTGATAGTGAAAGATCGCAAATGTGGGAGTTGGATGGAGAAACATTATCGAAGCTTACAGATCAATTTCAGTCTTTTCATAATGAAATAGACGGGCAACGAAATAAGATGAAAATCGTTGGAGGCATTCTTACAGATTTTAATGAACTGTTGAACGATTTATCCAGTAACTTAACTAACCTCCACGATAGGTCTACCAAAATTACGTCCAACGTTGAGTTACAACGTGCAACCATAGAGAAGTTGAATCCAGTCATTTTGGATCTAATGATCCCACCAGAAGTAGTAAGATCTATAATTCACGACCAAATTGAACCAGCATGGCTCGAAAACATCAGGTTTATAAATGAAAAGCTTCAACTCATATCTAATGTGAAGTCTAAGAAGTTAGATAAAAACTTGGCGAGCTTATATGAAGAGTCAAAAACCTTCCATCAGTTGGAAGAAGGCATTGGACAGCTTATTGCCAAAGCGGTCGAAAGAATAAGGGACTTTTTAATTTCTCAAATAAAACGGTTGAGATCATCTACGAGTGCATCGTCTCAAACGATTCAAAAGGGCCTCCTTGAAGTTAAAGAAGTATTTGTTTTCCTAGAGGATCACCATAAGGAATTGGCGGGCCAATTACGACTAGCATACATCTATACTATGAAATGGTATTACCAAACTAAGTTTGCGAAATATTTATATGCCATTCAGAAGCTCAACATAAAGAACGTCGATCTGAGCTTGGTGTTAGGTGCGTCTCTTGTTGATGACAGGGCATCTTTATTCGGTTTAAAATCATGGATGTATAATAGCAATAGTTCCTTGCATCCACCATCACAAAATCGTGTTTCTCAGTTAAGCATTACGGAATATTTAATGTCACTTGATAAAAGGATGCAAATATTGGAGGATAAGGCGACCTCAGAGCCTCGAATTGCGATCCCATCTCAAATTGCTGAAACTACCCCTTTTAGTTATTGGCTTGAGTTTATATTCAATCAATGGCTCTTGGCATCGACAGATAATGTTGTCGTTGAATATTTATTTGTTGTTGATTTTTTTTATCGTGGGGACGAAAAGTTCGAAGATGTTCCTGACGATGGCCCTCAGAATCACCTGTCACCAAACTTACCATGGCCCCATGTGATGTTTGAAAATGTTTACAAAATGGGAAATGATTTTGTAACTTGGTTGTTATCGCAGACTCCTTCTCAATATGGCAGAGGTACAATTACAGCTAACAGGAATAATGCATCATTTATTTCTCAAGGAACTTGCGATGCCTACGCCATATTGTTAATGATTCGTCTCATTCAAAATTCTCAATCTCTTCTCCACAATGAGTTTCATGTACCTATTCTTGACGATTATTTGAATTCAATTTTATTAAAATTGTGGCCACATTTTACTAAAGTCATTGACTTGAACTGTGAATCTATGAAGAAGGTAACAGTTATTGCATCAAATGAAGCGAAGTTAGCACCTTCTGCCATTACACAGCAATTCGGTCAATTCTTACTGGGGTTGTTGAAGCTCTCTTTCATCAATTCAAAAGAAAAGAGTAAAGATTATCGCGGTGAGCCTCTTTTTACTTCGATAACAAGACTTAGGAACGATTTCGAAAGTGTTCTAACGAAGTTGAGCACTCATATATTTGGAAATGGCAAAAAAAAGTTGACAGAAAGAGAAATATTTTTATATAATAACTATTTCCTTGTTACCAGTATTCTAAAGAACGAAAATGATGGCAGCAATGAAATTGTGGATGAACAAGTGAAACATTTTGAAACACTTTGTGATGCTTATAGAAAGAATTAGGATTTATTATCACCGCAAATATCGCATATTTTAGCATACAAACCGCACAATTGTAAATACGTTGTAACCCCCTCTAAGACTCTCATATGAGAAAATCCAATTTCTTTGATTACTTCTAACCTTTTCTGTTCACCAATACCAGGTAGAGTCTTTGCAACCCTAAAAGTCAGTGTTACTATGTCTATTGCGGAGTAACCTTTATGCCACAAACCATCCAACAAGCGAATAGCTTCGTTTATATCGCCGTCCTTAATACAGCTAAGTAAGATCTTTTGAATAACCAATGGATGGGGTTGATCCACAATCTTGAAAACATTTTTGTCGTCTACAAAACCGAAACCAGCCACAGTGCTTTGAAGATTATTGATTGCTTGTCTCATGTCACCCTCTGCAGTGAATATCAAAGCTTGCAAACCTTCGCTGTTATACTTGACATCCTCAGCCTTACATATTTCCAACAAACGAGACAAGACTTGCTCATCACTTAATTTAGTGTATCTCAATATGGCGCAACGAGATTGTAATGGCTCGATGATCTTCAGCGACTGGTTACAAGCAAAAGCAAACCTTGTCGTATTTGAATACAATTCCATAGTTCTCCTAAGGGCCTGCTGGGCACCCGGTGTCATTGAATCAGCCTCGTCCAAAATAACTATCTTATGTCTTCCAGGTGGAAGCAGAATTTTAGTTTGTGCAAATTGCTTAATCTTATTTCTTACAACGTCAATTCCTCTATCATCTGAGGCATTTAATTCTAACGTAGCTTGATGATAATAATCTGGCCCTAATAGCTCATATGCTAAACAATGAATAGACGTTGTTTTACCTATACCAGGTAACCCTGATATAATCATATGAGGCATGTTACCATCTTGTGCAATGAGCTTCAATCTTTCTATGGTTTCGTCATTTCCTACTATGTCATCCAATTTATGAGGTCTATACTTTTCAACCCATGGAAGCTCAAGTGACAATGAGTAGTTCTTCGACATTTGTCTTTTATCTTCGACTTTTCACTTAAATCTACTTATACTAGAATATTTAAAATGATTTTTCATTATACGCGTCTCTTAAGTATATGTACAGAAATGTCTATATTAATAGTGGTGATTACTTTTTCGATTCCTTCTTGCTTGACTGCTTATTGTTTTTGCTTTGTATAGGAGCTGAAGTGTTCAAGAAGTTAATCACAGGTTTACTGAAATTTGAATTATCATCTTCATGTAGCAAACCTTCTAACCATGGAATTTGAACATCGCCGACTTTAGACTCTACTAAAGAGCATAGGGCACTCAATTCAGATACCTTTGATGAGACTCCTATGATCCCCGTATGATCAATATGAAGGGCCTCAGATATTCTAGCCATGCTTCCTTTTGGGAGTTGTACAAGCTTCACCCTATCTTCTTTAGACCTTGAAGCAGTGTATGTCAAGACAGGAAACGATTCCGTTAAAATTGATGGCTTGATATCAAACTTGGTCACAAATACATACTTGATAATTATATTATCGTGAGGCTTTTGCTTCTTTCTCTTGGAGCTCGTTCTATATATTCCAGCTTGCTTTTCTAAAGCTTCCACTGTTGAATTGAATCCGATTGTCAAGTTGCTCCTTATCTCTGGAATCGACGGTCTTGCTAATGATTTCTTCGTGTTGGCCTCTGAAACTGCTAAGTTATATTTCCCGATACAAGATAGAGTTTTCGTAAGTATAGTCGTAAGGTCCTCTCCAAGTTGCGGCTCTATATATGGCCATGTATTTGATTGCGTGAACGGATTATCAAGAATTGGTTTAAACACCTGTCGCCTTTTCCGTTCTGTCTCTTTCATAGAGACTGGAGCATTCTTACTCTTGGGTTTTGTAATCTTGCCATCCAGCATTATCTCAACGTATTCTGCTGAAGAGAAAAAAATTGATCTTCGATGAGATAAATTACTAGTCGATCTTAGGTTTTGATAGTTTAAGTATACAAAATTTATATAGTATATATAATTGAAGTTATTAATAAAAAACGAACTTTTGAAATCACTTTTCGTCCTTCTTCTCTTTCTTACCACCATTTGATGGTGAGTAACCTGGAGAACTTGGAGAGTATTGGGGTGATGTGGGTGAGTATTGAGGTGAAGTTGGTGAATACTGGGGCGACGTTGGCGAGTAACTAGGCGAAGTCGGAGAATAGCTTGGGGAAGTTGGTGAGTAACTCGGTGATGTAGGAGAATAGCTTGGTGATGTCGGTGAATAACTAGGCGAAGTTGGCGAATAGCTTGGTGATGTCGGCGAGTAACTAGGCGAAGTTGGCGAATAACTTGGTGATGTTGGCGAGTAACTTGGCGAAGTAGGTGAGTAGCTCGGTGAAGTTGGTGAATAAGATGGCGAAGTTGGTGAATAGCTTGGAGAAGTCGGCGAATAAGATGGCGAAGTCGGCGAATAAGATGGAGAAGTTGGGGAATAGCTTGGTGAGGTTGGCGAGTAGCTTGGTGAAGTAGGTGAGTAACTTGGCGAGGTAGGTGAATAACTTGGTGATGTCGGTGAATAAGATGGTGATGTCGGCGAATAACTCGGTGATGTCGGTGAATAACTCGGTGAAGTCGGTGAATAACTCGGCGAAGTCGGTGAGTAGCTTGGTGATGTTGGCGAGTACGTAGGTGACGTAGGCGCATAAGTTGGTGAGGTACCTCCATAGCTTGGAGACGTGACACCACCGAAAGTCGGCGAGGTTGCACCATAGGCAAAAGGTGAAGTTGCAGAGGGTGAAGTCGGCTGTCCACCATAAGTAGTAAGAGAGCCTGAACTATCGACTGGAGCTGTGTGAATAGGTGAGAATCCAGCACCTTCATCATATTGAATCCTATCATCTTCCATGTCATAATCTCTGTATGGAGTGGCACCCCCATCTTCAGCATTTGCATTGCTCATATTAGAAGGAGCAGCTTGTAACATTTTATCGTCAACCATTACATCGAAAGAACCTGTACCTAAAGGTGCCATTTGCCCTAAGATAACATTCTCTGATATACCGTGACAATCATCAAGTTCAGCCGCAGCTCCTGCCTCCAACAAGATTTCAACGGTCTCTTCGAAAGAACAACGCATTAATGCACCTGTATCTGCTCTATTGATTCCATGACGAGTAATGGCCATCAAATGACCACGAGATGTCATGGCATCAACCAAAAGAGCCATGTGACGATAATTCACATAGGAACCATCAAAAGCAATAACATTCAAAATCTCTTTGAATAATGCGGACCGCGTTGCCTCAATTCCTAGAACGGACAAGATCTCAATAAAACTATTTGAGTAAGTACGAGATGCATCCACACCTGGTACTGCCATCACGTCTGCCAAATTGACACCATCTGTTTCCAATACCCACTCCTGACCTTGTTTGAATTCACCAGTCGCATCTGGGGCACTTATCTTATGTTGCATCATAAACACTCTTGTAATACCAGGAATACCTCGCAAAGAAATCGACTCCAACATGTGAGCCTCGATACGTTTAAGAATTTGATCTTCCTCGGCATCTGCTTCTTCATCGAGAGATTTGGGGTCTCTTACTACACGACAACGAATGATTAATTTGTCTGCAGTATCATCAGACCAAATTACAAAAAGATCTTCACCAAAGTTTTGGGATATTCTTTCTGCAACTTGAGACATCGTCAACTGTTTATCAAGCATCTTTGCACGATCCAATTCAAGACGAAGTAACCAGGGAGATTGTTTCTCTATTGATTCCTCGACTTTTTCATCCGGGATGGCGAAGTATGCTTCTACGGTATCATAATCTTCTTCAATCACAGTACTCCTTGGATCAGGATCGTAATAAATTTCTGTACAAGAAGTGACATTTCTCAAGGTAGTGTGTTCAATAGACGATTGGACGACCTTTGCTTTTTCGATATCTGAAGCGATCTCTCCCGTCAAGTAAACAGTCAAGGCTGGAGTCTTAATATTTTTGGCTACGTTAAGAATTTCTTTAAGACGAGGCACACCTAACGTGACATTTTTAGAAGAAACACCAGCATAATGGAAGGTGTTCAAAGTCATTTGAGTAGCTGGTTCACCAATCGATTGCGCAGCAATGATACCCACCATTTCACCTGGGTGAACAATCGACTTTTGAAATTGAGTTTCAATTTCACCTAAAACCCATTCAAAAGATGTACGACTTAACCTGAACTCTTCCACAACACGACGTGCAGCAAGTCTAGAACGCAATAAACATTGGAACAATAAAGTAGCATTTTCTTGAGCTTCTTTCATTAATGGAGTGTCACCTCGAATGACTAAAAGCTTTGTACAAAGATCTTTAACTCCGTTGACAATCTCATCGAGCCTCAAATCAGAGGCCTTGCTACGACCACTGTGGAATATTTGTTGAGCATTCTGTATGATACGACGCAAATTGACAGGTAAAGGCCAGTTGAAATCACCATTAGGAAAACAGACATCTCTCAAATATTTACGGTCTTTCAATAATTGTTCATATTCACTATCCAAAACCTTTTGCAACTTAACATCACCCTTAATTTCCTTACCAGATTCCAAAAGTGATTCACGGATAGAATTGACAGGGTCCAAGACATCAATACGATACCTGCGAACGAAGGTAGCATCCGAACCAGGAATTGTATCTACTGATTGTTTTTCTACCTGAGTTCCATCGATACCATCCTCACCGTAAATAAACTGAATAATGTCACCTAAGGAGTTTCTAGTAGTACCATCATAGTGTACCATAATATCTTCTAATGCTTTAATAATTCTACGTTGAATATAACCCGTTTCAGCTGTTTTAACTGCAGTATCAATAAGACCTTCACGACCTGCCATTGCATGAAAGAAGAACTCTTGAGGAGTCAATCCTCTCAAGTAAGAATTCTCAACGAAACCCTTGGATTCAGGAGAATAATTATCCTTTGTAAAGTGAGGCAAGGATCTATCTGAGAAGCCGAACGGGATTCTTTTACCCTCAACAATCTGTTGTCCTACACACGCAGACATTTGAGAAATATTAATGAATGACCCTTTAGATCCAGAAACTACCATTTGCTTAACATTATTCAAGTCCTTCAAGTTCATCTCGGCAGAGCGACCCGCAGTATCACGCGCTTGATTTAAAACACGAGATACATTATGTTCAAATGACTCTCTCAAAGTCATACCGGGCTCTGGTTCAAGTTTGTTCTGTTGAGCATCCAAAATGATCTCTTGTACTTTCTTCTTTGCCTCTTGAATGGTGTGTGTCACATCTTTCATCGTACTGCCATCTGCTATAGTATCACCAATTCCTATAGAAAAACCATTATGTAATAACCAATAATTGACAACCTTTTGGATAGAATTGAATAGCTGGGCACAAACCTGAGGTCCCTTTTCTCTCATAACTGTATGGATCAAACCACCACCAGTGGCACCGACTGTTTTCTTATCAACAACTCCAAATATAATTTCTCCATCAACGATAAGCATACCGTTATCCTTTGGACTCAATAAGTTCATACCTTCATCAAATCTTTGTAAATGAATTCCATCGGGAATTGCCATAGATAATAATTGCTTCCCTGTCCAAAGAGGCTTTGGTTTAAGAATAGCAGGCGAAGGAACAACACCATCCCAATTCGGTATCCAATAAAGCATATTCATTACTTGCTCATATTCAATGAATATGTCACGTAAAGTCATCTTACGGACTCCACATAATGTATCTTGAACGATACCCATAACTGGTTTATTTGATTGAGGCGAAACAATCTGCAAAGGAACAGCACATATTTCTGAAAGTTCTGCCCTTGTCTCTGGTGACTGAGGGACGTGTAAATTCATCTCATCACCATCAAAATCTGCGTTATATGGCGACGTGACAGATAAATTCAATCTGAAAGTTGAGTAAGGCATCACTTTCACTCTATGGGCCATCATTGACATCTTATGCAATGACGGTTGCCTATTGAATAAAACGGGATCGTTGTCCATAAGATGACGTTCAACCTTCCATCCATACTGCAATGCGATGTCTCCTGCTCTCTTATTGTACCTCAAGTCAATACGATCTCCGCTATCTCTTATAACATATTTAGCACCAGGATGTTCATTGGGACCATTACGAACAAATTCCGTTAAACGATGAATATTATAAGGCGTGACAATTTCCGGATATGTCAAGGTTCTTGCAATAGAAAGAGGAACACCGACTTGATCCAAGTCGAGATTAGGATCACCTGAAATGACCGTACGAGCTGAAAAATCTACTCTCTTACCCATCAAGTTACCCCTTATTCTTCCTTCTTTACCCTTCAATCTTGCTCTAATGGATTTAATAGGACGCCCAGTCTTCTGTAGGGCTTGAGGTTGACCTGCGATATCATTGTCCATATAAGTGGCTACATGAAATTGTAATAAAGCTTCAAATTCACTGATAACATGCTGAGGCGAACCATCCATTTCTAATCTTTGAACATTAATATTTGCCTTAATAACATCCGCTAATTTAAATGTCAAATCATCTTCACCTCTAGCAGTGTCATTAAAGGAAATAGATGGACGGACCGGGGGTGGAGGGACAGGCAACACTGTTATCAACATCCATTCTGGTCTAGCATAGTCTTCATTGAATCCTAGCCTGTAACAATCTTCCGAACTGATATGTCTGAAAACACTTAAAATTTCCGATGGTGTCAAGAGACGACGTTCAGGTTGTTCGTTCTCATCAAAATTTTTATTTTGTTTCCATGTACCCCATAACTTAAGGCCATCTCTACGAACAGTAGGCTGCGTGTGGCCACATCCTCCTCTACTCGGCCCATTATCCAGATCATCGATATCCGCCTCACAGACCATCTTTGTTTTACACAAGTTCCACACAGCGTTGAACCTCTTTTTAGGATCTCTTATTTTGATTGCCTGTGCCATGGCTAGGTTCTTTTCATCAAGTAATAACTTTCCGCAATGCATGCAAACAGACTCACAAACCTTCTTTATCTTAGCGATAAAACCAATATGGAAAACGGGTTTAGCTAATTCAATGTGCCCAAAGTGTCCAGGGCATTCCGCCATGTCTTCTGAGCAAGTCTGACATTTGAAGTTACGATCAATAGAACCTAATCTGGGATCATTCAAACCACCTTCTCTGGGCTTCTTAGTGGCCTGATCCATAGTCTCTGGGTATTCTATCTTAGCTACCGAAATAGCACGAATCTCCTCAGGAGAAAGTAGGCCAAACTGTACTTCTTTCACTGATCTGAGTGGTGCACTCGAATATGGAAACTGACGACTCATATCAACTAATTACAAAATTAATAGTGCTTTTTTTTTTTTTGAATAACTTATCTTTACAGTAGTTTTATGATTAAAAAATTATTGGACAACGAATATTATGACTTATGAATAAAAAATGGATTCCTGTTTTAATTATGAAAGCTGACTCTATAGCTTAACCCTCTAGTAGGTAATGTAAGCAATCAAATAAATGAGTGCTCAATCTATGCTACCACTAATCTATCCCTTATTGATAGTCTGAGTGATAATTCTATTAACTTGAATACGACCTCACTAGCTATACCCAGGTTTATGAAAAGGTCCGATTGATGAAGCGTTCAATGGTCAGATAGTAGTACCGGAATATTATTTTGAAAAATCCAAGGATTCAAAGTGGCGGGCGAAAACTCTTCAGTATGAAAATTACGCGTTCTCCAGTTTTTTTACATGTACAGGGGCGTAAATCAGAAAATGATATTTTATGAACAATTAAATACCTATCTAAGAGAAGAACTTAGCCATTGCCTTCTTCTGTTTGTCAAGACGGGCCTTCAGTCTGGCTTTTACCTCTTTCAATCCAGCTATTATTGCAGAATCATTTGGCAGGATTTTCAATGCTTCTTCTAGAGAGGCTCTAGCTGAATCTTCGTCTTTCGCCAACAGGTAACCCATACCTTTACGATATAACGCCTTTGACTTAGATTTATCGTCTATGTTCTCCACGGCAAGGGCTTTAGTTGCTGCTTCGACAGCTTTTTTACCGTTTTGAAGTTTCAATGCCACCAATGAAACATTTAAGTAACATGAAAGCTGAAGAGAATATAAGGTGTTGAGATTGCTCTCTGATAAATCGTCTGGCAAGTAATCTTCCAAATAATTGGTTGCTTTAGAATATTTTTCGAAAGCACCCTTCAAATTTCCTTCCTTAAGTAATTTTGTCCCAATATTTTTCAAGTTTGTAATTGCCTCGAAAACGAGCTCTGGTTGATTGACATCAAAATCGTTATCACCCAAAACTTCTTCGTAGACATCACCAGTTCCATCGCCGGCTCCTGCGGTAGCCTTTATGTCATTATCAGATATTTCTCCACAATCGGCTATAATCCAATCTTCGACAGGTTTGTCATTTGCACCTTTTTCTGACCTCTCAAGCTGTCTCACGATACCTTTTCCTTGAATGACTTTACCAAAGACAACATGCTTTCCATTCAAATGCGGAGTAGGAACAGTTGTAATAAAGAACTGTGATCCATTCGTATTTGGTCCGGCGTTGGCCATAGATAACAAGAAGGGCTGGTCATGTTCTAACTTGAAATTCTCGTCTTCAAACTTTTCCCCATAAATGGATTCACCGCCAATACCTGTGCCATGTGTGAAATCGCCACCTTGACACATGAAATCTTTAATAACTCTGTGAAAAGAAGAGCCCTTATACGTGAGTGGTTTTCCGGACTTCTCTGATACACCCTTTTCACCCGTACATAATGCCCTGAAGTTCTCAGCAGTCTTTGGAACTACATCGTTGAACAATTCAAAAACAATACGCCCCTTTGGAGCACCGTTAGCAGTCAAATCAAAGAATACCTTCACTCGTTTATCTTCACTACTCATTATTCTCGATCTTCAATTCCCTAGGAGGCTTGACTTTCTGTCTTCTAATATATATAATAGCTAGCCAACGTTTTTGCATTATTCTAGAAAAATCCAATCTCCTGCATATGCATTTTTCACTCCAAAGTAGTTTTGCCATACTTCACAAGATAGTATATGTGTAGGTTAAATATATTATGCTTTTAAAGATTTGCGATATGTTGAAGTAACATAAAACAAAGTCCTGTTGAAACTGAATTCTCTTTCATCCCTTCCCTAAAGCCCGATACAAAGAATAGCAGAAAATTCTAGTCATCTAATTATTATTTGTCTATTAGGTCATAATATAAAAAATGTTGAGCATAAAATATTAAAGTTGTCTAAACTATCAAGTAAGCTAAATTAAGTTTTCCTTATAGGGTCAAAATAAGGATGAGCCATCGCCTCCTTCGCAGTCAACCGCTCTTGGTGATCATATCTTAATAAGTTATCGAGAAAATCTAAAAGTTCGTCAGATATTAGGTGTTGATTTTGTTCATTGATGAATCTTTTCCAGGGTCGTCTATTGTAATAGCCCAAATCTTCGTATTCGTCGCTTAAAGACAATTCATATTTCTGTAAGTATTTATGCAAATCGTCAGAACCCAAAACCCTTACTATTTGAACTAACTGGTCTGTATTAGATTTTCCATGAAAAAATGGCTCTTTCTTAAAAACCATAGATGCTAACATACATCCGTAAGACCAAAGGTCCAAGGAATAATCATAAAGCCTAAAGTCCACTAATAACTCTGGTCCCTTAAAAAATCTAGATGCTACTCTAACATTATATTCAGTGCCAGGATGGTAGTATTCAGCTAAACCCCAGTCGATTAGCCTTAGTAATCTCTTTTCATGGTCAATCATAACATTATGAGGTTTAACATCTCTGTGCATTATCCCCATTGAATGTGAGTAATCTAAGGCCTTTAATAGCTCATACATGTAGTACCTGATATCAAAGTCAGTGAATATATGATACAAACTTCTAAAATCAATATTATCGACATTTTCAAAAATGAAACCTGGAGTTTTCAGCTGTGGTTCACGAACTACGTCCAATAATGTGATAATATTAGGCCCTTCTTTAAGATTCTTTAATATAGATACTTCTCGTTTGATCTTTTTCCTTTTTACAGGTTTCAACACTTTTATGACACACTTTTCATCAGTGCTTAAATCAATCCCCAAGAACACTTCGGAGTATTTACCTCTTCCCAACTTTTTAATAATTTCATATTTATCTTGAGAATTCCACTTGATGTTTAGATTATCATAATCCCAATAGGATTGAGGTTTAGACGCCAACACATTTGCATAGACTTTGGATATAGATGAAACGGAGTGATAGGACGTCATAGATCGGTAACCAAATAGAATATAACAAAGTATGAGCGCAAATAACAATGTTATTCGATATAAATATTTAATTTTTGATATACTTCCCAAACTGAGGCCGATTATGTTTAGTTTTAGTCACATTTGTATGTCTTAAGAGCTAAAAATTTTCTCCTGAAAATACAAGTAAACATCACGTGATGTTAATTTTAATGCTATACATGCTGAATACTAAATGGTTAAATTACCAAACGAGTTTCCTAATTTTCCCAACGAGTTTCCTAATTTTCCCAACGAGTTCGTTTCATTCCGTCTCCTAGCTGCCAATTTACTCTTGGATACAGAATCTGCAGCCTTTTGTATGCGTTCTTTCTCCTCGTTTTTCTTTACAAGTTTACGGCCCCCGTTTGCAAGTTCATAATTGTCTAGGAAATCATCCAACATATCTTCGAGATCATTTCTTTCATTTTTCATTGAAAAGGGTTTATATTCCTCTTCCTGATCACTCTCTTCGAATTTTTTTGCAAGCTGCTCGTAACGGTCATCCAATAAAGTGAGACCATCTGTCCGAAAAAGAGCCGAAGAGGACATTGAGAAAGACGATGTATCCGAGAGAGCACCCTTCTTCTTCCTTGCCTTGGTATTTGAAACCTTTTTCTTAGACTTCTGGACACTAAGATCCGGCAAATCAGCGACTACATCCCCGTCCGATGCTTCAAAATCGTCATCTGAATCCCAATCGTTAATTTGATTCTGAGTGTCTTTCTTGAATTTCTTGAAATCCTTCTCCCAATTCTTATCAAAAAATGAAACTGGATTTACGTTCAATTCTTCCGGAGCTTCGCCCTCATTATATGGTAATTCTGGTTCTTGGTAAGAATCAGATTCTAAATTCTCGCTGATATCGTCGTAGTTATCAAGATCCCAATCTTCATCGTCTTCATAATCGTAAAATTCATGTTCATCTACTTCCCCTGATTGTAATAGATTCTCAAAATCTTTCTCTTCTTCTGCTTCTGCAATATATTCTTCGTCCTCTAATGCTTCTAATACTTCTCTTAGTCTCGGATCCAAATCTGGATTGAAACCTTGAAGCTCGTCCGGTATATTCTGTGTCGCATCAAAGCCTACCGTTCTTTTTTTCTCTGATGGTATTTGATCTCCAAATAGATCTTCGATGCTAACTTTAGAATGCTTTGATTCTTTCTCAGGTTTTGCCTCAACAAATACACCTTCGCCCTCACTCTGACCCATGGGCTTCAAATGTTGCATGTAGTCATACTTTGAATCGTCAAAAAATATACCATATTGCGCAGCCAATCCTTCATTATCTCTAATATTTTCAACTTGGTCTTCTCCAAGCTTCAGCTTTAAGGATTCTAGAGAGTAAATCTTTTTTTTGGAATTGCTGGGTTTAGTTGGAGCTGGAACTAATACATGTTTAGAAACATCATTATCATAGAAGAGTGAGTCATCGTGAGCCCTATGAACAACATTATATGTTGTAGCGGTTTTTTTATCAAACCTTCTTCTCGGCATTTGCTTTTATGTCCTTCTTTAGGCTCTGCTCTTAATCAAAAGTCGTAATAATAAAATAATCAAAAAAAAAAATTTAGATAAAATTTAAAATGCGATGCGATATCTGATTAATACACACAAGAACTATATTCATTAATCTAATCTATTCTGGCTCTCCGTCAAAATTCTTGGCCAATTGCACTTAATTATACAAAGATATTCACTCAAAGCCAAAAATGCTACCGCACATATTAATCCAACCCACAAACCAGGGAGCCCGATATGGACCTTGAATGCTAGCAAATATCCCACTGGAAGTGCAATTATATAGTAAGAAAATAAACTCAAAAGTGATCCTATTCTCTGTCTTCCTTGACCCCTTAAAATCCCTGCACCTGAAACATTGAATGCATCCGCAATCTGGTTAATCGAGGTCAATACAAGTAGATTCTTGCTCATACTGATAACATCCTCCGAGTTAGTGAAAAACCGACTCAATACCAGTCTTCCGAAAAATACTATACAAAAATTGAGAGTCGAAATTCCTAACGATAAATAAGTAGAAATGCGAATAACAAGCTTAGCTGCTAACACATCCTCCAACCCAATCAAGTAACTGACTCTTGTTGAAAGGATCACTGATATTGCAAATGGTAATTGATACAACAAAGCCGCAATATTTGCAGCAATGGACTGCGCTGCCAAGGCATCAGTTCCGAATGAAGCGGCAAGTATCGTCAACACTTCGAATGCAAGATATTCAGCCTCGACCATAATGGTTCCGGGAATAGCTAATTTTAACATTGGCTTCCAATTTGTTAAAGCTCGAGATTCAAATTTTGCCCAACACTTTTTACCATCAATTAGAAGGACATATAACAACATAAGAATACTTAAAAGCCAGAAAGTAATTGAAACTGCAATAGGTGCCCCAATGAACCCGAGACCAGTACTCTCGTTCCATACCAATAACCAATGCAAAATAACATTCACAGGTGAAGCCACTGCTAGCACATAAATGCCAGCATTGTATATATGTTGAGCTTGTAAAAACCTTTTACCAGTTTCGAACATCAAAAGGCCTGGCGCCCCTATTATAATGATTCTCATGTACTGCTGAGCCAACATCACAATGTCTTCGTTGGGTACCATAAGCTTTAAAATGGAACCTGAAAACCACCAAATTAAAGCTAACGGACAAACGGTAATTGCTAAGCCTAGTGCCAAGCACCTTTGAAAATATAATCCAACATCTGTAATATTACCAGAACCATATGCCTGGGGACAGAAAAAATCCAAACTTGTCGCCATGCCTTGATATATAGCCAATCCAGTTATATTAAAAGAGCATACTGCCAAAGATGTTGCTGCAAGTTCTAAGGACCCTAGCTTACCCGAGGCATAAATAGAAGTAACTGAGAGAAGATATTGTAAAACAAAGGTTACCACTAAGGGGGCCGCTGCTCGGAGAATATACCATGCTTCAGATTTAGTGTTATCAGCACTTTCCCTTTTTGGTTGAATGTAACTTTCGTAGTCATTTGAACCACTTAGCAAAGGCAGAAGGTCACTCATAGTCTTAGGCAAAAAGGATTACTAAGATTCTCTCTTCATTCAATGATGATTTTTAGAGTATGAGTAATTATATCTGAATACATTTTCATATCTAATCTCTTAATCGCTATACTTGCCCCATACGGCAAGTTTTTGCGAATTGGGCCCCTGCATATACACTGTCTGCCACTTGAATATCTCTGACACTGTTACTCGAATATGATAAAGAAGACTCAGAGGCAAACTTTCAGCATGTAGATTGCGTTGTTAACTTTGCCTACTATCGAAATTAGGGGTGTGGTGCTTCAATGTCGTTCAATTAACAAATAAGATTTTGCTGCTGTTGCAAACCTATATTTTATTAGTCTGTAATTGAAGGTTTTTAATCTACTCTGATCTCACTGTACGACTTTTACTTTCTTTGATTTTGAATTATTTCCCGATAGGATGGCGGACGTTTTTTGAGGTCAAATAAATAATTCAAGGCCGTTATAGACTATGAAAAGAGTCATCTTAACGTGAGCATTCAAATTAGACACCGGGTACTACATAGATTTGTGATTACCACAAGTCAGCTCATTTCTATTGTAATACATAATGAGCATCCAATAGTATTGCAAGATTTATTTGCAACAGACTCTAATGCATTATTTATGAACGTTAAAGCTGCACCTTTACTGTTGAGAATTATATGCAGGTCAACTCGAATTTTATTTCGAAATATGCAGTGATCCGATCTGATCTAACTATACTTCAACAACCGTTAGTTAACTGAAACAGATGTTCTCCAATCAAGTTTATTTGCTCATGGCAATCTAAGCGTGACGGAAAGGCTTGAGATAGTAGCCAATACTGATGTGAGAAGTTATTACATAATGCTAAATGCGTTTCCTGTTAACGATGAAGTTTTACCTCAAACAGAGTGATATCGTATATTAAAAACCACTTTGTACAGCTACATTCGTTTTACTTTATCTTTTGCAATCATTCTATTACGTAAATCATATATTCGTCTAGATCTTAACCTTAGCTCATACGTACGCGCTGGCAAATGCCCTACTCCAATCCCTCTTCCCCAATGGGGCGCCTTCTTTTCGCAAGATGGCGTATGCCATTGCAACATGAAAGTATACATTTGGCATGTGCTTCACACCTACGAGGGCTTTAACAGGTACCTCTACCTGCCCTTCGTGATTGGTGGTATGAGTCATTGTTTCACCTATTTTATCGACTGTATCCTTGTCGGTTTTCTCTAGTTCCTTGAGAACCTCAGCAATACGCGTATGCATCTTTTCATACGAGTCAAGATCGTCATCAGGCTGCTGGTATTCTCGGCCGGATAGAATTGAGGCCACTGCTTCAGCCAGAAAGGTTGCGTAGTAAACTTGAAAGGTAAGGGGATTCATATCCTCACTGAGTCGAGCTGCTAAAAATGTAGCTGAGTCAGGCAATTTCTCAGCCACGCTAAGAATTCTATCGAGAGACGTAAGTGCTCCTTTGGCCATCAAGACAGTTGCATCATAGAGAGAGTAGGACATCTTAGCAGCTGAGGATCAAGGTAACTTTGGTGGAATAAGGAGAGGTGCGGAAGTTCACTATTTATAAGCATCTAGAGAAAAAGCGAACGGCCAACGAGGAGGCTCAGAAGACAGCGTATACCAGATAAATACGCATCTTCTGCCCCGTAAGGATTGACACCATCCTTGACACTAGATTAAGTTAATACATGGTGTTTTCCGCTCCAGTGTCCTTGAATTTGGTTTATGAATTAAGAGGATCTATGTTCAGTATTCATTTACTCTAAGAATGATGGCCCTCTTATATGAAGAAAACTTGTGTATCTAAGCTAATTTACATTAGTATGTTTTCACTGTCAAACTCAAATATCAGTTGATTCGTGTTTTAATGCATAATTGATTTGGCTATAAACTCTGTAAATGTTCAAAGCAGCAAAAGGCAAGATTGTTCTTTATAAATTATAAATATGATAAGATTGGCATGCAATTGATTCTACCGCTTGATTGAAACAAAGATTTCACTTTTGATGTTGACTGCTCCTTTGTATTTGCTCCTGACTCATAATTTGGGGTGAATGAAGAAAAGTACGTACAAGAAACTCTCTCGTACCGCCCTTCGGGATGACATCGTTTACCACTTTCACTCTTGGGCATTTTTGTGGGTTAAACCTATATATATATAAAAGGTTTTCTCAGGTTCAACATAAAAACACTTGAGCAGTTGACTGTTAACATTAATATTTGTGGGCAACGGTATATCAAGGGAGTTGCTGGATGTCTCTTTGAATATGAGGTCCTTATCTTTACATCTTATAATTATGTTATGTGCATTTGCGTCGTAGCTCAACTCAATTGATCCGGCATTCAACTGTGACGATTGAAACTTGATCAACAAGTGATGCATTCCAGAGAGCCTTTGAAATATTGTACTGTAATCTAGCTTATTTGAAGATTGAGATTGTACTTCCTTTGGTAGCGGCTTGCTCGTCATACTTTTGAAGTTGGTGTAGTCAGATTCTATTTCTTCAATTAGCGGCTTCTTGTTATTTATACTCATCAACGGTGGTAGCTCCAGAGTATCAGCGTCCTCATTGTTTTTGTCTAGCTCAGAGATTAAAGCAGAAGTTTCGTTCTCTTTTAATTCTTGTAATTTTTTCAGGAACCCAGATTCATTAAGCTCATCTCGTCTTATAATAGTATGCGAAAGGTCGCCCTTCGATAACATCTTCGGAATGCTATACTCTCTTTCCAAAGTTAGCTCATATAATAGCTCGATTGCTTCTATGCACCATTCTATTAATATTGATCTTAAATCGCTATTGACCTGGCACCACTGAAAGCAAAGGCTATTAATGCAGCAATCATATACTAAAGATGGTTGTCCTTTTTTGTCCTTATTCTCTTTCTCATTGGAAACAATTATTGGAATCTCCCATTCATTATTTATGATCAAAGGGAATACTTCTGGAGGATCAAAATCCTTCGATGGTTTGGGAACTTGCTTATCATGACAAATATTCATAAACACCTTCATATGAATTGGATGGCCTGTTAAATTCCGAGAGTTAACGATCTTTGTCTTAACAACAAACCCGGGTACTGGATCCAACTGGATAGGCTCCTCATCAACTTCTATTGATGCCATTTTGATACTATGTGTTTAAATCTTGATATTTTTAAAGTACGGAAAGTTCGAGGTCTGAAATAGTACTTAGAACGCACAAAGTGGAAGTGTGAACCAAAATAAAAAGCTAATTCCTTTCCTGTGATACGGACTACACATATCACTTGTTGATTTCCCTTTGATATCAGTCTATAGATATTGTTGGGTATTAATTATATCGAAAGTGAACATTGAGTCATGTTGACTCAGAATCATCGAACATTAACAAAAATCGATTTCTCACCAGTTTCTCTCGTACTTATAAATAGTCAAAGTTTCCTAACAGGTTCCATTCGCTAGAACTAGTCAAGATTCATTTTTCTAATTTTATCAAGCGTATGAATGTGCTAGTCTATTCTTCCCAAGGGACGACAACAGAAAGTGTTAAGCATTGTTTAGAATCCCTTCGACTCCATTTGTCACCATATTATGCGGTAATTCCTGTCACAGAGTCTACTCTTTTGAATGAACCATGGATATATAAGACATCCTTATTAGTGATGCCGGGTGGTGCTGACTTGCCATACTGCCGGATTTTAAATGGAGAAGGTAATAGAACCATATCAAAGTTTGTGAAGAAAGGTGGTAGATTTATGGGCTTTTGTGCTGGTGCTTATTATGCATCAGGCCGTTGTGAATTTGAAGTAGGAAATCCCAAGATGGAAGTTTCAGGTTCGAGAGAGTTATCTTTCTTTCCAGGAACCTCCAAGGGATGTGCTTACAAAGGATTTGTCTATGAAAGTCACAATGGTGCAAGGGTCGCTCCATTAAGCGTGAACACCGCAGCTTTACCTGGTTGTCCTAATGTTGTTTATAATTATTACAATGGTGGAGGGGTCTTTCTTAACGCATCTTCCTATGAAAATACAGAGGTTCTAGCGCGATATACTGAATCCCTAGACGTTGAGGATCAAGAGAAGGCAGCAGTTGTTTATTGTAAGGTAGGGAAAGGCGCTGCAGTTTTAAGTGGGACACATCCTGAGTTCACAGCAAGTCTTATGAAGCCAAGTCAGGTTGAGCCTAATTTCAACAATATAGTTCGAACTCTATCGGATCATGAACATGAGAGGAAAGTATTCTTGCAGTCTTGTCTAAAGAAGCTAGGAATGAAAGTCAACGAAGACGTTGACATGTCGATTCCAAGGATCACTCCAATATATTTGTCATCTCATTTGAATCCGAATAGTGTGAGTAGTCTCTTTCAGACCTTGAAACAAAACCTTGATTTTGTCAATGGAAATTGCTTTGAGGATCATTCTGACACTTTCTGTCTACATGATGCATCTAAAAAATCAGAGAACGATCTCTCTTATACTGATACTGAATCTACCGGTGATCCAGATAGCGAAATAAAACACATAAACTTTTTAACTACTGGCACATTGCCTGACACTAATGTCACGCCATATTTCAACATGGAGGCATATTTTGACCATTTGAAAGAATTATATAACTCAGAACCTGGAGGAATAGGATCAATTTTAGGATATGGTGAGGTCGTTACTTCAACAAACACTATGTTAGATTGTAATCCTGGATGGCTCAGCTATCTACCACATGGTTTTGCTTTAACTGCCACAACACAGGTTTCTGGTAGAGGCCGTGGAGGAAATGTTTGGATTAACCCAAAAGGTGTTATGGCACTGTCAATATTGTTTAAAATTCCTTCGGGAAGTAAAAATTCATCTTCTATTGTTACGTTACAATACTTATGTGGACTAGCTTTGATCGAGCTGATTCTAGGATATGGAAGCAGAGATTCCGGAATTGGATATGAGGACATGCCAATAAAAATAAAATGGCCCAACGATATATTTTCCTTGAAGCCTGAATACTTTAATGAACTCACTGATAAAGACAAAACTGAGAAGAAGGTCGAAGGAGACGAAAAGAGGTACGCCAAAATATCTGGAGCTCTTATAAATTCTCAGTTTTTGAATAATGCGTTTCACCTCGTCTGGGGTGGTGGTGTTAATGTCTCTAATTCTGCTCCTACAACATCCTTGAACATAGTTCTCGAACGTTTAAATGTCCTTAGACAAAAGAAAGGATTGCCGGCACTTCCACCATATAAACACGAGCTTTTGTTAGCCAAAGTAATGTATACCATGGATAAATTTTATGAGGTTTTCAAACACTCTGGTTTGAGTCCTTTCCTACCTTTATACTATAAAAGATGGTTCCATTCAAATCAAACAGTTGATCTAGATTCAGAAGGAAATGGAAGTGCTAGAACTTGTACTATAAAAGGAATAACCCCAGATTATGGCTTATTAATCGTAGAAGACATTAAGACGAGTGAAACTTTACACTTACAACCTGATGGGAACTCTTTTGATATCTTTAAGGGTTTGGTATATAAGAAGACTTAGGTTTAAGTAATGATAAATAATGTATTTAGTCGCGAAATACCTCAGAGTATTATATAATATAAGATTTTATTTATTTACAGCCATCAGAAACGACGGGTCATTACACAAATTAATATATAAACTGGTCTTTTCCCATGAAGGTGAAGGTGGTAGAATGGCACGGAGTAGGGACATGGCATTGGAAGTTAGCTTCTGAAGACCAGGACAAAAGTGGATATGTGGACGAGTTATGCGGCATTTGTCGAGTGGCATTTGATGGAACGTGCCCAAACTGCAAATATCCAGGTGATGACTGTCCTCTAGTCTTAGGAGCTGGATGTACACATAATTTCCATCTTCATTGCATTTTAAAGTGGTTAGAGCAGGATACATCTAAGGGACTTTGTCCCATGTGTAGACAAGTCTTCACGTATAAGGACTCCCCAGATATAGCCATTCCAGAGGATATATCAAATTTGCAGACGCTTATCGACAGCCATAGGGTAATGCGTTCAAGAGCGAATAATAGTAGTGAGCAAGAGTTTGAAACTTTTGAAGAAGAATAGGCTCTCTCTTCAAGCTGTTATCAAGACAGAGTTGTTATTAAGACTGTTGTTATTAAGACTGTTGTTATTAAGACCGTTGTTAGTAACATAGTAGAGTTTCTTGTCTGGTTCTTTCCGAAAGCTAAGATATATCTCATAAGAGAGAGGAGAACCCAGCAGTATATACATAGCATTTATATGGTGGCATTTCATGATTAAAGGTTTTCGTTTTTATTAGATAAACTGTAATATCAACACTTAAAGTTCTGCGCATTTAGATATTTCAAAGGTCTATTCTTTCAAGAGAACTGAATCTCAGAACCTTATCCGTGACTCCCAGTTAAACAATGATTCCACTGCTCTTGCTATACAGAATTCCCATGTTGAGGCAGTTCGAACGGTCTGGGTTGAGATTGACTCGTCAATTCACTTTTAGAAGCCTTTCTTCAGTAGGTCCAGTACGTGATAGTCTCGACAGTGTTAATAATACAAAGATTGTAACGGCTGAAAAGTTGCATACTACTGGTTCTCCATTCTCTGCTAGTGAATTAGAAGCAGCTAGGTTAGCGAGAGATGCGGCTATTGGTAAACTCAAGTTCTTGCCGGAAAAATGGATACCGTATGCTGAATTGATGAGATTAGAAAAACCAGCAGGAACACTTTTCTTGTTGATACCATCCTTTTGGGGCATAACCATGGCTTCTTTTTCCATAGGTGCGCCGTTTTTGACCTTCTTCTCTGCTGTGTCTTTGTTTTCCATTGGTGCTGTCATTATGAGAGGTGCAGGTTGTACTATCAATGATTTACTTGATAGAAATTTGGACAACAAAGTTGCAAGGACTATGGAGAGACCAATTACGAGTGGTAGAGTGTCTGTTCCCGAGGCAGTTGTATTCCTTGCGGCTCAATGCTTTATTGGACTTGGTGTATTGTTATCATTACCTTCAGATTGTCTTCTTCTAGGTGCACTCTCACTTCCGTTCGTTGCTTCTTATCCATTGTTCAAAAGATTCACGTACTATCCTCAAGTGGTACTATCGACATGTTTTAGCTGGGGTTGTCTTTTGGGTTTTCCGGCGGTCGGTGCGCCATTAGCTCTTTGGGTTTCAGTTCCTCTTTACATATCCAATTGGATTTGGTGTATGACATATGATACAGTGTATGCCCATCAAGATAAAAAGTTTGATGTGAATGCAGGTATTAAATCAACGGCATTGGCGTGGGGCGATAAAACGAAACCTATTACTTATGGGCTCCTGACATTGCAGGCGTCTGCCTTTGCATTGTCTGGTTTCATGAACGGTATGGGTCCTGGATTTTACATTGGTGGAATATGGGGATTTTACAGGCTCTTCCGTCAGCTTAAGGAAGTCAATTTAGATGATCCTAAGAGCTGCTGGAATTTCTTTACCGGAAACATCAATACTGGCTTTGTATTTTGGTTCGGTATGTTATTTGACTACATTTTAAAATTGGGTGGATTCTTATAATATAAGAAGGATATAGAAAACTCGTTGCAGTATATAGTGTAAAATAACTTTCCCCTTGTCACTGAGACAAATCTCTATAGATGTCCGCTGTGAAAGTCTTTTCCGCTTTGCTTATCATTTTCTTAGCCATCATTTCTCGATGTTCTATTCCTAGTTCAACAAGTGCCTCCATTAAGTATTCCTGAATATATATCAAAGGAATATAATCCGGAATTGAAATCAATATATCCTTTATGTTGAAAAATGTAATGCCATAATTTGTTGTAAAATGCTTCAATGCTAAAAACGTCTGGGATTTATCGTCCCTATCCTCTAGGTAGAAATTCAAAATTATTCGTAAGTTGGCCTGAATATCATTCAACTCTAATTTATCAGGTTTCGATTCAGCTTCCTTGTAATAGTGCTTTCTGGAATACCTAAATTCCCCATATATTGCAAAGTATTCCGCTGAAGAAAAATCCGAAATGCTAAGAAGTGTGGGAATGGGGTTTCTCTTTTCTATGAGAAGTTTAAAATAAGAGAGCATTGGATTATCACCAATTAAATCTTCAAACTTTTCAAAGGAAGATTTGGTTACGTTCAGGCGTATTAGAAACAACTCGTAAACCTTCACATATAACTCCAAAAAACCTTCGCACTCGCTTTGTTTCATATGAATATTAATGTAGTCACTCCAGCTAATCTTTGGCCATATATCATCACTCAAAGAGTTCTCTATCTTATAAGTGCTTTGCAATATTTCAAAATTATTTTTAGTTTCTTCTGACGAAGACCTTGTTTTTAATGTCTTAAGTAGCTCAAACAAAAGATCATCAATAAATTTTAAATTTCCACTATCATCCATTAAGGCAGATTCCAAGATCTCAATCTTCAACATAGAAAAATCCGATCCGTTTGAACTAGAGATTTCTTCCAAAATATGGTTATGTGTTGACGCGAATTTTTCATTCTTGTTCTCCTTCATGAATTGTACTCCCTTATCTGGGTTGATTTTTAGTAACTCAAGTAAGTATTTACCATATATCTTTTCATCAGTTAAAGACTTAAGTACTCTAAAAACTGTATCAAAAAATTTAGGATTCTCTACTGATCTATTATTCGAGGGATGGCTCAAATTCCTTAAGCAGAGTTCGCAAAGCTTCTCTGATATTTCATTATCGTCTTTATTGAACTCGATTATTACCTTGTACAAGATAAATAAGACGTCATCTTTTTTTGATTGCTCCAAGTTTTTCAAAATCAAATGATCATCACTGTCTAGCGATCTCCACGAGTTTTCATCTTCTTCTGACACAAATTTATCAAGAACTTCCGCCGTAGCGTTCCCATAGATGAATGCACGACTTGTGGCTATCAAAGATTCATCATCTTTTGGCAAGTATTTATAAACCTTAATAAGATATTTCAAGCCAAGTTCCTTGGTAAATTTACCTCTCACGGGCTCAATAAATTCTTTGAGGCCCACATAGAAATTAAAAGAGTTCCAAAGTTGATCTATTGGATCGAAGGGAATAAATAGGAATAATATCATTCTAGGATCAATGAGCAATATATCATCCGAAGATTCTGTAATTTCTGAGAGGCATTCTGCAAAATTTTCTTCGAAAATCAAAACGAAAACTAAAAGCATTTTCAAAAATAATTGTACGTCATCTTTGCATGATTTAAGCAAGCTCTTTATATCGCCCTTCGGGCTGTTTGCACTTTCACCTTCAAAGTACTTCTTCACTTCGCTACAAGTTAAGATTACTTCATTTTTTTTGAAGACTAACCATATATCTGACTCAGAAAAAATAAGAAATGTTCCATCAAGGAAAATTCTTGCAGCTAGTGGATTCGTTTCATGGTCTCTGACACGTATTTTGGAGAGCAATTCACCCATTTCGGCATCATCTAATTCTATCGTGGGAACATCACAAAGATTATAAAAAGCTGAAGCTAATTGTGTGTTAGTTTCCTGTGATATTGGTTCTACTTCTTGTTTTCCACTATCTTCTTCTAAAGCTGGCTCTACTTCTTGCTTTCCACTATCATCTTCTAAGGCTGGCTCTACTTCTTGCTTTACACTATCATCTCCTGAGGCTGGCTCTACTTCTTGCTTTACACTCTCGTCTTCTGAGGTGACTGATGTCCTTGCTTGTTCTATGTCAATATCATCTGTTCCCATAATTAAGGGAGTTATAGATTCGTTGAACACTGTATTTAGGTGTATTAATGAGCTTACCAATAATCTAGTCTCGGTATTCTTCTCGAACGCTCCAAAAACAAAGGGCCATTTCACTAATAATCCACTTTTTGGGTATCCTTCATTGAGAAAGGAAAGAGTACCTCTAGTGACATCGCCAGCAGAATTAAAAAACATACATATCGTAGTACTTTCGTCCGAACGAATTGTTACAAGATATTCTTCGTCCCCATCCTTATCCTGAGCAATAAATGGAATGATTTGAGGAGGTACATCACTTTTTGGTAAATTGGAAGGGTTGTAATCAAAAAGAGGAATCTTCTTGGTCTGTTTTAAATCAATTAGATCGTAGCTAGCCTCGTTTGCGACTAAACCAAGGTTACTGTAATTTATCGAAGAAGATGAAGCAGCCGAGACTCCCTTAATACCTTTTGAGTAATTTATATCTTTCAATAGTTTTATCAGATCTGTTCTGATTTGTATTATCCTTATCTTATTCGAACTTAATAGAATAACTTTATCATCGAGTGGGGCCTCTTGTTTCTGTAATGTGACTCGTTGCGAATAAGCAAGAAGCAGTACGTCATTAACATCCTTTAACTTGCCTATCTGACAAGCACTAAGTTCTGGAAGGTTGTACACCACGCATATAGTACCTACTATTACTAGAGCTTTCAGAATACCGTTCATAATAAGGATCTTTTTAACTGGTAGCAGCTCATCCGACAATTTCAATTGAGAAATTAGCATGTAGTCTGGAGCATCTTCAAACTTATGGTAATGTAGCATTCTTCCTTTCAGAGTACCAACGTACAAGTTATTCGTATAGGTGGAAATGCATCGTATACTATCATGATCAAAATCTCCATTTTCGTTACACAGTATTAAATGATGGATGTTAAATAGAGCCTTTCCTTCTATATCATTGATTCTTATCTCACTACCTACCATCACATGTGCTATATAAGGAGATTAAGACTAGATACTCATTAATGAAGCTTGACTTACAAACAATTGTAGATATATATATCAATGTTAGGCAAAATGTAGTTTGTTATATACAGGATACGAAATACTATATTTCAAGAATCAAGAGCCACAGGTGGTAAAGCCGGTGGAAATGCTAGGTTATCTCTATGAGCTGCGTATTCACTGTCTGCGTACCCTAGTACTTCCTCTATTTGGCTACTTTGCAACCCTTTGATTTTTTGGAGTTCTAATGAGCTGTAGTTTACTCTACAATGGCCAATTTCCATGGCCTCAGATCTTGGGGAAGACCTGTTTGGGAGAACCTTTATCGATACACATTCATTTTCATGGAAGGTTCCTTCCACATCCACTATCCCTGCTGGTAATAATCCAGCTCTATTTTTTCTGGTAAGGGCTTCAAAGCATCCTTGGTCAATTAATATTGTGCCTTTTGTCTTGATCCCATGCAACAACCAAAATTGCTTGTCAGATTTAATTTTTGCATCTCGAGGTAATCCCAAGAATCTAGTGTGCAAAGGAATCTTATTAGCAGCAATTTCTTGAGCCAAGTATTTATTCTGTTCCTCTATGGTGAGATCTTTGTTGCTAGTAGATTGAATATTGCTCACGATAGATAGTATATAGTGCGGTTCTGAAGATTCTGTTATTATTGTCGTAACGCCGGCATTAGTGGCAAGGTCTGCTGCTATCAATTTTGTTGTCATGCCTCCCGTACCAACATCTGAGCCTGCTCCACTATCCGTAGTTTGAACTGAAAGCTCGTCAATTTTTTCTACAACTAATACTGGTTTTGCCTGTGGATTGACTCTGGGGTTTTCCTCGTATAGACATTTGACATCTGTCATTAAAAAGAGATAATCTGCATGCAACATTCCAGCAGTAATAGCAGAGAGTGTATCGTTATCACCAAACTTGATTTCTGCTACCGATAAAGTATCATTCTCATTAACTATTGGAATAACTCCCATTTCTAACAAAGCATGTATGGTGTTGGTAGCATTCTTGTATTGAGTAAAATCCATTATATCGTTTCTCGTAATGAGAATCTGTGCTATGGGTTGGTTTAATTGTCTGAAAAGATCGTCAAATAATCCTATTAGCCTTCCTTGCCCTATTGAAGCCAAAGCTTGAACTTCCGCAAGTTTACTTGGCTTACTCAGTATCCCAGTTCTTTTCATTCCAAACGCAATGGCTCCTGATGATACGACCACAATACGATGTCCTTGACGACGAAGATTGACAACTGTCTCCACAATACGTGACATGTTGGCAATACGAGGCTCCCTTGTTACCTCGTCCACCAAGGACGAGGTACCTAGCTTTATTACAATAGTATAAGTGTTTTCTATCATTTTTCGCTAGTTCACTGCTAACAGATTCTTTTAACTTCGAGATGAGAAGAAGTCTTGAGTCATATTCCTGCACATGGTTACATATGTCTAAAGATATTCTATACTTGATTTTGCATTCTAGTTGGCTATCATTCTAAGCCATAATATAGGTATCCATTGGGGCAGACTAGATACTGTTTTCAGTAAAATTTATCTAATAATATAAAGGTTTAGAAATTTGAGGGACTAATTATTTTTAATTCGTTAAACAAGGTTCGAAAAGAACAATGGGCCACTGCCATAACCATCATCGAGAAATTCAATCTTGTGATTGAGCCAGAAACCGACTAACACAACAATATATATCAAGATCAATATCGCGCCCTTAAAATAATTAGATTTTCCCTCCGCATAGATGTAAGTGAATAAGTAAATAGATATTAAAGCTGCAATGATATCCCATCTGGGAAAAACTAAGGCAAACATATTATCAACTTTAGTATATCCCTTAAAGATGGTGTAAACTACCAAGCTTGGAATTTGAATTAAAACGACTTGTAATGCGTAGGCACTACCAATTTCCATAGACAAGGCAACATTCCCTCCTATGGCGAAGGAAATGGCATTAACGAATTCAGTTGTATTAGGGACCAATGCAAATACCGTGAGACCTAAAAATTTTGGATCAATGGGAAAAATTGAAAGAACTGAATCAACGTTGTCAACCAAAATTTCTGCGATTATGGCGTACAAAAGTGTCGCACCAAGTAAAATGACAATTGACTTGTTTCTCGACCAGTTAGGAGCATCATGCCCTCCTCCTTGGTCTTCATTATCCATAGTGCTTGAGCGTCTAGTGATAGGGGCTCTGTCCTTGGTTGAGTGGATCTTCGGTGTATCATTACCAGGCGTTGTTTGACCAAGCTTTGAGGAAGATGCCCTGATGTCAGGCTGCACTGAAGTCAGTAATGAATTACCCTCTCTTTGGAGCTGCTGATTATCCAAACTTATGATACTTGGAGAGCGCAACTGTTCCTCTTTCTTCACTCCCTCGTGCGACGCAGTGGCCCATATCAAAGATGCATGTGTCCTTAAGGTGAAAAATAGGCCACAAATGTAGGCTAGGAATAAAGCAATCGCAACGATAATTGAAAACGGCTTAATAATTTTATAATATAGTTCATCCAATGTGAATTTTGGTTGAGTAAAGCGACATTGTGTACAGTCATCATTATCCACCGTAAAATCGCAGGACTTGCATTTCATTTCATATGATCCATATATTTGATAGAACAATGACGGAGCAAACATTATTACCATTGCAAATAGAAGCATGGTAGATGACACGCCAGCTGATCTTGGATTGTATCGCTGAGTCTTACGTCGGTAAGCACCCCCTACCATCGAAAGTCCTGGAAGTAATAACACACCTCCTAAAATTGATCCTATCATTGAGCCCTCTACTAATTTACCCTTTCCTTGATTTAAGGCCACGCAATACAAAAAAATTTCAACAACAGTGGAAAAGAATGCATTAATAACGGCACCAACTCCCATTGATGACTGCGCTGAAATTGACGCAACTGCTTGTCCTATGAAATAAGCTAAAGGTATGATTGAAAATAAACAAGCACAAAATAAGAAGGAGGCATCCGTGAACCAAGTAGACCACTCAAGCTTTTCTTTCAACAAATAATAATCCAAAATAACAAAGAAAACTGCAGTTAACAAGTTGATAAAAAATATGTTAGTTCCATCAATTGTATACTTATAGTAATGAAGCCCAACACATCTGTAAGTACATAAAAGAATCAGTTGGTGTTTTCTTCTTCTGTTTCCTTTATAGTATTCTTTTTCTGACTCAAAGTCTATTGCTAATGGATGACGTCTCAAATGGTCACATAAAATGCTTGAAATCTTAGCCATTGGAATAGTAAACACTATTAGCCAGCAAATTAATCCAACGATATAAATCACAGGCTGCAAGATTCCGTAGAAGTAAATATAAAATATGAAACGTCCTGAAGACCAGCTTCCTCTGCCAAATAACCTAAATTTTGTACTAGAGAAATCAGCATCATCCGTGCAAAATTCATCTAATGAGGGATAAGCTTCTCTAAGTGGCCTACCTTTGTGATCTTTAAGAAGCGGCCTTGACTCATCAGCATTAGTGTATCTCCTTGGTGGGGCAAAAAATAACCTTCCTTCATCTTGAGATCTCCATTTATGAAATTCTGATATTGACCTACCATCTAATTGATCTTCTTCCAAGTAGTTAGAATCTTTGTTCAAAAGAATGAAACGTCCAAATGGATATAACCAGTAGTAGCCAAGCTTTAACAAGAGTTTAACGTAGGCTCTCAGATACTTGTTAATAGCAAAACCAGAGCACAAAAATACAAAGATAGCTCCTAATGTACAAAAGGTACAAAGAATAACTCCAACGGTCAAGGTCCAAATAGCATTAAAAAAAGAAGTGGTCCAAAATATACCCGTGGGTCTACGCGAGTAAAAGTCATGAATATCTGCGTCTGCCTTCGATGCAACGGATCTTTTTTTCTTATAAAGCGATGGTTTCCAAATCTTTATACCAAAAGGATGTGTTGAATTAATAGCATCTTGCCTTTCTCGCAAATTCAAAGACTCAATTGTTTCACTAGACAGGGAAGAGCGTACTGAACCGGAGTCATTATTGTCCTTGTTTCTATAGTCTTCATATTCCTCATCCTGTTCAGGTATCGTCGGATTACTTTCAATTGCATCCAAGCTCCCTAGAGCTTCTTCCGTAACACGCAAATTATTAGAAATATTTGTTTCAATGCTTGTTGTTTTATTTAATAGATCTTGTCCAGAATCAAGCTTATTATTATCTTTGCCATCCTCTATTGCCTCAGAATATATAGCTGGAAGAATTGAACTACTCTTCGATTTCTTTTGAGTTAATGCCTTTAAGGCATCGTTATATCCCTCTAAATATTGTTCCTTCCTTTTGAGCTCTGCCTCTTCACCAGACTCAACATCACTTATAGCGTCATCTACAGAAAAAACATACTTACCACCTGATGCTAATCTCTTTATATGTGGCTTACTACCGTGCTTTTTCATTTTACTTGATGCTTTAGTCAGCGGTGAAGGAAGGGAAGAAGTGCTATTTTTTGACTCATCATTTTGGGATCCAAGGAGTAGCTTGGGTCGAGGTGATTGCTTGGGATTATTCGGAACATTCAGTAGCCCATCCAGCAGTGAATTGGTCATTTTAAGTCCTCTTAATAGAGTGAACGGCTTGCTTGTAATGTTTTACTCAATAATTTTTTTGATAAGAGGTAGTGTTTCATCTTAATTTGTATTCTCGAACAGTTATTTATAATTATATATATATACTAATTAGTTCCCTAATCTATGTCCTTTTCCTCTAAAAGCACTACCGTTATTACCAAACAATGGTACTGTAGAATGGTTCGTTCCAGCCCCAGACAGCTGGCCAGATATAGGAGAAACTCGTTCTGATCCTACCTCCGGACGGGCATCGAATGCCGTCGTTCTCTTCGATGTGTTAATTGGGTAGTTCAATAGATTATAAAGCCAAATAGGAGCTTTCAAGTAACCTTTATCGAAAATTGAGTCATTTATGAAATCCTGCGAGCTATTATTATCGAAGGATATTTGATTAATTCCAACTCTTCTTCCGCTTCTCTCTGTTGCAGTTAAACTTGAAGAATAAGAGCCCGAATACAAATTGTAGATAGGAAGCGTATTCGATTGAATACACTGATAAAGGTATCCCCCTAAAATTCCAATGAATGTGTCCAAGAATGACGAGTATCCATTAATCATTAACTTGAAGAATAAATTAAAAAGAGGCAAGTAATATGCTCTTATAGGCACAATTCCAAGAAAGTTGATCAATGAATTCTTCAGAGACCTGGACCATAAGTAAGTGACACAAGAAACCATCATCTGATGGTGAATTGGAAAATGAGAAGGATCAAACACACTATATGCCAAAGTCATCAACACTATTATTGTACCCGTAACTAGCGTGAACCATAAGCAGTCTGGAAAGTTACCTTTGAACTTTCCCATTGGACTCTCTAAGTGATTTGCAAACGTGTAAAAAAAGTAGATGTCTAATATCGCTTGAAATGGTTGATCGGTGAAGACTCCCAGTGGTAACAAGAATGCGGTGAAAAATCTGTAACACTGCAAGATTAGTGACAAGACTGCTGTAATAACTTTGAGTTGTCCTCCTTTATTTATTACCGCTTTTGCATATGATGCCTTGTCTAAAAGGACTGGTAAATAACATATTAAATCTTCTTTTTGGAGTAAGTTTAATGAGTTTGCAAAGCACACAATAACTGTCGAAATAGTGAAAAACCTTGTTACTGGTGGTATATTTCTAATGTTATCCGCAAGACTAGGCGAACGGTTGGTTACGGGAATCTGAGCACCATGCCTCCTAGCAGGTGGATCATTAGATGCTTTCGAGCTCATTTGGTCTAAGCGCTTGACAACTTCTGCTATATTCGCTCCATTTATTCTACTCGTCTCCTTTCCCTTTTCGAAAAAGATAAATGTAGGTATACTAGCTACACGATATCTTGATGCAATATCGGGAGAAGAATCCAAGTCGACTCTTGCAAACCCTATTTTGGAATAGCTGCCATTTTCATCCGCAAAAAGTTGATCAATTACTGGCTTGACAGCTTGACAAGGAGGACACCACACTGCAGTAAAATTGGCAACAAAAAAGTTATTTCTGGCCAAATAGCCGTCAAAATCTTTCATTGATCTGACAAATTGAACAGGCATAGCGCAATAATGTAGAATTTGGCTTTTTAAAATAGATTTCTCTTTCTTCTAATTCACAGTGCTATACAACAGCAGATTTTGAGAATTATTTAATCTAGCCAATTTAAAGTTTGAGACTTCTCGTTTTTGTAGACAATGTTATTAATTATGAATCGCTCAATAGAGGCCCCAGGGGGATATGAATTAGTTAATGGGACTGAGTCGGTAATATTCTTTGCCTAAGATACATCTCACGACAGCTCTATCCACTATGGCTGGAATGGGAGATGATTATTTAAATTCTGAGAAAGTAAAATAGAATTCTGAAGCTGTGAAGAAAGCAGATGAGAAGCTGAATGGAGAGCACAATCCACTTATCGTAATTTTTCAAAGGGATGTTTTAATTTTGATAGAGACATACCACAACTTCGGGAATTATGATAGACATTTGAATTAGATGAAGATGCCAGATGTAAATGGTTGAGAAGTGATGCCGAAGAATAAACAAGACTTAAACTTTTAAAGAACTAAAGCACCTAACAAGAATAATAGATTAATGCCGTCTAAAACATTTCATAGTCATTTTCATCTGCTAGTTAAGATGAGTCCGAAGATTCTAAAGAAGCTTAGAAAACTTCGAAGGAGAGGATTTGAAAGGGAATACTCAAGGAGATATTACCCTGTCCCTTGAAGGACTGAATACTTCAACGCAAACAATTGAGGATTGTTGTCTTAAAGTATCACCGTAGATTAATATTGATTATGCCTCAGATAAAGAAAGGATAGCATTCGATGCCACCACTTTAAAAAAGACCCAAAGATGTTACACCGAAAGATATCATAAAGTAACATGTCTCCACGCACAGTAAAGATACGAAAGTTGTGTAGAAAGAGCCTTAGTTGGCTCTTCTTGCTAAAATTTTCGACTCGAAGGTAGGCTATATGGTTACGCTGTATTCTATTCTTGATTTGGCGAATGACAAATACGCTGTTAAAATGAGCAGCTTATTGTGCAGACATGATTGAACAATTGGAGAGTTAAGTATTTCATATGCATTAGATCTTAGGATGTTTAGGCAAAGACTTGAAAAGTTAAATTCTTACTCGTTTAGGAACGTATGCCGACACTTTGAGGGATGATAATTCAGCCGTGAGGTTAAACGAAAGTCTTAAACTTGCGGCCCTATATTGTATCATAGAAAATTCAAGTGATGATTTAGAGAATACTCTACATAGAGGTTACGATTTAGAAGATAATCTTCTGTATTTTGATGGTGTCCTGAAGATTATTGATTTTCGATTTTCGATTTAAGGGAAAAAGAAAGTGAAAGAGAAAGAAAGGCACATATGGTTATTTCTTTTCATTTCTTTTGTATTTTAGTTATTCAATTATTTTTATGTCTACTGTAATAATAAGCTTTAAACCATCTGTTAAAGCACTCTGTCAATTCCAGTTTTCTAAACAAATATATAATGGGAACTTGATACTTTTGGATCATTCAACCTTTCAAAGTCACTGAGGATCAACTTTGAGATTTCTTGTTGATATAAGGCTTTAAAGTGCTTTAAAGGGCTCTAAAAATACTGAAGTCATATTAAACGTGTCTCAAACTGTTAATATCATCGTATAGATTCTTCCTCCATCTTAAAAATAATGAGTTTTGAGATTTCCACATAAAAAGTAAAATAATAATCAAATATCGACAGTTAGAGCAGAGCCTTATTAATAGAAAGATTATGAAGTTGGTACGATTTTTAATGAGTATGCCTAACTCAACAAACCAGCCCGTTACAGTAGAGCTTAAAAATGGGAACTCAATCAATGGGCAAATCTTATCGTGCTCACCTCTGATGAATTTATCATTAAAGAATATCAAACTAGTTCAACCGCATCAGGATCCACAGTTGCTACAATACATAAATATAAGAGGAAATCAGATTCGACAAATCATATTACCCGATGACCTTAACATAGAAAGTATCTTATCAAAAAGTGTCGTAAAAATCAAGGGTAATGGATCCGGACCTGGAGCAAAAAGTACTACAACACCAACTCGAGGAAGGCCAATGAAGCCTAGAGGAGGAAGAGGAGATAGAGGAAGAGGCTTTTAAGCTATTATATTGATTATCTATGTACACTTCTTATATGATTTAATGGAAAATAAAGCCATTTGGAACTTCACCACCAGGTTCTCTTCTTTTGTTCTCTCTTCGCAAGTTGCTTCTTATATCTGGGTCTGGACTTTGCAATGATTTCATCCATTGACTCAATAGCTGTCGCTCTTTGACTGAGTCTCTCGGGCAATGTTCTTTCCCATTTATGTTTCTTAGTGTTTAAAACACCTCTCATCCAGTTCTTGTTAATGTATTTCTCTTCATAAAACTTCTTTTGAGGAAGAGGAGGAAGTAAGTCGTGAATTCCAAATTTGTATGCCATTTTGAATAAGTCCGCTGACCTTCTGAGGGAGAACCTAGGCTCCTGCCATCTTCCTGTTTCTGGATTCTTGTTCGCTAAAAATGGATTCATCTTGGGATCGGTAATCGTAGATGGTGTTGCTGAATAGTCAGCAAATGGTCTCGGTGGATACTTGATGAAAAAATTATGAAGCTTCTGAGGAAGTCTTTTGAAGGCTTCCTTGGATGAAAGTGTCATATTTTCTCTATTTAACGTAAATTTAGTTATAAGCTCTAATAACTAATTAATTCTAACTAGTAAATGCTGAAAAATTTTTGGGCTTTGTGTAATCATAAATTATATAAGTCATAATAAACCATACTAATAAATTAAATTTTACATCTATTCAGGACCGTCAATGATGCACTTGATACATCCATTACCCCCTCTAACAACATCATATGCCTTAATAGCGTCGGCAAACTTAAATCTGTGTGTAATGATTCTCTCGAAATCGATAGCGGCATGCTCTTTACCGTTCTTATAGTTATCATCTAAGATCTTTACAGAGGTCTTAAAGTCGTTGAAACCATATCTAAAGGCACCAAACAAAGTAAGCTCTCTTGTAGAAAATTCCGTGATTGGGAATTTGACTAAACCGCCGGCATTTCCTACTTGAACATAACGGCCACCAGGTCTTAACGAGTTCACTCCCATTTGAATACATGGTTCGGCACCGGAACACTCCAAAACGACGTCAATGGCACCCAATTTCTCCCTCTTAATATATTCTTCAAAGCTTCCACCAGTCTTTGAGTTAAAGGTATGAGAGGCAACTCCGATTTCTTTCCCGATCTCTAACTTTGAATCAACAATATCAATCAAAACGACTGAGCTAGCTCCAAACTTGAGTGCTGATGCTGCTGCAAGAAGACCAACGGGCCCCGATCCAAATACAGCAACATTTTCTCCGAAAGTGATAGATGCCAACTTAACTGCGTGCACTCCGACACTTAATGGCTCAACAAGAGCACCCAATTCAAGACTGACATGATCTGGTAACTTAACTAAGAAGTCTTCTGGACTCTTGTAGTATTTACATAAAGTACCTGGAGGATTATTGCCATCACTACTAGGGGTTGCAGCAAACACCATATGAGGACATAAGTTATAATGACCCGATTTATATTCATCACTGAGTCTAGATGGAAGACCTGGCTCGATTGCAACCTTATCGCCTACTTTCACACTTTCAACCTTATCACCTACTTTGCTAACGATACCTGAAGACTCATGACCCATAACAAGAGGCTTCTTCAAGACGAATTGTCCGATCCTTCCATGAGCATAGTAATGAATATCGGATCCACAAATTCCTGTTTTCTTGACTTCAACCAAAACTTCATGAGGATCACTAATTTCAGGAGCTTTTAAATCTTCGAAAGAAAGATCGTCAACCTTGTTGAGAACCAAAGAACGATTTGAAACCATATCGAGCAGTGCTATTTAAATCTTTCTTATTTTCGAAAAAAGAAGAAAGCCTCTAAGCATGTGGAGCTTTGCTCCTCTTATACTTCTGGGAAAAAAGTTGCTCCCATGAATTATTCCGATAAATATTACTTAAAATAAGGACAACAAAATAGCCCCAAAACACTGAAGATATACAAATCTACTACATTCGCAAAGCAAGCCAGTTACAGTAACTTCTATTTCGTATCAAATAGTAACAAGTGTTATATAAATTTAGTCTTAAAAGTTGTTCTTTTCAGCAGTCATTACCGAGCATCTTTCTTCAGTTCGAATGCAATGCAATGCAAAAGAGAGTCGTATCTCCTTAAGCTTATTTAGCGAAAGTTTGTAAAGCTTCTAAAACTTCCAATTCGATGTTAGCTTCAGCTGCAACAACTTCGTCAGTGGACGAGGCTCTTTTTTGGGCATCTGCAATTAATGACTTAACAGCCTGAGTATCGAATTGATCTGGTTTGAATGCTTCAATAGCACTAATTGTCAACTTGCTACCGGGTTGGACTGTTGCGATACCACCGCTAACAAAGTATTGTTCTGTCTCTCCTCCTTTGGAGATAATCTCAATTAAACCTGGTCTTAATTGCTCAACAATTGGAATGTGGTTAGCCAAGATACCTAAGTCACCATTTACTGATGGCAAGTTAACTTGTTGAACTTCAGACTCAGAGTATAAAGTTTGATGAGGTAAAGCTAAAGATAATTTTAAACCATCAGATGCACCGGCTTCCGTGGCATAGGTTCTTCTCACAATAGATGATTGCTTAGCAACCTGACGTAATGTTTGTCTGAACATCTTTCTATATGATAACAATCACTAAATAGTTAGAAGTTAACGCTACAGTTTACTTGAATTTACCGATTTCCGCTTGAAAAATTCATAGTCGACCTAATTGCGAATTTAATTGGACAATGCTAGACTTCCTATTTTGGAATTATATGAGAAATTTAGTTACTTTGAATATTAATTCTACTACTACAATTCTATGAACGCCAGAAGGTTTTGCATATTTCAAGAGTCGTCATGGTCCTGAAAAAAAAAACAATTATCTTGATACTGGTAGGCAGGAATAACTCAAAGCTCAAGGACCAATAACTACTAATCGCCATCGCCTAACTGGTTCAAGAAGCTGTCAACGTCAAAATTTTCATCTACTGTCACAGGATTATTTGGATTGTCACCAGCCTGATCCAACAAGCTCAGGTTTAAACCATCTAAAAGCATATCATCATTTCCTAGCAAGTTATTCATATCAAGGTCAAGATCGTTGCTAGGCATATCTTTGTCTTTCTCTTTCTCTTCACCTGGATTAGTGTCTAAATTAAAATCCTTGTAGTTTATAGACGACAAGATATCAGATGGATCAGGAATACCATCGGTATTCAGATTATCAGTAAACAGGTTAGGTAAATCATTGAAGTTGAACCCAGGTGACATGAAATTATCAAAGCCAGGTGAATTCTTTTTCTCGAGCAATTTCTTCTTCTTTTCCTCTTCTGCTTGCTCTTTCCTCCGTTTCTCCTCCATTTCCTGCCTCCTGTTAGCTTCCTCAGCCCTAGCTCTCTGTTCATTCTCCGCTCGTTTTTTGGCTTCCCTTTCTTCTTCCTCTTTCAATTTGCGCTGACGCTCTTCTTCTTCTCTGAGCCTCAACTCTTCCTCCTTCTGCTTATTTTCGAGCATCTGTTCTATACACCATCGTGCATCGCTGAGCTTTGATACTGCATCGTCAAGAGTGTCATCAAATTTAGTTATGCTCGTTGATAGTTGTGCTGCTATGCTTGTTGTAATTAATTGATTATTAGTACCTGTAATAAGATTACTCTGTTTTTTATTGTTGTTGATGAATTCAAATATATACCCAGACGACCTGAGAACCTCGTTTAGGGAGAGATTGAGTTTGCTCTCCAAGTTCGACATCCTGGTCCAGCCTGCTGTCGATGTTCTTAGATTAGATTATCCGTAAGCTCTGAGCTTCAATGGCTCGAGTTTCAGTGTGCAAGTGGAGCAAGCTGTCATCGCGCACGTGATTTGTCCCGAATCACAAAAACGCGAATGCTCTAGGCAGATTTGCATTATAAACATCGCGTTAATTTTCAACTCAACAGACGTTCAAGTCGTATCTAAAAAAACAGAAAAATCACAACTCATTGCAAGGTTTCTTATAAACGATAAGTCTTCTCGATTCCTTATTGTAAGAGCTTGGATTTTAGTGAAATAAATGTCAGATCAGCTTCTTGCTAGAGAAGGGCCATTGGGGCACGTCTGGTTAGCTGCTAATTATGATAAGAAGCTTACTAAACAACAATTATTAGGTACAAGCATTGAGGCGAGTTCGACTTTGATATCAAAGACTCCTATTAGTAATTGGACTACCTCATATACCCAAGATGATAAAGGCACCATAACACTCAGATTATCAGGTCAATTATTGTTGGGAATAGTCAGAATATATTCCAGGAAAACAAAGTATTTGTTAGAAGATATGAACGATATTCTACTTCGACTCAAGAACTCGTTTAAATATGTCATCGGTGATTCATTCATTGGTGAAAAGGCTCTGGTAAATGTGGCACCGCAACAGACAACAATATCGAATATAAATACTATTATGTTGTCAGACCAAGTCACAGGTATGGACTTATTGTATCAAGATGATTTAGACTTGGATCAGATTCCTAGTAAAAATTTATTTGACCAAAATGAAAATGATAATAATGGAGATTCCAGCTTTACATTTGACCAATCAATAGAATTTCCTAGATATACTGAAGATAATGACAATCAAAACGTTACGGGTAACGATTTAGAGTTGGAGCTTGATTTCGATCTTGAGGACGATGTAAATGCAAATGAAAGTCATGATGATTCTGTGGAACTTGGACGAAATGTGAGCAACATACCAGATAATCCTGAGATCTCCATTCTAGATGACCTAAAGATGGCTGACCATGACCTTGATTTTGATTTCGATATACCTTTGGAAGGTTCTGAGGATCAAGATAATCATTCCGATGAACCAGCAGAACCAGTAACACCGGAGATTGTCTCGCAGCCTGTCCCGCAGTCAAGAACAAGAAGAACTGGTGTAACAGAAGATGGACAATTGATCACAAACAAAAGAAAGCTCAAGATTGACCTACCAGAAGAAATGGAAGGTATATCTGTCCAAACATTAAAACAAAATCAACAAATTCTCGTAAATGGGAGTCAATATATAACAGTTCCATTATCCGAAAAGGATAAGATGCTATTAATCTATGAGCTCGCAATGCCAATCCCCAAGAAAAGAAAAACATGGAATATTGACAATCAGTTAAAGCAAGCATGCTTCGATTTATCGAGAGAAGAGGAAGAGCAATTAGAAGAACAACATCAATTGCAATTTAATGAGTTGGATGAATATAATGAGGATGTAAGCTTTGACTTGTCTCTTCCGGGCCTAGAGGAGACAGACGTGCTGCAAACTGATCTTGAAGCACCACCGATTCAACATGAAAGTTCACAACATGGAAATGGGACAGAACTTACTACACAAGTAGCACAGGGGCTTCGAAGCATTTTCCTTGAGAAAGAGGTAGCAAGTCTTTCTGAAGTGATTACGAAAGATTTGTCAATTAACGAGAGTGACGTGGAGAAACTTCCCTTGGGAATAGTTAACAAGGCAAATGGAGGAGAGATCATTAATAACAGGAAAGAGGCCACGAAATGCTTTTTTGAGCTTTTGGTTCTCGCCTCTCATGACTGCGTTTCTCTATCGCAAACGTCCAAGGGTAATACCGAGATTGGCGGAGAAATTTGCATCCAGCCAAGAGATAGAATTCACAGTTTCTTCCTTTAAATATATGTACATTAGATTAATATTTATATCTAAAAATGAATGTTGCAATACGGCAGTTCCGTGTTTAGGCTTATTCGTCCAGCGATTCATCGTAAGACTGCAAAATGTATTGGAATCCAGAATCGAGATCTTTATTTTCTGACATTCTAATTGAGTTTTCTAGTGACTTCGAGTCTATTGTCCAGGCAGAAACGGATCCATCTTTAAATCCTATTACCAATTGATTGCCGCTATGCGTGAAAATGGCAGACGTTGGCACTTCTTTAGTAGTTGGAATATTGAAAATAGGATTCCACACTTTGCATTCGATATCCCAGAAGTTGATCACCGGAATATCTGACATTCCAACTGTGATGAACTGAAAAGGGTGATTGGGACGTACAGCAATACTTGATATCACACTGGTTGTTGGAATGTTTATTAATGGCTTGCTCCTCTTCATATCCCAAATTCGTAAATTCCAATCCAAATGAGAAGAGATAATGAACTTTTTGCCTATACGATCCATGGAAGTTAAAATTGACGATTGAAGTTCATTCGGAGAGTCCTGAATAATATATGTAGTTGCTTTTAAATCATTATTGAATCGGTATAGCTTGCCTTCTTCTACTCCAATAATAAGAGTATTCAAGACCTTCTCTTCTAAAGATGCTAATGTAGTCGTCGTCTCGCTGTCAAGTAAAAGTGAATCCAGAACGATTAGATTGTCTTCTAAGCCTGGAAATTGCAGAAATTCATCTGATGAATATAATCTTATTGTTTTGAACTTGGGAGCCTCCAAGAAATTCGTTGACCACGCATTCACAGATCCATCATAAGAAGTTGAAACTATAACAATACTTCCATCGTTTAAAAACTGGTTAATGGAAGAAATCGCCAGTGTATGAAAAGTGCCTAATATAGGCGTGCTCAACGTCGGCAATCTTGCCACAGTAGAAGAATCTGAAGATAGTAAGTCCCATATGACTATTGTACCGTCGTCTAATCCTCCAATAATCTTATTCGAGTTTACTTTATCAAATTTGATTTGGTTGATTTGAGAAGTACATTGAAGAAAATATTCTGGAAAGCTGTTGGAGCCTTTGAGGCTATAAACTATAGCATATCCCTCTGAGTCACATTCATGTATCGATTCAGAATATGCAATTATAACAAGCTCTTCAAAATGAGGGGATACGTCTATTGCAGTAACGGATCTTCCTTTCTCTCCTGCTATGCTATATATTTGATCAAATGAAATACTGGATTTTTCGCTTTTGTTTGCATTAGATCCGTCCAACGCTTTATTATAATCTATTACCCCATTGGTGTCAATTGCATCCTCTATGACGACCTTATTAAGTAGCTTGATACAATCTTTAATCAGTGCATCTAACAAAGGCACATCAATTTCTTTTAACGCCGTTTCTTCAGATTCTTTAGATTCCCTGTCTGGTACTTCATAACCTTTTTCATTCACATCACTGTCGGTAGTACTCGATGTCTCTTCGTCGTCTTCGCACCTGACCTGAATACCTTTATCAAAAGTTTCCTTCTCTTTCTCTAAGTTATCAGGAATATTTATCTTGTTATTTTCGGAGACATTGTCAACTTGTATCGCTACACTAACCGTTTTTGTTTCACTCACTGGTATTTGAAGCTGATCTCTCAATTCGTCTACATTCACTTCATGTTCACTGGACTTCAATAATCTCTTCTGTTTAAGTTCTTTGAGTCTTTGACGCTTTTGCTCAAGAAGCAATTGTCTATCTCGTGGCTCCATGCTTCATTAAATTTTCTCTTTGTTATATATAACACTTGAGTACTTAAATGATCTGATTAACGCGTATTGCAAAAAAACAATTTTAATGATGTTCGGGACTTTAATTTAAGTGTATTCTATAGAAATATTACATTAAAGATGGATAAGGGCATGGAGATAGATGATATTTTACAAGAATTTGAGGAAAAGTCTAAGGAGCAGAATATTAGATCATCCAAGTTTCAAGATGACAATATATATAATAGCTTAATCGCGGCAATGTTGAATGAAAGGATGTCTCCAGAAATTTTACCGTATCAAAAAGACTTGATGAGGAAAGTATTGGAGCACTTATCTAATCAACAGCAGTATCTATTAGACTCCCATGAATATGGAGATTTGAATCTAGAGTCGGGGATTGTTTCGGGAGACTTTAAGCTTCAATTAATGATAATGGAAACAGACATTGAACGGGTTAATTATCTTGTAAGATTGTACCTTAGAACGAGACTATCGAAATTAGATAAATTTACGCTTCATTATATAAACGAAACCTCGAAAGAGTCTAGTCCACTTTTATCTGAAGAAGAAAAGGACTATATGCATAAACACTTCAAAATTCTTACAGAGCTTTACAATAATTGTTTCCTCAAGAAAATGCCGGAGTATTTAACCTACTTGGATGATACAAGTGGAGGAAAATCTATGATTTCAATACCAGATCTCAATGTACCTGTATTTATAAAATCTGTTTCAAAAGAACCCATAATAATACATAGTAATGATGATAATGACGATGACCTTGAGATTGTGTTGAATGGAATCTACGTGGTCAAGTACAGCTTGGTGAAAAAATATATAGAACTAGGTGACATAGTTCTAATATAGAATTCAGGATTCCACTTTCTTGCTTATTATTATGTAGTCTATATAGTCTATATGATGGAATAGTCGCAGCCACCGGGGCATTCGACATTCTCTTCTTCAACAAACCATTCTCTCAAGCAGCCGAAGTGACCCCTATGTCCACAACGAAGGCTAACGACGACGTTTAATCCTTTGCACGGTTCTCCACAATAAATGCAGCTTGGCTGGGGGCTTGAACATCGACTGCAATACCAGAGACCTTGGGAAAGATCCTTTGACTGTTCATTTACTATTAATGTTTGGCACTTTGGGCAGTAAAATCTAAGATCAAGATCCTTATTGGTGGCTAGATCTGAAGCTAGGTCCTTAGGAGCCGTCTTTATGATTTGCACGGCGTTCACAAAAAGTCTCTTTCTTTGAAGTATTTCCACGTACAAAGAAAGCCATTCCAAACTTCTGGCCCTGTCAATATTAGTTACATCATAGAAAAGCATGGTGAGAGTAGCACAAAAGACAATATCTCCTTGTAGGGCTGCATAGTCCAATGCTTTCAGCAATAAGCTGAATGTTTCCCATGCTTTCGAGGAAGTTGCATCATTTTCACTTTCATTAATTGCTCTTGTCAATTCTGAATGCATCAAATTTTTATCCGCAGATTGTCTTTCCTCGACGTCTTCGTTCACCTCATCTAAACGGTTGTCTTTGTTTCTGGTCGTTTTATCGTGGGTCTTAAAAAAGCCCTGCGTTGGTATGACCGAGTCTCTTCTTGACAAAGAAGATCCTTGAGAATGCGGAGCCGAATATCCAAAGGATCCATGAGAGTTATATGAGTGATAAGTGTGGCCAAAACTCCCGAACCCGTCTCCAATTTCTTGATGTGTTGAGGCAGAAGAAAATGACCCAACAGCTGCTTTATTTAGTATATTTTGGTTTTCATCATCTAAATCTTCGCTATTCTCAAAGTGATATTTTGTGGCTACTCTCAGATAAGACGGTCGCCTTTGGAACAGATGCTTGCCTACCAAAGTCTTTGAATTTGGCAAAATCTCCATTTTCAGGTAATTTTCAGGCTCCGCCTTTATAGGGCTATATTTTATGGGCAGACTACTCGAGTCTTCTGAAAATGAAGCGACGGAGTGTTTCTTCCCTATTTCTCTGGAGATTTTATTCGGTTGTTTCAGAGATGAGTCTGACTTACTTCTCTTGATATCAACATTCGAAAAGCCCTCACTTTGAGATTTAGCTTTGCTATTTACATTATTTTCTTCGTCATCATCCTCTATTGCATCTTCGTTGTCATCGTTAGGAGGGTTCTCGTTATTTTTAAAAAAAGCATTACTTGAGGTGTTAGGGCCATGTGTGAAGCTGTTTCCTCGGCCAACGTTAATAATGTTCATTAAATTGTGAGATGACAGATTTTTAGTTTCAGAATATATCTGATTAAATGACTGCTGCCTTGATATTGCTTTTTCCAGTGACTCTGCGCTATTTTCGTTGCCAGCGGTGCCACCATAGTTGGTTGTCAGGGTAGAATTTGAGTTGTATGAACCTACAAAGTTTCCCAAGTCTGACAGAATCGACCTAGAATCGCCTCCCTGGTCATCCTTTGACTCCTCTGTGAAATCCATATTGGTCTTCTCAACTTGATGATTTTGCTCAAGGCTGACTGCTAGCATACGCCAAACCTGGCAATCCCTATATCTGTTTACACTAGCAGCGACGCTAGCGTTGAGAAGGCAAACATCATGTAGTCGAAATCCATCAGGTATAGATATCAAATAGTTTTGAGATAGTGCTTCAAAAACATATTCATCGTTGAGTGGTAAAGGAAGCGAAAGTGGAACAAGATAAGGCGAAGCATAATTGACGCAAAGCAGTTTTCTTTTAGTATTCACCTTTGTTTGAGCTGCGTGATTAATTGACACTGAAGATTCAAATGTAGACTGAGATTGGTTTCTGTCTAAGGAAGGTCTATTTTGTGCATCATTAAAAGCCGATGATAATCTGCCTGTTGGTTTTGGAGAAGATTTCAAACTATGCATCATGGGTGTTTTCTGATTCGTATTCCGATCATTTTTCAGCGTAGCTGTACTAGAATATGCAATTGGAACAGATCCCACTTGAATCTTTGAACCATAGGGTGAGTAGTCACCATTATAATTTGGTTCAAAATTGCTAGCATCTTGGTCTTCACTCAACCTTCGTAAGTGAAGAGCTGACTCTCCATACAGAGGAAGCTCGTGACCCGAATCGCTATACATAGAAGCCTCTGTAGAAGTATCTGTTTCAGAATTAAATTCAAATTCATCTTTTTCTTGAGTAACAAAACAAAAGTCCCCAATGCCATCATTCCAGGTGACCGAAACGTTACTCAAATTGTCCAAAGGCTTGGATATGTCCTGTTGATTGCAATTATTATCTAAATTGTAAGCAGCAAAGACATTTGACTTTGTTATTGTCCACATACTCCTAGTTTGAGAATAATTTTTGGCCCAAATAAAGTTCTGAAACGGTTTAGTTGAGGTAATAACTTCCTTGGGAATATACTTTCTTTTAAGGTTGAAAACAGCTAATGTCGGGTCATCGTTTAGGTACAGGCATGCAAAGTCATAATTGTATAATGGATTATTAGTAGTAGAAGCGTAAGCTGTCTCTCTTTCTTCATAGGTTGATTTTTCGTCAAATTTGGAATATTCTGCATGGCTATGGTCAATATCGTTAGAGCTGCAAGCATAATTCGACCATCTCACTTTCATCACTGGCCCATAAGTATTTACAATAAAGTCTGGACTAGTATTATTGAAAGCAAATGATCTGCCATAATTCCAAATGCATAATTTCTGATCACGACCACCAGTAATTACGTATTCTTTTTCAGGATGAATATGTAAAGACAATGCTGGACCCGTGTGAAAATTGCATTTACGTTCTGGTGTATATAAAGGTAAATGCAGTTGTTGATGTCCAGGACACCGTAAATCATGCATGCATAATGTACCTGAATCATGAGCCGACAATACAGTGAGTTTGTTCCTTACCTGTGTATGTGGTGAAATTTGACATGCCCTGACAGGATCTGAATGACCGCCCGAGATTACTGTAGTCTCTGGTTTAACAGATGAAGATCTCAAGTCCCATAGCTTGATAGATCCATCTTGAGAGCCTGATATTAACAAGTTAGGATTCTCAGGTTTCGGATTGAAGTCCAATGAGTTTATGCAACGTTTGTGATCAGTAAATTTGTGTGTCAAACTGGATTTTCCATTATTATTCACCTTATAAATAGATATAATTCCATTTGAAAGACCACAAGCAATAGAATCGGTCGATGTCTTTATCGTATTGATATTATTAAGCTTACTAGAAAGCGGTATTCTTGATTTGGAGTATAGTGGACCTGCCTGCTCAAGAACGTTTGTTTCTTGTGTGATTCGAGTTTGTTCACCATTCAATGTCAAGATCTTTAAGTAGTTTTTTCCACCTATCACAACATGATTCAAGGTCTCAGCTTCACTATACGGCGATATCCCTGATGGGCTATATTGTGACACGCATGCTACTTCCCTCTCACAGTTATATGTCAATCTGTTCTTATTGGCTGCATTGTCGTTTAATCTTGATCGAACTGAACTATTCGATGATGATGGTGACCCACTCTCAATAGATGACGACTGATTTAAAGCTCCATAGATATTGAATGCAAATCTAGCCAAACTCAGTTGGTTTGGAGTCGAATAGCTATTGCTAGACATAGTCAATTACTCTATATTACTATCTCTAATAATAAGTATAAAGGTCCCTTATATAGTGCGTGAGAAATAAATTATATATTCTGTTACTTTTTTGGATACCCATTGAATCGTTACATCAGAGATACAAATATCTGGTTTACAACATTTATAATTATGTCACTTCTGTTGACCTTTTTGCTGAAAGCCTTAAAGTTTCTCAAGACAATGGCTCTGGTAGGTATTTCAGTAGGAGTGCTTCTCTTAGCAGGCTTATATACTTATCAGTCTTCATTGATATATCCATCTTCATTGAACGATGGTCACGGTTATTGCGCTACTCCAGACGAATATGACATGCCCGACTACGAGCTGGTTAGCTTGAAGACAGATGACGGTGAGTTATTGCAATGCTACCTGTTGAAACATGACTCTCATTCACCTACCTATGCAAACAAAACAATTTTAATCTTATCACCTAATGCAGGGAATATTGGTCATGCTTTACCAATTGTGTCAATGTTTTATAAGAACTTTGGATATAATGTGTTTATATACTCTTATCGTGGGTATGGGAAATCTACTGGAAAGCCATCTGAAGAAGGGTTGAAAAAAGACGCTCAAAGAGTTATGAAGTACTTAACTATTGAGGACACTCAATTCCAGCGATCGTCTATAATCTTATACGGAAGGTCATTAGGTGGTGCCGTTGCTATATATATAGCTGCCACCATGTCATCCTCGATAAGTGGTATTATATTGGAAAATACGTTCTTGTCGATAAGGAAAACGGTTCCACATGTATTTCCATGGTTAAGGTTCTTTACGAGTTTTGTGCATCAAAAATGGGAGCTGGAAACGTTAGTACCTTTAATCCCTAGGAGCGTCCCTTTGCTACTTCTAAGTGCTCGTAGTGATGAAATAGTTCCTCCGGATCATATGGATAAGATTTATGAACTTTCGAAGAGTGAAAACAAAGAGATATGTAAATTCGAGAACTCTTTGCACAACGATACCGTTATACAGCCTGAATACTGGGATATAGTTCACAACTTTATAAAGGGCAAAGTCAATCCGATAGGGTATTAGAATATAAGCTACAATAGAAATCTTCATACATAAATTGACATTAATTTGTATGTATACAATGATCAATAAGACTGACAAATCGAAAAAAGAAAATAGACTATAATGACATATATTCAAACAATTGGAGTTTTATCTCGTGAAATCATATTCAAGATCATAGCATTGTAAGCTTACGTCTTTTGTCAATCTCTAAATCCTCAGCTTGATAGAATGAACTTTTCTTTTATCAAACAGAGAATCTAATACTTCAAGTCTAGATCCCTAATTAATGGGTTTCTTACAATAAAATTTGTGGTTCAGAACCCTTCTTATTGGAATCATCATGGGACATAAAGTCCACCTTTTGATCATCAGCTAATCTCAACACTTTCTTTAATCTTTCACCCACGGTCCTTAACTTCGCCTCATCACAATCCTTGGTCCAAATTCCAATTCTGATTGCTTGCTTTCTAATGTTCAAAACAATACCATTAACTTCTTCCTCGTCATCTTCAATTGTTTCGCCAATGACTGATAATAATCCACGTAACCATAAGTCATTTATAGCAGCGCCCACTTCGCGCTTATTTGAAAAAGAATATTGCCATCTCCCACCTTTGGAGTTTTTCTCATCTTCCCATTCAGGCTTGATACCTTCTTTAAACAAATGATAATCGGATTTTAAAGGTAATTGATTGGCAGGTGGGATAGAATTATAAATTCCCCAAAATTCTTCGACCGAAGAAAATGTAATTACAGGTTTTAAAAGATCATGCCAGTTTTCATTCTTATTGACTTGCGGTTTCGTATACCATAATGTCCATCTACTGTTTAAAGGATGTTTGACAGTAAATTCTTCCTTATCAGATAAAACAGTATCCTTGTTCTCCAATGAAATTTCCTCAGTTTGCTTAGCTAAATCTTCTGACATATTACTAATTCTGCTAGTTAATAAATATTCTTAGGTTCAATAATATGCATCTGGTATTATATTGAAGAAGGTATCGAGTTTTTTGCTAATACAAAGTACCCAAATACTTTCGCCCGATTAACATCAAATTTGAGACAAAATATATCCCAGTAAATGATTACTTACTCTTTAACTTTCTCAATTAAAAGAACTTTTCACTGTAGGCGTCTAAAGACTTTCAAATTTCACTACTGTCCACATCCACAAACTTGACGAAGCATGAAAGCGAAAAATTTAGCACACTCATGCGCGTAAATTTGATACCATATCTCACATATATAAGGCGCTGCTAGTGTAAAATAGAAACCAGACTTATAATAGACTTTACAAAACTTCAAGATATACCCATTAGATCTTCTAAAATCTTACAGATGGATAGATAAACGAAAAGATGTTGATATAACCTAAAACCTGACTGACTATTTAACTTTGAGATTAAAAAAAAAAAGAATAATGTACAAAGATCCGAGGAAACGTAGATATGTAACATGTTACCGGTACCAGCCCTTGCATTCACAGAATAAATCACCTATAATAAAGCACCCAAAATGAGAAATAAGCTTCCTATAAGTCCAGCGTAAGCATTATTATGGCCACAGGCTTCTGCAGATGACAGTATGGTAACCTGATCGTATGAACGTACTTTTCCGACAGAACCATCGATCGTACCTAGACCAACATTTCCAGATTTCACATCAGATGTTTCAGCCGCAGAATACGTCTTCATGAATGTCTGTTTGTAGATTGATTTGACAGTAACTGGGTTTCCATCAGTCGTAATTGTAATCCAAACCGAAGTTGCACTCACTGATGTCTCTGTTTTACCACCACCACCTTGATTGCCACCTAATCCTCCTTGTCCCAAGGCAGCGGCCATACCTATTATCGACAAAAATCCAGCGAACAAATATAAGAGTTTCATTTAAGCTTAATTTGTTGCTTACCCCGTGTTTATATAACTTTCAAATATTTCAAGAAGGCTCAAGCGAATGTAGAAGAATATTGTTGCAGCTTTTTGCTTATCTTTAGCGATCCAATATGCGATTTTTTTATTTCTTAAAAGCCTCCCTTGGCTCAGTCCTGTTTAAATTGCTAAGAAGGAAGAAATTGAATTCGTTTGAATCTCGTTATTTATTGACGAAAAAAAACGCTATTCTATCACGTGATTTGATTGTGAAATGTATAGCCACCTTTTTGAGCTTTTCATTCCTTGACCTAGTAATACAGAGAATGTAAATAGCACTGTGGTAAGCAAGATGTTACTAAGTATATCATGGTCAGAATACAGTACACCGTTGGGTATATAGGCCCTTAATTTCAAATATGTTGTGTTTGCTGACTCAGCATGTGACACTTCTTTGTCGCAAATCTTTTTCGAGATGAGCTATAAGCGTATTTTTCACACCAAATTCACTACTAGTATCATCACTAAAGGATCTTTCTCTAGAGATGGCTAAAAAAACTTTGGCTGAGCAGATTTCCCAGTTTTCTACTCCTCAAACAGGATTTGATATTGAGGATGCTGAACTTGGAAGAGACGGCTTTGAAAGCGACGAGGAGGAACTAAGCTCAAATTTTGATGACTCTGACGATGAGTTGAAAAAGCTGCATTATGTTGAGGTCCCTAAATCAAATTTGAGAGGCGTTCAATCCCAGCCAACTATGCCAAAAAAGTACGGCGGAAATCGAATAAGTAGAGACGAATTGAATAACTACCTGAATGAAATAGACTCCGAAGAAGAAGTAAGTAATGGAGGCTCTGACGACTACGGTTCTGAACCAGAGGAAGATGCTTCTTCTGGAGGAGATAGTAATAATGGATCGAACTTCTCAGAAAGATCAGACGAAGGAGATGATGATGATGCAAGTGAGGACGAAGTATATAATGATGAGATAGAGAGTGCTTATGAAGAGACACCTGCTGGGAAATCTGACGAAGAGGAAGAGGGAAATGGTGATCGCTATAGCAAGAAATCTAAATTGAAGCAAATACTATCCAATGAGCGTAAGCATGTTGTCAATCGAATGTCTAATTCGACCTCTAGTGATGCCCTTAAGGGCTTTGCTATATTGCAGCAGCTGAAATTTTTTGATTCAATAATAGACGTTAGATTGAAAGTCCAGAAGTCACTTTTGAATTCTAATTTGCTTCCATTCAATTCAGATGTTGTAAAATCTGGTGCCTTGGCAACAAATAAGACTGATAAATATATTTCAGAAGCTGAAGATAAGTGCTATGACTTGCTTGACAGTATCTTCGCCTTAAGACATCAATTATTGACTAAAGATTCTATTACTAGCGAACCAAGAAAAATCAAGCCGAGGAAAAGAACCTATGATGACTATTTGGGGACTTCCAAAAAATTCGATTCTATTTTGAATTCATTTCGTGAGTCAGCTCTTACAAAATGGTCTGCTAAAATACAGAATGCATCAGGCTCAAATGCGTTGAACGCTAGTAAATTTAAAGTGATTAATCAATCTGCCGAACAACAAGTTCAAAATAATTTGTCTGACATGGACCGATTAGTTAAAAGAACGCATATGAATAGAAGACGAATAAAGCCTTTGGGAGTTGATTTGTATTTTCAAAACAATAAGCAAGAAACAGGTACAAGTGAGATGGATGTAAATGCTGATATCCCGATTGAAAATGAGTCAACAAATGTATCAGATCTCACAACGATCGACAAGATTTATGATGATGATGATTTTTACCGCGTGTTGCTTAACGATTTGGTCGATAAAAAAGTGCAATCGAGTGACCCCACATCAGGTTTTGCCATTAATCTTACAAAGGCGAATAATTCCCAAAAATTTAAAAAGAATATTGATACTAAGGCGTCAAAGGGACGTAAGCTACGTTACCACGTTCAAGAACTTATATCAAACTTTGAAGCACCTAAGGCATCGTGGAAGTGGGATGATAATCAGATTGATGAATTTTTTGCTTCCTTACTTGGTCAAAAAGTGAATATGGATGAGCAGGAGGATGAAGATAGTGAAAGGGATTCTGATAGTAACAATGATGACGTTACAGTTACTGCTGGCGATAATGGAATCAAATTATTTGGATAAACTTTGCTACAAGTTTATTAAATTGTAATACATGTATTCCGTATATATATATTTATATATATAATTAAACTCGAACAAAATTTATCAAATTCCAACCCAGAATTTGGTGCTTTGGATCTGCAAAGGATGTTTGAGTTCAATCTTATCACTACTAGAGCCGATCTGGATTTCATAATCGCCCATTTCCATGCACCACTCTTCTTGATATTCATCCCAAAATGATACCGAGTCTTTCAACGATAACTCAAATTCAATTGTTTTGCTTTCTTTACTTCGTAAAAAGATCTTTTCAAACCCTTTCAACTCCTTAATGGGACGAGAAATCGACAGTGAGTTTGAAGCTATGTATACTTGTGCGCATTCGCTTCCATCTCTATTACCAGTGTTTGCAACAGCCATTTTGATGAATAGCCTATCAGATGTCTCATCTTTGTCCAATTTCAAATCTGAATATGCAAAAGTGGTGTAAGATAATCCATGTCCAAAAGGAAAAGCCACTTCTCTGTCTAATTTCTCATAGAACCTATATCCAATATATATACCTTCACCATACAAAACTTTTCCTCTTTCTGTTTTAAAGTTCAAATAAGTAGGGTTGTCGACATTTTTGTAAGGAAATGTTAGAGACAATTTACCACAAGGATTGACATCACCGAATAATACATCCGCAATGGCATTTCCTGTTTCGTTTCCCCCATACCAAGCCTGAACAACACTCTTTGCTTTAGACAACCATGGAAATTCAACAGGTGTCCCTGATTGATTGACAATCACAGTATTAGAATTGACGTCAAGTATAGCTGAAACCAATTCATCAGTGTGCCCTGGTAAACGCATATTGGACCTATCAAATCCTTCAGATTCCCAATCACTATTCAAACCAATACATAACACAACTTTATCAACAGATCTGGCAATTTCCACTGCTTTAGCTCTTTCTTCAGCTGGATCGATTACTTTCGCCATCCCAACATATAATCCCCCGCCTCCACCGAAGTTGATTACATTCTCGTTCTTGAGTGTAAATGTGGGAAGTGATCCAAATTCGATCCTTATGGAATAAGTATGGTCTTTTTGTAATTTGACAACGTTCTTTACTTCTATAGTTCCACCCCCAAAAAATGACTCTCCGCTCTTCTGCTTGGTTTTATTATCCACAACTAATCTATCATCAATGAAAAGTTGAGCAGTACCTAAAACAGTTAAACTAAACTCATACTCGGCAGTTTCCTCAGGGGTGAAGTCTCCAAATAAGTCGACATAGTATAAGTTGGATTTTATTTTATCATTATAGTAGTCTGCTAAAAACATCCTCGACAGGTTTAGATTTATTTCATCGACTTTATATCTATCGCTTTCGGAGCTTGGGTTAAGATAAAAGATTAAATTGAAACCCTTTTCACCAGTGATTGGATTTTTGACCGAATCTGAAGCACCTGGAAGGGCTTTATGGCCGTAAGCACCTACAGTATACCGTGGCAATGTCCCAAGTTTATTAACGATGCCCTCAAAAGGTGTCACCGTAGAATAAGGAACTAAAGCAGCCGATCCACCCCCACAATAAATTGCTTGTTTCGCATTGGGACCAATCACCGCTATCTTTTCGTTTTGACGTAAGGGCAATATGTTGTCTTCGTTTTTTAGAAGTACGATTGACTCAGCTGCGACAGTTCTTAAAAACTTTCTTGTTTTGGAAGTATCATTAAGCGTATCCTCTTTGGCGTTTTCCAATATGTTTGATCCAGAAGTATATTTCAACAATTTCAAAACATTCTTAACACGACTATTGAGATGTTTGGAGTGTAATTCTTTACTCAGAATCATATGGGCTATTTCATCTGTCCTTCTAAAGAGCGTAGGACCAGGCATTTCTAGATCTAATCCATTCTCAATCGCGTCTTTTGATGTATAAGTACCAAACCAATCTGACATGATCGTCCCATCATATTTCCATTCATCCCTGAGGACATCTTGCAAAAGCTTTTTGTTCTGAGAAGCGTGAACTCCATTTACTTTGTTATAGGCAGTCATTAATGCCACCGGAGATGCATGTTTAATCGCCAAACGGAATGGTTCTAAGTAAATCTCACGTAGTGCCCTTTCACTAATAACGGAGTCACTTGAACTTCTTTCATGCTCCAAATCATTGCCAACAAAATGCTTGATAGTTGCAGCTATGCCCTTATCTTGAATGCCACTAATAATAGACGCAGATGCCAAACCAGCAAGATATGGATCTTCACTAAATGATTCAAAACCACGTCCCCCTAGAACTCCCCTTTGCATATTGGTGGTTGGACCTAGTATAACATGCGCACCCTTATGTCTAGCTTCATCAGCCATTACATGGCCAACATCATTCAACAATGACTTGTTGAAGGTAGATGCTAACGCCGTTCCACAAGGGAAACATGCAGATGGAACACCGTTGAAAAACTTGGTACCTCTAACCCCATTAGGCCCATCACTTAGCCTTATGCTTGGTAAACCAAGTCGATGAACGGGAAAAGTATGCCAAAAATCAATACCACTCAATAAGCCAATTTTTTCGGCTAAAGAAAGCTCATTCAACACTTCATCCACGTCAAAGTCTTTAGGTAATGTCATTGATAAAAAATATGAATTCGCTGCAAGTTTATGTGTTAGTATTTTTGAATCACAAGTTTTATGTGAGTTTGGGAAACTACCAAAATATTAATACTTCGTTTCACACTTTGTGGAGCAGACACAAATACCAATGCTGACCGCAAAATTTACTCATGACTACACGTCATTTCTCGAGTACAACGTAGAATGACCAGGTGGCTTATCATGATTCGAAAACGCATATATGTGGCTCACGTCTGTTACAAAAAGAGTTTAAATCATAACAAAAAGGTACCCAATTTCAATGCTTACTCACAACTTATTTCTTTAGCTTATACTAATCTTCATGTAATTATCATAATGGATCCCTTCCTATTACCTTCTACTTAGTATATAACTACATCTGTACATGTCTTTCATAATTATTATTTGTGTGCAGGTCTAATTTCGAAATGTCGATTTACCTGCCCTTATATAATAATAAGTACATCAATCTAAATTCATTGCTTTGAAAAATTTTCCTATCTAAGGAGATTTCATCTATTTGACGTCGGTAATAGTTAGTGGTTATGTCAGCAGTACCTGATAGTTTTAAGGCACAAATCAATCAAGGTGTTCCGGGGTCAGTGAAAGCACGGCCAGATCCATTGCCTGCGGGCAAGAAGATCGCACCAAACAAGAAGAGCCCATGCAGCTTTGATACATCGTTCTCGGAGGCCACAACAGGTGTGACTGTTGCTGGCCGTACTGGGGATGCTGAGAAAGGATTCAAGGAGGTAGAAGAAGCACTTTCAAAGGGAGACTACTCCACGGCTATAAGGGTTCTTTATTATCTTAAGTTATCAACATTCTATAATGAAGATTCAGCCAACGTATGGGCATACGTTGCATTTGCTTTTGCGCACTTGGGGTTTGCGGAACATGTGGGTTTTGCTCTTAAAAAGATGAAAGAACCCGGTTTAGACCAAACAGTTTTGAAGCCTGAAGCCATGACTGAGCTCAAGAAGATCAGTAAATAGATTTCTTTATAAATATCCGAACATATCAGAATATTGTTTTAGATTTTAAATTTATACGTTAATTTAATATACCCTTATTCTGAGAAAATGAAAGCCTTGTGCATTATAGTATTTAATACAAGTGCGGTTTAACATTTTAAATTGTGTAAATATGAATACACAAACTCGCTCGTAATCTTGAATGTAAACTGCCTAACGATGTACAACAAAGGATACACGCTGATCAATAAAGAGCCAACACTCACTTGGGATGGCGGTGACTTGTAAGGTAGAATACTAATTGTTTCTCTTCATATTTCCTCCTTTCTATAAATTGCTGCGAAAAAAAATAGAAACATAACCCAATAATTGTTAAGAACTGCAACAAGCAGAACATAAAAATGAAGATGAAAATCCTTAACCGCATTCAATATGATGCTAATCATAGGATTTTTTCTGCTAGGGAATTTCGTAGCATTGAAAAAACTTTCGTAATTGTTTTCTCGAGTTCCTGTTTCCTTTCGTTGTACTTAGCATAAGAGTATATTTTAAATATAAGAATAGCTGATTCCTATAAACCCAGTATTCTGTTTAGTTTTTCAGATACTAATTTAGCTAGTAGAGTCAACATGTTATATTTAATGATCAACAGCTCTGATGTTATTGATATTATTAAAGTAATAATTGGTTGCAGCGTACTTTCGGTGGTCTACTTAATCTATTCAATTGTGCTACCTCCCCGAAACTTTCCCAAGAACATTCCTACCATTCCATTTTATGTCTCATTTCTAGGATCCTATACAGAACTTGACCAGGGGCAAATCTATACACTATACTTAAGGGATAAATTAGAAGAGTATGGAGCAGTGAAGATCTACTTCGCATCTCGTTGGAACATACTAGTAACAAAGCCAAAGCTTTTAGCACAAATATTCAAACAGGAAGACATCTTTGCAAAAAGTGGAAATCAGAAGAAGATTCCGTATTCAATTTTATCGGAATATACTGGGGACAATGTAATAAGTGCTCATGGGAAAAATTGGAAGTTGTACCGGTCTCTTGTAACTTCAGGAATTCAATTTCCCGAAACTCTCCCTGTTATACGAAATTCGGAGAAATTGATCAATATAATATCCCAGGAGATTGAAAATGAAAAATGCGTCATGATTACTGACCTTGTGCAAAGGTTTTGCCTCGCAAACGTTGGTGAAGCAATGTTAGGAACAGATTTTCAAGCATTAGAAGACAAGGAATGCGATCTTCATGAAAGACTAAAACAAATAAAATCTCAAATCTTCAAACCTTTTTACATGAATTTTCCTTTCTTCGATATGTTTCCTATTCCGAGTAGACTTAAAGCAAGAAATGAGGTCAAAAATTTCAGGAACTACTATTGTGAGAAAGTCATATCTTCTCAAAGAAGATCACACGTAAGTAAATTAACGGCAGGTTACGCTTTGGTAGACGCTTTAAAGGACAAGCTAATAACGGAAAAGCAATTTGCAGACAATGCTGTCATCATTATGGTGGCTGGCCACGAAAATCCCCAATTATTTTTAATGTCCTTATTGTACGTGGTTGCGAAATACTCTAATGTACAAAAACAATTAAGAGAAGAATTAGCCATTAACGGCTATGAGCTTGACCCAAATGCTCCATCTTTGCTTGCAATTATTTATGAAACACTACGAATGTTCCCTCCTTTAGGGCAAATAATAAATAGGTGTACAGTGGAGCCCGTAGTATTGGGGACAGATATATGCATACCAAAAGGAGTTTACGTTGGATATAATAACTACGGAACAGGCAGAGATAAATCAGTATGGGGCGAGGATGCAGATGAGTTCAGACCAGAAAGATGGGGAACAACGACTGAGGAAATTACTAGAAATTACTTAGCATGTAAAAGCAGCAGTAAATTAGCAGCTTTTCATGGAAGAAAACGGGCATGTCTTGGAGAGAAATTTGCATTATATGAAGCTAAAGTATTCATAACCGAAATAGTTAAAAATTTTGAAATAGAGTTAGACCCTACATGGAAGGACCGAATTACTTCAGCAGGACCAATATGCCCACAGCAGTTGAGACTTGGGTTTACTTCAGTGAATAAATCTCCTAAATATGAAAACCAATAATATCTCGAAACACTTAGTATTTATAAATAAATGGGAGATACTATTGGACGTTAGATTTTATGCCATATATTTATGTTCATAAATTTTGATATGCTTAATATTAACATATAACATACACTTCGTCTTCTTTTTTGAGTGGAAAAGAAACTTTACAGAAATGCCTCTTGATTCCATAGACGAAAAAGAAAGGAAATTAGATATTGAACTTCTGCCTCAAGCTTCGCCAAAGAACGATATACATGTACACGAAGAAAGAGATGAACTCGGTCTGGAACCCTATAGTGCTTTTCCTAAGGCACGAAGAACATTAATAATCACAGTTGTAACCTTAGCAGGATTTTTAGGTCCAGTATCAGGTAACATTTATATTCCAATTTTACCACTTCTACGTGATGTATACAAAGTTTCTGCTACATGTATCAACGGGACAGTGTCAGTATTCATGCTAATATTCGGAATTGCTCCTCTAATATGGGCAGCTTGGGCAGATTTTGGAGGAAGGAAGACTTTGTATTTGATATCGCTTGCATTCTTTATTCTCGCTAACATTCTAATCGCTGTCGTGCCTCCAGAAATTGGAGCTTTATATGCTTTACGAGTTGTTCAAGCTTTTGGGGCTTCAAGCGTGGTGTCGGTAGGTGCAGGAACTGTCGCAGATATTACCGAACCGAGGCGAAGAGCTACTGTTATATCGTATTTTATGTTGGGACCACAATTAGGACCAATAATTGGTCCTTTACTTAGTACCATTGCAACAAATGGACATTGGAGATGGATTTTTGGGTTTTTGGCTATTTTTGGTCTTGTGGTATACTTAATCATCCTATTTTTCCTCCCGGAGACATTGAGATGCTTGGTAGGGAATGGTCAATGCTATCAAAATAAGTCATGGTTCTTGAAACCTGCTTTGACTCAAAAAAAGCTCATAAGAGATAATTCAAAGTACCCCTCACCAATGAGACCCACAATTAGGAGCTTCTGGAAGGCATTCAAATTTAAACCTGTTGCTTTGTGCTCCATTAATGGAGGATTACTTTTCGCAGCCTTTTACGCGATGAGTATTACGTTCACAGTAGTATTACAGGGCCAGTACAACTTCTCAGGGCTCCAGACTAGTTTATCGTATATTTGTCCTGGAATATCTCTCATATCTGGCTCGTTAATTGGGGGTAGGTTATCGGACTTTGTCAGACTTCGAATGTTGGATAGATACCAAGAGAAGTATGTCCCAGAGCACAGATTTCCTCTTCAGTTATTAGGATTACTTGTATCCATCACAGGAATCTTAGGTTATGGATGGTGTGTCGATCATAGAGTCCATGTCTCTGCTGTCTTCGTATTTTTTTTTTTAGGAGGTTTCGGAATGACATGGGTCTTTGTAATGAATACCACATATTTGACAGAATGCTCAACTGGTCAACCTGCTACCAACGTTGCTCTAGGAAACTTAATGAGAAATTTAGCTGCTGCAATATCTTCCCTTATTATTGAAAAATTGATACAAAGGATGGGGTTTGGATGGTGCTTTACCGGGCTAAGCATCCTAAATCTTATAGGAGTTGGTTTCGTCATACTTTTAAGTTTTTATGGACCTCGCTGGAGAGAAGCTGCAAAGAGATAATACGGAAACAAGAAAAAAATAAATATCAAGTCCAAGAATGAAAATTTTCGTGGCCCTTTTCTCTTATGCTTATTTGATTACTGTTTATTAATAGTTCACTACTACATAGCTAACATTAATACACTGATAATAACAGCTGTTATGGATATCGGAACAGAAGCTGCTGCTCCCTCATAGTTCCTCTTTTCCACTACTTGATTAACCTGGGAACTAGGAGTTGCAGTTACTATGACAGTCACTGTAGAATCAACATAATAAGTTTCCACGTTTTGTGATGTTGTAAATGTAGGACTGAATGAATTATCTGATGCACTCGAAGTGACGGATCCCGTGACACTGTAAACACTATTTGTAGAGATGCTCGTATCAACTTCTGATATCGCTGCTGTTGTGGCTGCCTCTGACACATTAGATGTTATTAACTCTTTCAATTGTTGAGCATAGTTTTGGTTTCCGTTTGTATTAGCCCAAGCTGAAGATGCATCCCACAAAGAGAATCCCCCAAAATGTGCGTCGTTCTGGAACTTGTCGACATAGTCGGCCACAGTGGAAGCATCATTGTAGCCAGAACCAGCGGACAGACTTGATGCAGGTAGACCAACAAACAATTTAATGTTGCTATTTGGGGCAGACTTTGCATAATCGGCCCAAGTATCATAGTTAAAACTGGACCCTAACGCACAATAGTTATTGTAAAATTGAATGAATGCAAAATCGAGTTTCGAATTTGCCATCAAATCACCGACTGATTGATCAGGATATGGGCATTGAGGTGCGGCAGAAAGATAGTACGTTTTAGAGGAGTCACCATCGAAGTAATCTCTCAATTTGTCAGCCAAAGCAGTATAACCTGTTTGTTGGTTATTTTCAATATCGAAGTCAAAGCCATCAACTACTGCATCGTCAAAGGGTCTTTCATCATCGGAACCACCTGCGAATTTGTTCCATAAGGTGGTTGCGAAAGTTTCAGCCTCTGAATCTGAATCGAAACCATAAGTTCCACTGGCTCCCCCCATGGATAATAATACTTTAATCCCTTTAGCTTGACAGCTTTTAATATCTGATCCGATATCTGAACAATGCAATAATCCATCAGAAAACGTATCGGAGCACTGGTTGGCAAAGTTTAAAGTCAAGCTGGGAAAGGAGCTGATGAACGAAAGAATTACTATATTTGCCGATGATGTATCACAGTATTCACTTAGCCTTTCTTGATTTAAACCAGCATTTTGTCCCCAATAAACAGCTACATTATTTTTGGCTGAAATATCGAGGGCTGACAGAAAATTAACGAAGGAAGTGATTGTTAAAAGGAGCGACAAAAGTGGGCTGAAATACATTTTTCAAAATGCGTGTTTAGTAAGGAATGAACACAGTTGGTTTTGCTTGATTAACTCTACAATACAGAAACAAGATGGAGGGTCGCATATAAGTAGTATCCCAAAAGTGTTTGAATGGTGTCAATTACTGTGAGGTTTTTTAATTCCGCTCAACTGCGTATTGGCCTGCAACAGACTCGCGTCGTGTTTCAGGCACCGATTCTCCTTTTGACTCGAAATCTCAATGTCCGTCATTTAACAGTATTTAACCTTAAAGTCAGGCGAAATTAAGAGCAGAAAGAGAAAGAGAACGATAGGTAGAGCCCGCCAGCTGGTGGTGCAGAAGATTCTGTTGAAGTACGCCTTTTCTATGGCATCATATAGCCTTCACTACGAGTAATGAACCAAAAAGTGACAAGTAATGCCAACGGTTAAAAAAAGCTTAGGCCCCTCTCTTGCTTCATATCGTCAAAACAACAAGTACAACTAAGTTTCAAAAAACCGTGTATTGGAAACAATTATTAATATCTTGTGTTTTGAAATAAATTTTTTTTTGATTAAATAGAGGTACAAAACGTACCGTGATTCCAAATAAGGACCCCTTCGCAGTTTACTTCCTCAATATTTTGACCGTATTAGGAAACTTGCGACCACGCAAAACTGATGAAACATTACCACTAAAAACCTAGCAGTCAAAGACGATGCATTGATCTCATTAACTCACTAATCAAACACGTTTAACCAACTCTATTCACCCGCTCAAAAGAGATTCTAAACTCGTGTTTAACATAAGGATCAGCACCCAGCAATCTTGACCATGCTCTCAACTTAGGACCATTGTAGCAAAAGAGAGTTGGAATCATAATCGAGAGGACCGTAATAAAAGCCAAGATGTGCCCCCACGCTATTGGAAATTTCTTAGTTGCAAGATTTTTAAACAATAGTCTTCTTGGATCTTTCAATCAAAAGTTAATACTTTCAAAGCTCAGCTTGAAGCTGTACTCTCATCAAATTTATGCACTTTCTAAGGTGGACAGTATCCCAACATTTCAAAACTTCTGAGCTTTGGCTGCTTAGTAAATGAGTTTATCATAGCCATCCAACTGAATTAAGTAACTCCGAGATTCTATGCCGGACATTTTCTTAAACGTTTAAATATATGAGTGCATATAAAACGTCAGCTCCCAGACACCATTCCTCTCCTAGAGGTAACATATTCCTCAGGTGTCAAACCCTTCGATATGCTCATTTATTGCAAAAAAAAAATTTTGGCTTGCATAGATGATTAAGACCCTAATATACATATTACTGGAAGTGGAGTCTTACCATATAAAAGATGATAGATGGACCTATTAACGAATTGCTCTTCAGAACTTAATTAAAAGAGTAACTTAGTAAGTTGATAGTGTCTAATTCAATAAGCTCGAAAAGAGGTCATATATGAAAGAATGAATATGTTGCTTCTAAGGCATTACTCATGTTGTTGGTGACATCTTGGGTTGTGAAATACAATTTTTATTTGATTTAACAGGGAAAAGCAAAACGTAGCGTAACTCCGAATAAGGACCCTTCGCTACTACATCTTCGAGCCGAGCATTTTTACCGTATTAGGAAATTTGCGACCACACAATCCTAATGGAATATTAACACCATAAAATAATTCAAGACTATCCATTGATCTTTTAACTAATTATTTAAATACGTTTGTTTATTCGACTCTATTTACTCGCTCAAAAAAAAGGAAAAAGCATAAACTTGTGATTAAAAATAGGATCAGAATTCAGCAGAATTCAGCAGAATCAAGCATATCTTGATCTTACTCTCAGCTTAGATCCGCTGCAGTATAAGGGAGTTAGAATTAAAATCCAGCATATCTTGATCTTGCTCTCAACTTAGGGCCGTTGTAGTAAAAAAGAGTTGGAATCAAAATCATGAGGACCGAAATAAAAGCCAAGATACATGTGCCCCACGCTATTGGAAATTTCTTAGTTGCAAGATTGTTAAACAATGCATCACCAAAAAGAGGAAAACACCCTGCGATTACCGAACGGAACAAGTCATTACCTGCGAAGACTGATGCCAAATATCTATAAAAAGACGCACCCAAGTAATTAAATAAAGTTTGGAAGATAATGAAAGCACCGACTGCAAATACCATTGCCCCGATCAAAGGACCAATCCAGTGTAAATCTGGAGAGGCTGTCCACGCAAAAATGAAAAGGCCGATCGGCATCATAATACTTCCGAAGATTGCACTTGGAAGGAAAACTTCTGGAGCAACTTCCACTCCATTAAATATTTGTTTTGTAAACCTTTGATATATAATAGGAATATAAATAGCAGCACCAAGTAAAACACCGATGATTATACTAACATATGACACTCCCATTTCGACCAAGGTAAAATGATGAACTTGATAGAAAACGATCGGATAAGCCTCAAACCATAAATAAAGGATAGAATAGACCAATGCAATGTAAATATTAATCAATAATACGACGGGCTCTGCAAAAGAAATTTCAATTGGCCTCCATAAAGTGTCAACGATAATTTCATGAGTTGTCATTCCTTTAATCTCAATCTCTCCATCGCTCGTGATATTTTCATTCCCAGTTATTTTTCTTAATCTCTTTGCCTTACGGTACAAAAGAGTTTTTCCAAAAGTTTCGGGCAAACATAAACCCAAAATTCCAAAGCAAGTACCAGAAACGATACACATGAACCAGAAAGTCCATCTCCAACCTCCTTTCACTGTTAAAATCGAACCGAATAAAGGACCTAATGAGGGACCGAAGACTGCACCAATGGACCAGCAAGCAATACCAACAGGCATATATGGGACAGTAATAATATCGCCCACAGAAGCACCACCGGTAGCCAAGGCCGGTGAGGCAAAAAACCCACTGATGAATCTCAAAATGCACAATCCTGCTATATTATCTACCAATGCAGTTGGTATTTGTAAGATGAAAAATAAAAATAAAGTTATCATATAGATAGACGTACGACCAAAAGCTGCATTTTCCGACAAAGGCAGCAAAACCATCGGCCCTATACCATAGCCAATAACGAATAAAGATAAAGGTAATGTCGCAACAACCCTTCCTATCTGAAATCTTTCCATTATTTCTTCAATACCTGGGGTGTACACAGCAGATGCCATATAAACTGACACAGTCAAAAACATAATTTCACCAATGAAAAATGCTTTTTGGTAGAAGGGCCAATTGTATGGATTCTCAGGATCATCCTCACCATCCCACTCTGCTAATATAATATCAGGCTTTTCGGAAGCTTCTGAATCACTTTCTTCCCTGTCAACTTCCGTGTCTTTCTTAGCCTTCTCACTTAACGATGACTGTGATTGTGTTGCAGTTCTATCTTCGGGCAAATATTTCGCCGGAATAACGTATCCAGGTTTCTCCTCAGGGTGTTGAAAAAGCTTCTTACCAGACAAATGGTAGGCAATTCTCCCATAAAAACTATCTCTAAAGAATCTGTAATGCATTATAAATAAAAGAAGATATGTACACCTAAGAGGATAGTTTTTCAATAATCTTTTTAGATAATTCGAATCAAAAGATATCGCTTCTTGCTGCTTCCAAAATTCAGCTTAGAGCCACGGCATCCCATCATATTTATATATTTTTGGAAAATAATCGTACCTGTTTGCCATTTCAAATCTTCTGAGCTATAGCCGCTTAGTAAATGAGTTTTTATCACTAACTACGTTAACCGAATTAAGTAACTCCGAGATAATGAACGGTCAGTTTCCTAAAACGTTTACTCCGAAAAGTGGCTATTCTATTCTTTCTAGAAATGCGAAGCAACAATAGCTAAGCAAGAGACTCACTTCTCTAGCTAGATACAAAAGGACGCTTCGGGGCACTTCACATCTCCTCGATTAGAAATAAGATATTGGGCAGATGTCAGACTATTCAGTATTCTCGTACGGCTATATTACTTTTACGTTCGCAAGCGATGACATAAGCTAAGCCTACATATGTTTTATATATATAAATAGTACTAGAAGCGCAGGGCTGGATCAAAGATGATATGTCAACGTATTTACGAATGCCGTTCGGTACTTAATTAGAAAGCGTATTTAACAAACTGATAGCTTCCAGCCCAATTCGTCGCATATATCTACCCAATCCATGCATAAGTCCCCTGTGGGGTTCTTGCGCCATGATATGGCTATGACGTCCCACAATCTCTTTATGTTTCCTACGTGGTAGACGTCGCAAAATCTTTGTAAAATTTCAGACATTGTTCTTCTATCATAACTCTTACAACATGACATACCACAGATGAGTAACGCCATTTTCAATGAGCTTGCGACAGACGTTTTTAATAAGGATTCTATTAGGGTTAGTGAGGTTACCACCAAACTTTGTACCTCACTTGATTTCGGCTGCGTCTGTTTGATGTAAAGAAGCGCATAAATTTTACATACGGATTGATAAAGCCCAAAAAGTTCCAAATGGTGCTTTGATTCTTCAGGCTCTAATAATGATAATTGAACTTCATTAGGCGTGCAATTTTCAATGCTTCTATTTAACTCATTGTACTTCGATTCGACATTCTTGAAATGTAGTAGTCGTTGACGGATTAGATCTGGGTCCCTAATTTCGAATGAATCGAGCATTGAATCTATATGTTGCCTCAGTTTTTTCAAATTAGCACTTGTATTCATTATTTCTCCCAATAACAAGAATATAGGCTGTATACAGCCTTGATTAGGATCGACCCCATAGTCTGGCTTATCCAACAATTTATTTGTACTGAAAATGTCATTATACATCTTCATAGAACACGAAGTTCCGTTCGAAAGTGTCATTGAAGACATAATATCATGGAACTGAAAATTTGAAACGAGCCATTTAACGTCATTAGAGTATTGAAAGTCTTGTAGAAGTTTTGATATCCCCCCATATTGCCTTAATAGATTAGCGCATTGGTTAAAAAGCGAATACCACTCCAGAGTATCACCAGAGCTTACATGAATACCAATAGCGATCAAATAATAGCAAAATATGACAAAGTAGCTATATTTATCATTTTTGTCAAGACCAATGAAAGTCATATTAATCATGGAAGTCGCTCTGCTCAAATACTGCGAAACTAAGGCACTTTCAGGACCCTCCGAAAACACACAACCCCAGGCTGCCAATGCATTCAGTATTGATTCGTCGCTAGCGGACATTGCAAAGAAAGTCTTTAGAAAATAGTTAGATGAGGCGGGTGAAACACATAACATTTTTGCAACTCTTTTCTCGAAGTATTCCAAAAAGCCTAACCCTCGGTCATCTAGGTAAATAGAAAAAGTCGAAGAAGGAGGTTTGATAAGTGAGGGTATTAATGTGTCAAAGTCAAACGAAGCTGGGGTAGTTATTTCATCTGCATTCTTTACCAATTCGAATGGATTAAGACTAAGGGCCAGATCTCCAAGGTCTTCTAAAATTTGGGACCCAGTATCTTGAATATATGGAGAAGTTTGCAAATGAGAAATATAAGGCAGCTTTGATTTGTCTATCGTAGTCTTTGCGACGATGCCTGAAGAATTTCTAGTTGTATTTTTTGAAAATTTCGGATCCTGTTCAAGTCCCAGGGGTATATACTCTTTGATTTGCCATGTACATTCAGCACCCTTGTCTTTGCAAAAACCACATATGGGATGCCTTTCATCGCATTTTCTTCTTCTCTTCTTACAGTTAACACAACCTGCTCTGGATCTTTCTATCGCTGGACTCTTTCTTATCGAAGTAGAGCGCAGCTTTACAGGTTCACAGTGACGAATCAGATTTTTCTTTTCTCTAGATGTATTCGTGTCTCCAAGATCAAAGACAGAGTACATATAATTCCGTAGCTGTTTTCAGATTGAAGTGTAATTACATACTTATCTAATTCTCGATAAAAGTAAACCGAGATAAATCGATGATCATTTCACAAATATATTTCCTTACATACAAACCCTATAAAGACCACGGAAATATTAAGTTTTATAATGCTAAAATATAAGCAAAAAAGATACTATTTAACTATTTTCAAGTCCAACAAGGATTTTATGATTTCTCCTGATTGATATTAAATTTCCCTTCATTTGAGGTAAGAAGAGTCAATCACGCTCTTCCCATGTACTTCACGACCTATCAAAAAAAAAAACACTCGATATTCAAGATAGGCTAATTATATCCAAAAGCGTATGAGCAGTAATTTATTACCGTAGGCTCCCGCATATCATGCCATCAACCTTCGTCTTCATCTTCATCTTCAATATCTGTCTCTAAGTCACACATTGATCTACAATTAGGACAATAAAACTGAGGGTAGCTTTTTATAATGATGGGACGGATACATTTATAATGCCAAGAATGAGAGCACGGACTGATGAATAATGCTTGACATGGTTCAAGTTTTAATAAACAGATAGCACACTCAGATAACTCGTCCTTAGCAGCTGCATTTCCTGTTAATGGGTTCATAAGTCCGTCATTAGAAATTTGTAGATTCTTTAGTTTTTTATGGATCTCCAAGTTAAATTGATTAACCTTTCTCTGCCAGCTTTTATTAAACTCACATCTCATTTTAACACATCTATAAAACTCCTCAGTTCCTCCCCGATAATCCATACCTAGTTGGATAATGTCGCCATCTATTAATGGCATCAATGTCAGCTCCTGGGAAGCCTGCGACAACCTTATGTGATTCAAAAATGTACCTGAAGAAGACCTACAATCTTTTAAGAACCATTGGCCATCTTCATTACATTGAAATAATGCATGGGTTCTTGAGACAACTTTACTTTTAAAAACGATAGGAGCTGATGACCCCTGAGGCGCGTGTGCTGCTGCCTTATTTTTTTCTGTGTAACGCCCAATCGATATCTTAGAATTCTGCTTAACTTTCCTAATCACGGGCGCAAAATATAGACCTGAAGCTGAGGATGAATGATCTATTAGAGGAGTCAATCTGACTGAAAAGTATCCATCCTTATCCATTCCATTGAATGGTCTTGTAGACTCATCCAAATTGTCTTCTGAGACTTGTGTTGTAGGTAATCCCATGGCATCTTCAGCTTGATTTGTCAGGGGCGGAATGTTCTCATTACTTGATGGCTCCAGTTCACTACCACTTGAGGTTGACATGTTATTATTTGCTTCTTCGTGTTCCTCCACCGTAGGTGCCGACTCTCCATTATTTGTCATAGTATAGTTACTCAAATTTGCAATGGTAGGACTATTGGACATAAAAGCATGAGGGTTGGCAGAAGGTGATGGAGGCTGATGTGTGCCATTCAGTGGATTACCTCTAATAGAATTTGTAAAAGAACTTAAAAAGTTTAATCCGAAAGATGATCTCCTGGGAGGATGCGTGACTTGGGGAGGAGGCGCTGGCACAGCTGTAGACGACGCTGGAACAGTCGTTGATACAGCTCGCATAGGGCCATTACTATTAGTCCTTATATTTTCTGGCATGTCATTATTGACCTCGCTCCTATTCTCTACACCAGAGTCCTGATTGTTTATTTGGGGGCCACTTGTGCTACTTGCTCCACTGAAACCGTTGCCGTCGCTGTTTTCTAAAGCCAGCATATGCTCTAAAGCTGGAGAACCAGGTGCACTTGATAATGGTGATGCTATTGGAGACCCTTTATTGGATCTAGTATTTATCCGAATTCCCCCTGGCATTTGTTCAAGCAAAGGATCGGCCATTTCTCAGTTGTTGCTGATTAATTCCTTATGTTACTCCAACGAAATCCTTCAAGAAGAGAACTGTACCACTCCGTCAACTGATGGGAGTTCTAGTTTCAGGATTATTTTTCTCTTGCTTGTGGTCTTCTAAATGTATACTCACCACTAGACATAAATAAGGGGATGGTCGTTTAATGTGTGCTCGACTACTAATAAACGTGATCAGAGGTGGGAATACACAAACTTCCCCAAACGTTTATTGAAGTGTTTTAAAAAACTCAGAAAGAATGGAACGATAGAGGCTAAGATACCTCTTGAGTCTATGTCGATAATTTCTTGAATGAACCTCTTTAGATTGGTACTACTTACAAATTCCTAGTCGGTACTGTTACCAGCATTTTCTTACAAAATTTGACACGAGATTACTGAGTATTTACCTTTTTCCTAAAAGTCGCCACTACACCTCCTAATGTGAAACCACTCAGGAGAAAACACCCAAAAGACACAAAATGAGAAATGTAGTAATAAAAGAAATACAACATCTTCAAGCGATAGATAAAGAATAGATTATACAAGTTGTAATGATTAATCATTGATGATCTGTCAAAGGCACCAGCTAGCTGTCGCCGGAAATTAGACGGAGAAGAAGATCTTGTAGTTGCTCTCTACCGCGAGGACTTTTCCATATAAGGTGTTGACTTTCTTTGGCGATTACCCACTCGAATGCCTTACTACTAAGCTTCGTTAATGATCTTTGCCATTTCCCCCAATTTGAAGATCTTTTTATGACATAATCTGAAGATATGACACCTAATGGAACATTACTGATATCTGCACCTTTAAGTTCGTTATAGGATAAAATAGATGATGTTATCTGTTCTTGAAGCCGAGCTCTGATATACTTCGACAGGTGATACATATCGCGACCAAATATTCGAGAATTAGAGGAATATCTCTTGGGATGGAAAAACCAATGAATGCTTGTTGTTATTCCTAGCGGTGATACAAGCCCTTTAAGCCATAGCTTGAACCCAGTTGCAGTATCCATTAGTTCCAATATGTTTTTGAATACATTTTTCCCCTCATTCTTATGCCCTGCAAATGGCCGCTTTCTCAATAAATCTTCATGCCAACTATCAACTAATAGAATCGAGTGAATTCTTCCCGGATTTCTTGACGCAAACATTCTAGAATATAGACCACCTATATCAAAGCCAACTAAAGAATAGGGTCCCTCGATTTTTTCCTTTCTCAATGCTTCAGCTAAGTGCTCAGTGATCAAGCTAATGGATACAGGCGATGGAGCGCTATCAGAAAAGCCATATCCTGGTCTATCCCATATGCAATATCTGTCGAGTTTATTCAATTGATATAATTCCTCGACCCATTCTTGAAATTCTTCCGAAGATGTAAGCTGTCCTCCTTCTAAGAGGACAATGGGTTGACTCGAAGCGTTATACGAAAGGTCTCCGTAGCAAGAGAGATGAACTTTAAGCTCATTATCTTGAACTGAAACCATTTTGCCCCATGGCTTCTCATGTGAATCAAAAGACTGTAACCAAATACTCAAACTAATATCCCAAATAACCCACAATAAAAACACTTTAGCAATTATTTTTAAAAACATAACCAAAAGCTCCGATACGGATCTCCTTTTCTCCACTCTTCCCGTGAACCTTATCTCTTGATACCTCCTTCCTGACTCAATTTTGAAGTCAATGTAACAGTTGAACAAATTATTTAACAATGTCCATAAAAGAATGAAGAAACCAAAAAAACCGAATTGACCCCTAATGTAGGGAACACTCAAAACAACAATAATGTCAATTGCTATCAATGTCGAGCTCACATAACCTAGCAACCTCTCATAGTAAGCAGGGACAACGAAGCACCATAGGGTTATCAAGCAACTAAAAATATTTAATAACATCAAATCCATTTCCAAAAATGACCTTCCTCTATTATTGAAACCTGGTATGGCAATGAAATCCGACAAGAGAATTCCGAAGAATATAAAAGTGTTGAAAATTACCAAACTAACTAGTACAAACCTGAGAACCTTTACATATTTTAAATTAAGAGGTGACACCTTAGGATCGTCAGGGTCCAAAAATTGCGGCTGCCTTTCTATCAATGGTTCTCTTTCAAGGTCAGAGCTACTTGCTTCTGTATTACTCGATACTCTTGCGTGAGAAGGAGATACTGAATGATCAGCTTCATGCTCAGCATCAGCATCACCTTCAACCTCGTTTTGACTTGTCGATTGATAAGTTGACATAGTATATTAAATTTCCTTCAGGAACCTTTAATTTAATAGATGTTGCGTAAGAGCTCCCTATACCTATTACACTCAGCTATTCCTAACAGTATAAATAGTCCACAAAATAATAATCAAACCTTTTGACTTGGAATTGTGAGACTATAATACAATTCCTTTCTGGAGCAGCAAACTTAAAGTTGTACCTAGAATTCATGACTTGCGAAAACGACTGAACTGCAAAAGGAAGATAAACCAAAATCACGTGGCCATTGACCGGAACTGAATGAATGTTATCGTCTTTAAGTCACAGTGGATTGATTATACATCCTTCATTTACTTCATTGACTCAAAGTGAGAGATGAAATCGGGTATCATATCTATACCCACTGCATCTACGTCTGATGGCACAACATATTATTACATATCTGTAAAACTTCCGCTTAGAACTTACACTGTACGGAGAAGATACTCAGAGTTCCAAGATTTGTTGTATCATTTGTGTGACGAGCTAGGAATTAGTCAAGCGGACTTTCCCTACCAACTCCCACGGAAAACTTTGTTTTTTAAGAATAATACTTCTACTATAGAGACTAGAAGAGTTCAATTAGAAGAATTTTTAAACTTAATAGTCACTGATTCGACCATGCAAAATTGTTCAGAAACGCTCGAGTTTTTACAACTGCCAGCCCATTTCAAATTCAGTGCTGGCATCTTCAGATATGCTGGGCAAGGTGATTTGGATCTAAATGTGGATGAAAGTCTGATAAACAAAGATAACTGGTTAGAACTTTTGAGAATGTTAAGATCCAAAGTTGAAAGTTTGACAACTGAGTGTGCTAATAAGCCAACAGTTAACAATAAAATAATGGTGCATGAAACAATTCGCAAATTATTAAGACCTGTGTATCAAAAGCTACTGAATTCATTAAATTCATTAAAATCTGGTATATCACGGGGTGAATTATCAAGGAGGGAAGTTCTTCTCAGAGAGGTTGAAAATGACTTGAACTCTTTGGATTCCATTATTTCTTCTGGTAAGAAGAATTCAGAAAGTGAAAGCAAGGAAAAATTTGGAAGAAGGATCCTTGGTGCAGCTCCTCGTGAAACTAATGACACACTTCCTTTAAATAATAAGGAATTGCTTCAAAATCAGATTCAGATACAAAAAAATCAAGACAATGAATTGCTTGAATTGAGAAAAATAATTGCCAGGCAAAGAGAAATCGGGGAAATTATTCATGACGAAGTAGAGCAGCAAAATGATATGCTAGAGGCCCTTCATGATCACGTAGATGCATCGGCTGATAAATTGAGCGAAGCAAGAAGGAAGGCAAAAAAAATCTTATAGAAGACTGGAGAGAATTCAGTACCAATACATTATTTGTCATCCCTCTTATCTTGAATAACTTTTGTTAGTCGTTTAATGGTGGGTCATATACAGGCAATATAGGGGAAGTATGTGACTTTAGATTGTAATATTTTCTTCCTAACTTTTTTGACACATTATTGAAAAAAGTGATGTTCTCAGGTATCTCGGCTAATTGGTCCATATTATTCAAGTTGATTACAGTATTAAGGTCACCTTCTAGCAGTTGAAGCTTTCTAATTGCGTCTGATGAATTCAAGTTTCTTTCGTTATATGAACCTGATAAGGTATCATTGATCTTCCAAAATCCTCCAACATTGTTGAAAAAATTTGCAATACCGATTCTTCTTGGTGGGTAGGCTCTTCCACAATTTTCTAAATCAAAAATGCTAGGAAAATATTGAGTATAGAACCAAATAGCTACGCTAGTTCCGATAAGAAACCCACCTAAGACATCTCTGAGAAAATGTCTATGGTCACTTATGCGAGAGCATGATACTATCCATGCTACCATGATCGGAATAATAGCTATGAGGATTTTGAAAGAGATACCCCTCTGATCAAGCACTTGAAGCTTTGCCGCAATATTCAAACTAGATACCACCATCCCACAGAATACTGTTGACAGGTGTCCACTTGGAAAGGATCTAAAGCCTTCTCTGAGTATATGAGTATTGATATTTGCACAAATGTCCACGGTAGATAAGTGGATGTCATCTTCATCGGTTCCTTCAACGGGCTCGCACCTCGATAACATATCGGGCCTCGGGAGGCCACAGATATTCTTCAAAATACATGTTATCATTAATTGAGTTCCCATCGCACCACATAGGCAAGTCAACCCTATGAATATATCCCATAATTGTCTAGGCTTTGATAGTGTCCTACCACTAAATATTGAACAGGCAAGAAATTGAAATACTGGAAAACCGGCTGCGATCCATATAAGCAAATTAATTGGTATCACTGTTTCATCCTCTGCTTTGTATGAGTTCATCAATGATATATCATGTGTCAGAAACTCATGATATCTCGGTGGTATTACTGTTCCATACAACATAAATATTAGAAGTATACTAATGTAAATTAACCAGTCCAACAAATATGAGTATAATGATAAGGCAGATACTTCATGCCCCCTATAATGGAGAACCAGATCGCTGATGTAGAACCGCATATTAGAACACTAGTCTCTTCAATATCTATCGAGAGTTATCGTGTGACGCTGAAGGGTATAAAACCTATTGCCGCAAATAGCACCAGTTATTTGCGGGTAACTCTTGCGAAATTTTGAGTTCGAGTAAAATTCTTTCTCAAAACGAACTTTTTAGTTTAGAGAAGATAGAAAGCAAAATACATTGCAGAAAGATTTGAATGTAAGTAACATGATTGTCTTCGACTGAATGTTTTTTGGATGATGAGAAAGATTTCGCCTATTTTCGATTACAAATGAGAATGCAAGAAATATACACCAAGATCTACGCTGACTAAACTTCAAACATTTAGAAGAAATATTCAAAAGCTAAACTTTAAAGATTCAGGGATACTAACTTTTCAGATATAATTCAGGATATTCACGCCTCAAGACTTGTCCCCACTTCTTAATGCCTTCATCTATTTCAGATTCACTTAAATAGCTGACCGCTAAACGAACACAATTTCTTCCCCATCCCTTGGTGTCTCCGTGAACTTCAAAATGTTTCCCAGAAGCTAAAATGACATTTTCTTTTTCCAATTTATCCACAACTTTGTCATGATCAATTTCTCCAGGAATGGAGACCCATAAAAAGTAACCCCCATCTCCTCCAACGATTATTGTTGAATCCGGTAAATACTCTCCTATTGATGCCTTTAAAACATTGACTCTTTTTGCGTACACATCTTTTAAGTTTTTCACAATTGCTTCCAAGGTTCCTGTTTGAATAAGGTTCTGTACGACATAGGAAGCCAACTGGGCGGGAGTTCCTCCAGATTTGTTTGCACCCGTATTTGCTAACTGTTGAGCAAGCTTCGGAGTCGGTGTCTCTTGCCATCCGACTCTTAGTCCTGGAGCACTAATTTTTGAGAATGTAGCATTGGAGATCGAGTTGCCGTAAGTCTTGTAGCTTGGTAATGTATCTTCGTCCAAATAATTAATTCTAGGTACTATATCTTCAGCCCCTGTGTAATTGAGTAGGTCATATACGTCATCACTGATAATTAGCATGTCATATTGCCTAGCTAATTCAAGGAGCCTAAGTCGAGTTTTTACGGAGTAAGTCAAGCCTCCAGGATTTGAATACGTCGGCACCACATAAATTACGAATCGATAAAGTTTTCTCTTGGATCTTAGAGGGTCAGAAAGTACATTTATTTCTTTTCCATCACTTTCCTCAAGGGTTTCACTGTACAACTTCAAACATTCCTCAAGCTTTTCTAAATCTATGTCATACTCTTTATTTGGAGTTTCTTCTATAGCTGTCAACTTACCTTCAAATCCAAAATCAATGAATGTATTATTTATTAAAAAGTATGTCGGCGATACAATGAAGCCTCTCTTGGTAATAGTAGGGACATCAGTAACTGAAGCTAGAATGTTTGCAATTCCATATGATGCACCTGATGTCAAGTTTATTTTATCTGGTCCCGAACCGGTACGATGAAATAATTTATTATTCCATTGACTAATTGTTGTTCGAACATCAATGTTTCCTGGATCTGTTCCATAGTTTAATGGTGATCTATTTAATGGGTTTTCCTCGGCACTTAGATAGTCGGTATCCATTAAAACACTCCTATATGCCTCAGATATTTCCCCTGAAGGAAGCAACTCTACAGACGGATGCCCTTTAAAGAAGTTGATCTTTTTCATTTCACTTCAAGGCTTGCAATACACTATGTAGAACCTATTTCCTTGCAATGCCATTTTTATACATACGAAAGACTTCACAAAAGCACGTGACAATTTGTTCATGATGCCTTAGTTTAAAGAGTAAGACTGCCACAACAATAATCTATAAGGTAGCTATTACTGTACGGCGCAAGTTTTTATATTCTTTGCAGCTAAAGCCTTCATTTGCAGTGGTCTTCAGGTCTTCGTTAATCGATAGTGCGCTAAATTATATTCTTCAACAAAATTGAATAGAAATTACGGTAAGCTAAGCAAGAACAACGTTAGGTAGAGCATTTGGATCTTCATTTGTGGTTCAAACTAGGAAAATGAGTTCATATTCTAGCTTGCTGGCTTCCCAACAACCTGGTGCAATATTAAAACTTGGTTTCAATTTAGATAATGAAAGTAATTGATTACATAATCTTGTGACTTGAAAATCAAATTTTATGGGCCAATGAACTGTCAACTAAATTTTAATAACAAGAAGGTTTGATCGTCTTGATAGCACCAGAGTATTACAAGATGCCCACCGCAGCTGGTTTCATATTAAGTACCTTTCTTGGGGTTGTCGCCAGAAGGTTGCAAGTTTCAATTGTAGGTAAGAACTATCCAAGGTCTTGGACTAGAGTGACGGGATATGCCTTATCTGCTGGATTATTTACAGGTGTTTACTTAATCGCTGATCACTTTATTGATAATAATAGGAGGCTTTTAGATAGAAGATTGGCACTTTTGCAAGAACAGAGAGCAAAGAAGGATGCATTCTTTGAATTTGAGCAAGAACCGGATCACAGACTTACTGCCTCTAAGAGAGGTAAGTTCTTCTCATTATTTGATAGATATGGGGCTAGTTACAAGTGATTGAAATTATCTATGTGCGGTTGAGGTTAAAAGTGGAAAAATATCAATGTGTCGTAACTTTTGCATAGATGTACGTAACATAATCATTCTGAAATGAAATATACTATATAATGTCCTGTCATTTACTTTTCATGTAAAAGCTTATTCAAACTTCAATATCTTCCTCTTCCTTAGCCTTGTTAAAGACTCCATCTTCATCTTCCTCGCCATCCTCTTTATCTTCTCCATCAACATCCGAAGCAGCATTGCTGTTGTATTCTTCTTCAACATCACTTTCTTCTCCGGCTGCACCTTGGTAATCACCATCGTCTTCTTCGTCTTCGTCATCTTCCGCTCCTTCTGCTCGAAGAACCCCATTTTCAGCACCAGCTGTTGTTGAAGGTTCCTTAATTTTCTCTCTTAGTTTATCGTCAAAAGAATTATCGTTAATATTTTGTGCTTTTATGAAATTATCAATAACTTGGAAAAAGCTTTGATCTATCATACTGAATTCAACACTTTTTTCCTCATCCTTTTCGTCCATGACGCTAATAATAAGACTGAAGGTATTTCTAGTTATGTTGCTATAGGAAGCACTTTTTATATTTGAGGCTTTGTAAAGTAAAACTGGTTTTTTAAAACCATATATCAAATAAGACTCGTTGAATTGGTTTGATTTTAAAAACATTAATGCTCCCTCTTTAGAGCCTTTATGGGCATCAATCAAAATAAAATTGTCCTCTTCAGATGAGTCGACTGACAAAGCAAGTCCACTGTCAGTATTTAAAGTATACTTGTTGAAAAATAAGCTATTGCAAGGAAGGTAATTAATGATGTTTATTCCACATAATCTGAATTGGCGCTGAAAATAATCGATTATTCTCTCTTGCACTGGATTAAGATTCAAATTATTCGTCTCAGAACTCTGGTTCAATTGATCATCGATGTTTGCAGGAAGCTTCCCTGACTTCATCATTTGCTTCTTAATTATGTCCAAATTGATTTGACATATTATGGGATCATTTTTGACAGGATCTTCAGCGAAGGTATCATTTATCCAGAAAAATAATGACACCGTGCTTTTCTTTTGAGGATTAGTGGAATTGCCCAAGATAGGTATTATGAGGCATAACTTTATGGAGCTTCTTAGGTCAGTTAAAGACATCAAAGGAACGTTCGTAGCGGGATTGGCAATTGATAATACAGGTGTCGGCTGATTATTTTGTTCTATCAAATGAAAAACTAGATTCAACTTCTTACGGACAGGAGATTGAAAAGACACTTGAGGAATCTCAAATATAACTTCATCTGGCCCGATTTCTCGGTCCCCAGTTGTTATCGCGTCCTTTGAGTCTGATTCAAGCTTTCTTTTCTTTCCTTCAGGCTCGTCTTTTCTCAAATAAGCGTACAACTTGTTCAAAATATCTAAGTTCGAGCTGTTTTGTGAGATCAAAGTCTTGATCTCTTGTCTGAGGTCATCAGGTAGAGACAGTATCCACTCTGACATGTCGAATGTTAGCCTTGATAAAACAAAACATCAGTTTCGCAAAAAAAAAAAACCACATGTTTTGATATATGCAAAATATGGTACATAAATCTTTCATATAATTCTGCTCATATCTATGCGTAGCAAATGAATAATCTAAGTAAGGGAGGGAAACGGCAAACAGACAACCTTACTGTTACTGAAGTTAGGGATGTGATTGGTCCCAACCATAATCTGTTGGAGAAGGGTCCCGTCGAATCTGACACATTATTTCAATCTTTAATGCACAAGAATTCATTGACTTTGAACGTATTACCTTCTTTATTAAAAGATCTTTATCGTCATGAATCTAGCTTGCAGTCGCTCAAATCTTATATTGAAGACCAGATTTCATGTCAAACAAATAAGACCGAAAGGACGCGGTTGGAGAACTTGCAAAATCAACTTATAGGACTTTCAAGTCAGCTTCTAGAGTCCACAGATGTACCGGTGATCGATGAAAACAAATCAATTATTTTGACGCTTATGTATGGAAGTACCTTTACTGAATGCTTGAAAATCTTAGATGGGCGCCGCATTCACTTCCATGTTTGTGATGAAAACAATAGCAGGGATGAACAAGAAGTCGTTAAATCATACTTGCAAAACTTAGTGTTGCTAGAAGCCACTGAAGAAAATCTTATTTGCATCAAGGTCAAGAACTACGATGTTGAAAGAGAGGAGCCTATTAGAAACACGAGACCTGGAAATTCTTTGATTAATAGTCTGGAATATTTTGAGCTTAGAAGACTAGTTGAAAACGCTGGACTCATATTTGATAAAACAGGATCACTTGCCATTCCTCCTGTTTCTTTGAAAAGCAGACAAGTAGATAAAAGCGATGAGACAACATCCCCACAGTCATTCAAGAGATATAAACGCAATAATCAAGGTGAATATACGCAAGACCACGCAGTTGACTTGAGCGCTTGGTATTGCTCATGTGATGACTATCAAAGATATTATACATCTAGCATTCCGGATGAGCTGGAACTAAACATGCTAAGTTATCAAGAATTGACTGCAAAATATACTACTTTAGCATCGGGGGAGGACATCATAGATAAATTGTTAGAACGTTCTACAGTTAAACACTTAGACCCCATTCCTATCTGTTCTCATATCCTTGCTGTACTCATCATTGCATATAATCCTAAAGAATGCAGGAGCTACTCTATTGCCAAATGTTAAAGGTCTTGGGGGTGTGTGACATTTAACAAATAAAAAAATGCCGCTTATGTAATCCCCAAATTATTCAAATTTTTTCCTGTCGTTTGGCCACTAGGGCGAACGTCAATGACAAAAAGAATTATCTACTCTGATTTATAACCAGTTAAACAGATATTTGATAACAAATACATACTTGGAGCTTTTATAGATTCACTTTTAAGCTACATCGAAATTAGAGAGATTTCTTGCACTTAAAATTAGTAACAAGGTTTGAATTATAAAACTTTCTCAGAGATTATAAGAGATCAGAATAGATCCAAGTTAGAGAAAGAAACTCTAGGATTAAAGAAATTCCATGTTCAATTGATCATTTATGTCTACGTCATCGTCATCTAACGCTTCAGCCAATACAGGACCCAATCGCTTCCGTGGGGATGCAGCTAGCTTTTCACCTAGTGCACACTCGCCAAGTGTCATCAACCAACAAATTCTTCAGCAGCAGATACAGCAGCAACAGCTCTATTCTCAATACATGTATGCAAACGGAGGTTCTATGATACCGAATCAGTTTTATCAGTACATGCCGCAATATGTGATGCCGAATAGTCCAACAGGAGCAGCTTTCCATCCTGAGATGGCAGCAGCCGCTTATTACCCATACAATGGATATCTGATGCCACCTCCTCAGCTAGCCTACAAGCAGCATTTTGTGCCTAATATGAACGGTAATATGAACTTTAATCAAAGGCCAAGGAGTGGCAATCTTAAGAGAAACACAAGTAAGTCAACAAGTCCTGCTAATCGGGCTTTAGGTTCGACCAGCCCTCAAAACATAACGACAGATAATTCTGGTCGATCAACACCTCTTTCAAATGCTGCAGAAAAGAAGGAAAAGAATTTGGATAATCAGCACCAGCAACAAAATGAAACAATTAAGAGAGCTAACGAAAATGATGAACCCACTATAATAAATAATAACGAAGAAAAAGACTTAAACGACGATGTGCAATTAACTTCAACCAAGAATGCAAATGATAAGATCCCATTTTCATGTCCATTATTTTTTAATTCCAATAGTAAAGAGTTTTCAGAGCATCACGAATCGGAGATTCAAAATAGAAAAGCATTGAATGAAGCAAAATATGAAAGGTTGAGAAATTTGGTCAAAAGGCAAGTCGATTATGATAAGGGCCTTTTAATTGCCACAAGTAACGTACAAATTGTCAACTATAACTCTAACACTGTAACTATCACCAATCAAAAATTTAATCCAAATGACGATGAAAAACGTAATGACTATGTTTCTATTAGTGGTATTGAAGCAACATCATTTACACCAAAATCAAATAATTGGGCATCTGTTTTACAATCAGCGCCTGTTAAGAAACCTATCGCAAAGCAGAAAACTAGTTCAACAACTCTGGGTTCAAGTGTGGTGGCTTCAACTTCTTTGAATAACCAAGTTCCTAAAACAGTTTCGCCCTTACTAAAGGGGTCTTCTAATAATACCAATTTTGATATGAATGGAGGTATGGAACAGGCATACCCCTTGGGTGTGCTTCTCTTGAAAATTATGCTTGATCCAAGTTATTCGGTGTTGAATTCTGAGGTTACGTGCCCCGAATTCAAAGTCCAGCCGCGAGGCTTGACTAACACTGGAAACATTTGTTACATGAATTCGATATTGCAGATTTTATTGTTTTGTGAACCATTCAACAAGCTTTTGAAGATGATCGAATGTAGATCTATCGGATCTCTCAATCAAGTGTCAACAACTCCATTATTGGATGCTACCATTAAATTTTTCAATGAATTTTTAAGCAAATCAGGAGCAAGTAAGCCATTATCACCAGAACACTTTTATTTAAATTTAATTGCACATAAGAAATTTCAACATTTGAAGTGGGGACAACAAGAAGATGCTGAGGAATTCTTAGGGTATTATTTAGATGGCTTAAACGAAGAGCTTTTACATGCTCTTAAACTGTTAACTACTCCCACTGTTGACGAGCTTATTCAAAGCTATTCGAATAGCATCAATGACCCTGTCAAATTAAAGCAGTTAAGGTCGGAAATCAAAAACACAATGAAACTAGTCAAGAAGGCTGATGATGTTCCTAAGACAAATGAATCAAATGAAAACGACTGGTCTGAAGTGGGCTCGAATAATAAAAAGATAAGCATAAAGAGAACAGTAGAGGTTGAGCCCACGCCAATCGCCAACATATTTGGAGGTCAATTCAAATCTGTTTTGACCATTCCAAAGTCAGCAAATCAACAAGAAAAGTCAATAACTATGGACCCGTTTCAAAATATACAACTTGATATTTCAGGATCAAGTTCGATTGAAGAGGCATTCACGAAAATGAATCATTCGGAACAAATAACGTTCAATAAGTCCAACAAAGAAATATTAATTAGCAAGCAAACATTTATTGACAAGACACCAAATGTTTTGATAATTCATTTGAAAAGATTCAGCTATCTAAAGGACAAAGATACCAAAATAGAGAAAATCAAGAAGAAAGTCACTTATGGGCATCATTTGACTCTTCCTCCTGAGATTCTATCGACTCCTAATCTGTCTAATTATAGATTGTTCGGTGTAGTGTATCACCACGGCTCTAGTGCTGAAGGTGGACATTATACATGTGATGTATTACGAAGCTCTAATTTCAGGGAAGACGACGGAAGTGAAAGTGGCAAGCAAGAAGAATGGATTAGAATCGATGATACAAGCATTAGCACCATAGGAGAAGACGATGCCTTGGATGGAGGAAGCGAAGAAAACACAAAAAATGCATACATATTATTTTATCAGAAGACAAAGGAGGCATAAGGCTTAAAGAGGGAAGCTTAATTTCAACGAGGTTGAGATTATTAGCATGAATGACAATAACCATAAGAGATACCTGAGTGCAAATTCTTGGTTATGGATTGTCTTCAAGCGATGGCAGATGCAATAAATAGAATCATTTTCTTGCACGTATAATAAGGCACATTTCATTTGTCCTGTTAGCTAACTGTAGATGTAGATTACAACTGGAATTTATTTAATTTCATATTGATGGAGTAGGATCACATTATTAGAACTAAGGGCATACGACCATAGGGATTTTCGATAGAAGGTAAAATATACCGGTCGGCCCAGTCCGATTCGTAACCATGAAAATCCTTCCCGATACTTCCACTTTTAAGATTGTTCCTGAAACAGAACCTCACATACCTACATTAACTTACACCATATAGATATTACTAAAATATCTCCTACATTATAATTGATTAACACTCAGTGTATATTAAATTATTAGTTCTGTATCTAAAATACAGTCGAAAAAATATTACGACATATGAGAACTTCAAAAGATATCCATTCGCCAGTCCCTTAGCGCTGTATCAAAAAAATCAGGACACCGCTTACCTTAGAGCGGTGCGGCCCATGAAAACATGCTTAACGAAATTAAAAATCCAGAGCTATTAATTAGCTTAGAAGAGAGCAGCAGCAACAGCGGCAACACCTGCAACAGCACCAACACCGAATTTAGCAGCAGCACCTTCAGCGGTGGAGACAGCAGCAACAGTGGAAGAAGCAACAGAACCTTCAGCTTCGGAAGTTGGAGCAGCGGTACCAGTACATTTTTCTTCAGTACAAGTAGCAGTCTCAGTGGCAGTGAGGCTCTCAGTGGTGGTATAGGTGGTTGGGATGGTGCATGGACCAGTGATGGTCAAGGTGGTAGCTTCAGTGACAGTGATAGTCTTGTTGTTAACAACAACTGAAGTTGGACCTGGGCAGTAGGTGGTGAAGTCAGTGACAACAACGTCAGTGGTAACAGTGACGTTAGCAGCAGAGACGGCAGCAGCCAAAGCGGAAGTAGCTAAGATCTTTGAGAATTGCATTGTGTTTTAGCGAATGACTGTTGTATTCCTTAAATTATAACGTGAAAGGGATAGAAAATATAAACTCCCAGATAAATTCAGGGTGAAGGGGCCCCTTATATACATATTCCTGGCGGAACTGTTCTTGAGATATGGAAAGGCGCCAGAGAAGGGAAAAATTTTCCCAATACCGTATTGGGAATTCCGAGCATAACCTTCTCTTCATCGCAGAATATTCTCGCTGTAAAAGGCAGTCCACCTTCCCGATACGTCGTCCTAAATCTATAAATAGATCTCATGTTGTCGATGCCTTCAGAGACGGCACGTGTGTGACCTTATATTTGCAGACATTTCTTCCAGAAGGAACTTTATTCAGGTTCGGATGTGTCTATGTCGGCACAAGGGGTGAGCCCGGATATACATATTGGGAGAAATTCGAATAAAAACAAAGCGCGTAAAGGAGCGATGGTGGCGCAGAAGGCGGTTTCGGGAGGAATATAAGACGTCTGATGCATCTGTTATGCAATGAAACCGGGGTTGCCTTGCTAGTCGGTAGTCGGTGGTAAATTTTGGTTAGAATGAAAACATTGGTCGTCCAAGTTAGCTTTTCGACTGTTGTTACTGGACATCCTCACGAGTAGCGAGTGGGGGCAAGATATGAAAAGATAATAGCAGAATTAGTAGTGGATTTGTTTATTAGAAGTGGAGGGGGGCGAAAACGAGGAGATAATTCACGACAAGGTCGGAGGAGAGCGACATACCGCGAACAATTACCTGAGCAAAGCGCATTGGCTTATTAACCTATGGTAACAATAATTGAACAATTATCACGATGTAATACTGAACTTAGTTCACTTGATCAGATTGATTATTCAAAATAAAAAGAACTAATGTATTATTTCAACTGAATCTCGATAATGCCCCTCTCGTTTCTCTCCGCGGTCCCAACATAGTTAATTCGGTCTCAGATTCGGGAATTCTTCTGGGAGATTTGGGAATGCGACTTTTGGCTTGCTAATGCTTATTTAGGGGTGATTAACAGTAGTTAAAGCGGATTTGGTGGTCTGAAGAGATCTGCAGGGAGAGCTAACTGGGTTTCCAGCATCACCAAAGTAGTAATAATAAAGGGCAAACAAGTCGCAGAAGCATAGTAGCCAGCGATATTTGTATAGCTGCGAGTGCACGAGGTAAACAATCCTGTTTTCAGTCAGCAATCAAGGGCTCGTATTGATGTAGGGACTGATTTATTATTTTCTTGGCCGCTAGCAAAATAATGAGAACCCATGAGCATGTTTCATGTCAGTTAATAATCTTTTCGACTCAGTCCTAGAATGGGAGGTTCTGTTACAGGGTAGAAAAATCAAGTGAGACGGCAATAGCAACGCAGAGACTTAAACATAATCTTTTTATAGAATATTGCTACACATTTGAGGTCCATCTCTTCAATCCATTGAACTCGTCGAGACACTCCGGGTTACTCTAATCATAATAGTTTATAGGTTTAGCTTAACTTTTATTAGAATTACATTGCTGATTTTATCATGTGCCAAACCATCTGGCCTGATACACCTAAAATCATTAATGAATTGAAGAAATTCATACTCATTATTGATAGAAATGAAATCAAAAATTAAAAGATCCACACTTCCCCATGAGAGAGGAAGTTGGCGAAGCTCCTCACAGCGTAGTGCAATGCAAATAAAGAGCTACGGCTACAAGACTACTTGATCTCCTGTAACATCTCGAGGTAAGTATGAAGAAAGGAAAGTACAATAAATCTTCGATTTATGTGCGAAGCATGTTTCTTTTATAGTCCTTTGGTAGTGTGCGAGTCAATTTTTCTGCTGATTTAGCTGCAAAGTATGGTAACTAGTAAAGTAGTATAGAGGAAGATTTGCTAAGGAGACTTCATTCATTGTTTTATTCTTTTATTACTTAAGAACTGTTTGCGAACTTGATGTCTCATCATTTCTTACATGATATTTTATTTAAATAAAAGTTATGCTAAATATTCCAATATGTTGCGTATTGTGTAGTAATTAATTAAATTATTGTTGCTGAGCTAAGTACATATTAGAACAACCAGGATTTCTAACTAAAAAAAAATCGCCCTTGTAATCTGCTCTTACTAAACACAATCCAGTATCTGCACCATAATCCAAGTTGAAAGCTCCGCTTGTTACAAAGCCGATTAAATCAACTAACAATGGTTTTACGATTTCCTGTTTCTGCGTCATATAACTCTTCACAGACGCATTCGAGACGGCATAGAGTCTAGCATTATCTCTTATTATTCCACGATTTAGCACCTTGAGAGAAATATGAACAACAGGAAGTTTTGGTAAACTTGATGTATCTGTTAGAGTATAGCTTCCATCAACAAACGCCCTATGAAATGGCCTGGTTAGATCCAAAAGTTCGATTGGAATAGCATCTTCCTCTCTTTTGGCTTTAATCAACTGCACGAGATCGTTTACTGTATTTATATTTCTTGTACCATTTTCATTATAATCGCTGTATTCATCAGTAGTTTTGAGTTCCTTGTTTACCAGTTTCAAGCCGAATATTAACAATTGTAAGAATGACCAATCGCACTTGAAAGGATTGATGCCATTTTCGAAGATTTCGTATTTTTGTTGCTTGCTCTTTGGTAACCGTTTGTAGGATTCCTCATTGAGTCTCCCTAATGTTTGATTATAAACCCATCCATCTTTTAAATAGGGCAAATCATTAGGAAATGTCGGCAGCAACTTCTCGAAGTTAAATTGCCTTCGTTGTCTGAGTCCCCCAACCTTTAAATGTGCGATTTTAACAAGTTTAAACCATAAAGGCATTAACCAAAACCAAGGTAGGATTAACAACCAGCTTCCCGAGCTCCCTTTCGTGATCAAAACTGGGATTCTAACTGGATCATGCTCAAGTAAATTTTCGTTTGGATTTGATTTAGCAAAGCCATAATTTAATTTCTTAAGGGATAACTGATTGGCATAAGTTTCATTTCTCTTTTTATTATCAAGAAGTTCCATCAAGGACTGAGAATTCACCAAATCCGACTCCGTTATTTTAATGATCAAATCATTCACGCTAGTAAAGGACGTATTAGCCTTAGGCTCGACCGGGTTTTTCCAAAACCTAGGATCATCCACGTAGAAGCTAAATGTAGTACCAACAGGAACCGAGTCACTATCACTCAAATGTGACAATATGTACCATACTTGATACGGGATACTATCATACTTATATGGATCTAAATGCAAAACCTTGGAAAGTGAGTTCAAGGCTGTAGGGCCGCATATCTCTATACTCGCTAATGAATATCTGCAATCATAAATTAAATCAATTTGAGGATGGATTTGCAGTTTGAGATATTCGAATAGCATTTCATAAATTGAAGGAAATACTCTTATCAATATCTTCTTCAAACTAAAATTAGAAATTATCAATCCCTTTCCGATTACCAACCCGTCAACGAAAATCAAATCATCATAGCTTTTCGAGCCTTGAAGAAACTTGCGAGGCAAGGTCACTTTATATTTTGTTAGGCTCAATAGAATATTTTGATACCTATCGGTATCTTCAATTTGAAGAATTAATGTATTATAATATGACATGTCGCTTAGTACCGAACCACTTTTCTTGGCCCTGTTCATCAGTCTAAAACACTTCTGAGTGGGCGTAAGCGGTATCTGAAAATTGTGCTGCTTAATCATATGAAATCTCTTTGCATGCCAGATATGAGAAGGTAGCCATACGAACTCAAATTGCCTTTTAAAATATTTCAAGTTCCCTTTTGGTCTACTAGCAAGATTATTAATTCCCGTATTATCGTATGAGCCAACACAGTTATTCAACTTGGTTGGTGCCTCGTCATTGAGATCTTTCATATACTTGTTGATTAATGCTATTCTGTATCTTAAGCGTAAATTTTTGCCTAAGGCTTCCTCTGGTGGCAAATGCTTGGAGAGTTTTAGCTTAGAGCCCAACCTTAAAAGCTTTTTGGACATTCTAAGCTTATAAAGGTTTCTTCCTCGTAAATGATGAGACTTAGGGTTTACACCATGTACTGCATTTTTCATTTCTCTTATCGCTCTGCTTCTTAACCGTTTTGGGATTCTCTTTACATTATGCGAGGCTGCCCTACGTCTCAAAGTCCTAGGCAAGCTTTGGAAGACTCTGTTGGAAGAAGCTCGTTTGGTATTCAATTGTGATAGCTCAAATGATTTAATCTCATAAGATCTTGATTTCAAAAATTCTGGAATACTTAATTTCTCATTATCCACAAAACTTGAATCGACTAGTTGAGTTCGAATGGCCCGACTATTGTATAGTCTTGATTTTTTAGAATTATCAGGTTTTTTATGCATTCCAATTTAGTTAGAATAATATAATATTAAAAGAATATCTTGTTTAACGTATTTTAGGTATTTTCTCAGTTCGTAAAAATTATTACATTTTGCAATATTATAGTATTTAAACAGCAAAAGATGGAATATCTTACATTAAGTCTAATAATAGCTTACACTATATAAAGTTGGAAGATGAGTATGTTCCTTTTGCCATTCTGCAAGAATACTTACCATTTGATCCTCTAAAAGTACATCAGATTCGTCATCATAGTCTTCCTTTTTTTTCTGCTTGAAATCATGTATCATATTAATAAGTTTCAAGATACCCTTACCACCAATCATTGCATTCTCATTGTCATCTTTGATATCTACATTCACAACATGAACTATTTCTTTTACGTCGTCCGCATCGTCCTTAGAATACATTCGATACATTAGGTCATCAAGGACGCTATCGAAACACCTCTCTTCACAAGTTATTACTATATCAAATTTCCCGGCATACGCATTTGTTTGCCATTTCTCAGGAGCCCTCTTAACTCTCATGTTTCTTTCTTCCATGTGTATTAAGCCGTTAGACTCATACATTTTGTGACAACTCTGTGAGCTTAAATCTTTATATATTTCTTCGTAAGGCGTACCAAATTCATACACATTCGGTTTGTCTATAGATGGCCCAGGAAGTCTAACAGCTGAACCAGTTCCAAATGATTGAACATCATAGCCAGCATCTCTTAGTTGCTTATGGCATTCCATAGACCTATTATTATTGGATGCACACACAGTACATATTTTCATGGAATCCTTCATGGCTACACTTTGCCCCCGTAGATGATACCACAATAGATGCAGTTGATTAAGTTATTTACTCTGAAAATATCGAATATTATAAGAGAATCAATCAAAGGAGTAAATGATATGCAATAGCATAGAATATTTAGTAAGTATGAGCTTCTAGCTATAGGTTTACATGCGAAATATCTCGATAGCTCTAAAAATGCTACTGTGCCATATTACACGACTCAAGAGGTCCCATGAGTACAAAGAGTTATTTGCTAAACACTGGAAGCCGTACAAGACAGATCGCTTAAAGAAGCATTGGACACTCAAAAATTTCACAAGCCTAGCTTGGTAAACTAGGAAGGATCTATATGCTCATAATTGTCAGAAATGGAATGGCTAATGTTTACAACGTCGTCTCGGAGGTCTGATACATCATTGTCGTCACTCATGGTAATTTCCACCTCACGATCTTGTTGCTTATGATCGTACTGTGAGTTTTCACCATCTTCGAAGCTATTATTCTCTTTAACATCTTTACTCTTTGAAACATCTACAAAATCTTCTCCCTCTTGAAAACTTTCGATACTTATAACGTCATCGTCAGCTGAAGCAGAAAAGTCTGATACATCTAAATCGGCAATATCCTTCCTAGAGGAGTTTGTAGGGCTATCTTGTTCCTGGGCATGAAAATGTATAATCTTATTAGCATTGCTCAAGCAAGATTCCTTGAAGTCAATGTAGTCATTCAAATCATTAACCAATATTCCTATCATCATAGAAGGGTCTAAATCATTGATGCTCAACTTTTGGTAATTCAAGGTATGGTAGCTTTCATAATCGAGCTCGATTTGGAACTGCTGAGGCGAATGTGGATCCAAATATATCAAATTCAGATTTTCAAATCCTATGAAATAAAAACTAGACGATGGCCTTCCACCTGCAATACCGACTGATTGTTTAATGGAAAGCAAATGGAACAAGCTCGGGTGATATATTGAATTAATCTTGTCGATTCCTAATCTTATTGGCAAGAGAATTAATAGAGCATCTGATTCCTCGCTGTTTAAAATCTCGTTAATCTTGCTGTCGTACAAATCACAACTTTCACTTATCAAGACCTTTAATCTGGGAATGTTCGTATTACCAGACTCATAAAATCTGTCGCATAGTCTCTTAATAGAAAGGGAGGCAGCACTAGGGCCAAACCACTGACCAGGTCTTATCTCCAAGGGCAGGTCGGATGCTATTTTTATGAAATTATGCAAGGAGAAGGGAGATTGAGAATTGTCAACAAATAACTCAACGATGGCTTTGGGATCCAGTCCCATTAACAGTAAGAGGGCGTTAGCTAATAAACTTTGGGAAGTTCTTATCATGCAGCCCCATCCTACGTCATTCGTAAAAGATTCATTATCGACCAAGTTCATGATATTCTGGAAATCTTTTATCAAAATATTCTTATTAAACAATAACGATTGTGCAAACGAAATAGGGCTCGGTCCTTCAACAGCTTTCATTATTGGTTCGAACCCAAATCTGTAAGATATCCATATCTTCGACTTGAGATCAGACTCAAACTCATCTAATTTCTCATATGTTTTTCCTAATATAGTGATACATTTGGATTCATCATCTGATGGTTTATCACCAATATTTGTTATCAGTTGCCATAATTGTGAAAGATTAAACGAACTTATTCCGGTCTTGGATTCACATATTTCTGAATTAGTAACTTCTTCTATACTATTTCTCTCTGCAGCCATACTACTCTTATGTTACTCTTCTGTCTAATTGCTTCTAGGGCAATTTAGGAAACTAACAACGTTGCCTTCAGACAATATAGCTTTTGTGTAACCCCAATTGGTACTATCTTAATTGCGACCTTTACTGAAAGTTGAGGATGAGTACGATGAAAACAGATTGCAATATAAGGATAGAGTATGCCGAGAAGATCACTGAAAAATGGTCCATCATCTAGAGGTGCTCGAAATGGGAGATATACTTCCAATAATCGAAGGAAAAGAAAGAGCAAAGGAACGTCAAATAACCATAGAGGTCTGAGAACTACAGGAATTAATGTACCAGAACTTATGGATTTAGATGACAACGTTTATATTCCAAGGGCTTCGGGAGGTAAAAATACCATGCTTGAGCTCTCAAAGAGGCCAGGAAGGTTAGTAGATGAAGTTGCTTATACGAGTTCGCATCAAGACAATATCTTCAGTAGAAAGTTGCGAGATAGACCGGTTGAATTTGTTAAAGCAAAGGAGATATATAATCCGAATGATGAACTTCTCAAAAATTTGAAGTCAGCAAATGAAAAAGCCGAGACTATAGAACCAGGGGAGTCTAAACAAGGATCTGAAGCCGGATCAGAAGAGTGCTCTTCAGGAGATTCTACAGGAAGCTCTTCGGCATTGAATACACTTGAAGATGAAAAGAAGCGTATCGCTGACGATTTGGTTTCAATCGAAAAGTTATCTATTGGGTCTAAATTTGATACAGATGCAGATATCTCGTCAGATGCAAGTGAGTCATCATTTTCGGAAGATGCATCTGGTCATGTAGAATATGAGTCTGATGGTGACAGCATTCAGCTAGAAGAGGAAGACGTCCCTGTGCTCGATGAGGTACTAGACAAAGATGAACAAGAAGATAGTGATAATGTTAACAAGTCGAATGATGACCCAGAATACGGGTTTTTATCTGAAGACTACGAATTCGATGTCTCCTCTTTAACTGTTTCAAATATAAGATACGGCATTCAAAATCAATATTATGTGAAAAATGCCGAGCTTTTTGGAGATGACTTTACATGGATGGATGAGGATGATTTATTTGAATTCGTTACAGCGAAAGGCGTCAGAGAACACCGGTTTGATAGCTTTTTAAAGTTCATGACTAGGGACTTTATTAACAGCGGTGCTGAGGAGTCTAATGACTCAGATGTATACATATCAGATAGCTCGGATGATGATCTCTCGTTGAACGATAATCAAAAGTGCATTGACGATGATATTGGAGACGAGGATGATGGCATTGAAGACTTAATAAACTTTACGAAAAACCTGAAATTTGGTAGCTCAGAATACGAACCACCAACGCAAACAATGACCATGATAGGTAGTGGAAGAAACAAGCGACTAGATTTGGATAGGTTGGATTTAGATGATGAAATTAGAGAATCGTTACAAGAGCAATTTCAAATTCGACGTCAAAGTAAAAAGACAAAGAAAAAAGATCATGAAAACCTTATCATTCAAGAGGGCTTACTTTCCAATGATCTCTGTGTAAAGTATCAGTATCAGTTGCATATTAGAGACATTAAATATGAACTTGATAGTTTTCTTCATGATTCGGCTCGTGATTTTGTCAGTTTCCCCCCTCTTGATCCTCATGGAAATAAAACGGTGTCAAAAATGGCTGATTACTTCAACTTAAAATCACTGAAATGTGGAAGAGGGACCAAGCAGTTTATTAGAGTGACGAAAACAAAGAGAACATTTCGATATTTGCCCAATTATGATCAAATTGGAAGAATCTTGAGACAGAGACCAATTTTTAAGAGAAGAGATCAAGAACAACCAATTATGCCTGGAAATAAGAAAGATAGAAATAAGAAAAGCACCACTGTTCTAAAAGATGGCGATATTGTAGGTGCAAATGCTCCTGAAATCGATCCAACTAACATTGGTCGTCAACTATTAGAGAAATTGGGATGGGTTAAAGGCGAGGGCCTCGGTGCACTTGGAAATAAAGGAATAAGCGTGCCTCTTACAGCTAAAGTAAAGAAATCAAAATCTGGGCTTGGTTAGATTAGAATGAATATGTATATACAATAATTATAGATTAATTCACTCTTTTCCCTTTCTTCCCGTAAACCTGTTTAACTGGAGCAGCATGCCCAGTAGATTTGACATGTTGAAATAGCTTATTCCTCGATGAAAACCCCAAGCCACACACAGAGCACGATTCGTTGAAGGATTTATCTACCTTGTCATTTGACTTATCACTTAAGTTTGAAGATGAATTGAGAGGAATATGATTTTTCTTCTTCTTTGATTTTTTCTTCTTACTTGAGTTCTTCTCCCAGCTCTCCTCTTCATTACCACTTAATGATATCTCGCCTGTCAACTGTGCCAATTCATCTTCTAAAGTATTTTGTACTGGTGCTTCCAGGCTATTATTTTGATACCTTTTTTGTTTCTTCTTCGACAACTCACGCCTCGTTTCATCTGAACCTAAGTTATCATTATCACTCTCTATCAAATCATCAACTTCGTATCTTAAATCGTTTCTATCTTCTACTTCTGATTTCAAATTATCATTTACCGAATTATTGTCATAATAATCAGGTGATCGCTCATCCATTCGGGCTTCTGTATCTTTGTTTTCGGAGCCTAACGAACTGAAATCACTTTCACCACTGGATGCGGTTTCAAAAGTTTCCGATTCAGGATTCTCCTGATCAATGCCCAACTCTATACCCTCTTTTCTCATTTCCCATTTGAACTTCTTTACTTGCTTCTTATGTTTATTAGAGCGCTCATGAACATGAAACTGATTTTCATTTTTGAATATTTTTTGACATATGAGACATTCGAATAATTGAGGTTCGTCTTCAGGATTATCAAACTCATCGAACTCACTTTCAGAGCTCGAAAGGAACTCTTCTTCCATCATGAGCTCTAACTCTCTAACCTCTTCTTGAGATAGCTTCTGCCAATCTTGAACTTCGAAATTACGTGCTCTAGCAATGTTTTTCAAGTTCTCTTCATGATTTTGTTGCATTTGAATTGCTTTAGCCTCTTTTTGTTTTCTTTTCCTCGTGGCTTCGAGATCTTTTATACCTTGCTTGACCCTTGGATCCCTTTTCTTTATAAAAGAAACAAGACTCCTCACGGCCTCGTTGAACTCCTTTCTGGCAATATCCCTCGCTCGCTTGTTCTCTTTCTCCATCAAACGACGAGTCCTACGATCAGGTGCCGTAGAATATCTATATTCATCTTTCCAGTTGAAGGTTTTAATAGTCTGGAATGATGACCAAGAATTATAGAAGGGCTTGACTTTATTAACGTAATCATCATTACTTCGCCCAAATCTAGGATATAAGAGAACCGATTCATCAAGTACATTCACGTTATTGGCATCATCTCTGAACTTATCATATTCTCCTAAACCTTGGAATTTGGCATGAGTCACCTCCTCAGCTGCTAATCGCTCAAAGAACCTCTCAACAACATTATAAAATCCTGATAGAGAGTCATCGATTTTATTATACAACGAGGAGTTGAAGTACTTCATAACCTCATCAACTGAAATACTTGGCACAATCATGTCTTCACCATAATTCTCCGTGATATCATCATCTCTCAAAATCAGAGATTTATGTGAATCATACCATGACCTCTCCTGGGGATCAGAAAGGACTTCATAAGCTGACCTTACCAATGCAAACCTAGCAGTTGCACCTTCTATGTCATCTGGGTTTTTATCAGGATGGAGTTGCAACGCCTTCCGTCGATAAGCTCTTTTGAGCTCATTGTCCGTCGCAGTTACTTCAACTCCCAATAGCTCATAATAACAAGTTTTCATGACTCTATATCATATTTTACTTAACCTTGATATCTAGAAAATGTGAAATAAAAAAAAAATTTTGATAAAAATTAAGAAAATCAAGCTCCTCCCTCTACACTTCTGAATGGCTAAATATTACAGTTCATTAAATAAATATTTATTTATAGTAGCAATGAGTGCAACCGCTCACCATCCTTTTGAATGGTAGTCATCCACTTCATCAATTTCTTCTGGCTGAGAATCTCCTGTGGTTCTCCTATGAACAACTCTGGTAGGTAACGGAATCTTACCAAGTTTGTAGTCAATTATAATGGACTCTTTTAAAGACTTACTCAACTCGGTAGCCAACATATTCCTTCTTGTTGACTTTGGTGATAGCTTCAAGGGTTTTGAATGTGTTTCAGTTGCAATTGGAGCAGAAGCAGTCCCAGTAGAAGATGAAGATGAAGATGATAACTTCGGAGATTTTTCAGAACGGCGCGTACTCAAATTAGTAGAGGAGTCGAGATCTTCTGACGACTTCAGATGGATATCATTTGGGACCTCTTCTTGACTTCCTTGAGGACATCTCCCATGGATATCTAACAGACGTGCGCTTTTTACTTTATTGTTATTGCTGAATAAATTTGCCAAATTCAAAGAACTTTTGGAAAGAAGATTCTTAAATGAATGATTCGAGACAGAACTCGAGTATTTGTTCAAACTTGAAGATAAAGTATCTCTGTTTTCATGAGAGGCAATGCTCCCACTCTTGTGAACTTCGGTTCTACTACTTCCGCTGTTCAAAGATTTAGTAGTAACATTGAAATCAGAGATCCCAACTATAGATTTTTGTTTCCCTAACAAGCTATCATCTTCGTCTTGATCACTAACACAATCGTTCAAGATATTTGTTTTTACGAGCATATTTTGGTAATGCGGATAATTTTTAGACAAATCTGTTAAGGATGCATATTTTTTTGAAAATAATATAGAGGGCCATTTTTGATGATTTGAACCATTTTTTCGACTTTGGTCGATTGTGACAATACCTGTAGTTGATGATCTCTTTAAAATAGGCTTTGAAACATGTGGGTGAGGTGTTTGATGATTTTCAGTATTTCCATGCATTTGATTTAAAAACATACTAGACAAAAGTGATCTTGGTCTGACTAAAGAGTCCTGAGCTGATTTATCTAGTGGTGCACGTTCAATATCACGAGGTTCAGTTGTCATCAGATATGATCTTTTGTCAAATTTTAAAGGGTGAAATACTGTACTACGACTTTCTTCTTCTTCTGAAGAGACTGAAAGCCACTCACTATCATCATCAGGAGCTCTCCCACTTTCTACAGATCTCTTGCAATCACTTCCGCCATCCGTCGATTTCTTGCGACCCTTTCCATTCTCTATCGATTTTATTCGATCTGGGAAAGAATCTTTTGGTTTATCTTCCCCGTCTTCCGAAAGATCTTCCTCCAGTTCATCCTCTGAAATATCTGTGGAAGAGCAGTCAGATTGCTCTTTTTCAGTTATGCTTGAATGTAATTGAAAATTACTAAATAAAGAATCTTGTCTCTTTATGTGAGACGGTGGTACAATCTTATCGGTTATCTCAGAATTAGGATATTCAACACAATGGTTAACCTCATCGCTATTCCCATCCAGAGGTACGTTTTGAGGCGGAGAAGGTGAATTCTCAATATAAAATATACTTTTACCAGATTGATTAGTTGTAGTTTTTGATATTGGATGCACTTCCGATGACTCGTTTCTGTTAGACTTTGAAGGAGAAGACGGAGAAAATCCCTTTACGAAAGTTGTCCTCGTCTTAGATATATTGGCCTCATCTAGCCTACGAGGAAAATAGCTATCTTCATCCTCGTTAGGAGGATTAGAGTTATCATCCATGTCATGCTCATCGCTCGAAGAAATGTAATCATCTTCTTCAGATATATCTGAAATGTCATCTGATGATGAGTCATCTTCTATACTCGGGTTAGATTTGGAATTTAGGCTCAACCTTGAACTATGAGAGAACAAAGTACTGTGTGAATCAGGTTCTACCCTATTGGATAGAAACTGGGACATTTTCGGCTCTGAGTCTATTAAATTTTCTTTTGAAAGATCAGAAATCATCGACTCCAACGTGTGAGCATATAAAGCGGTCTCTCTCTTTTGCTTAGCATCTAATAGAGCTTTTTTATTCAACAATCGCCATGATCTGTTGTTTAAGCGTTCTGTCGAAGAGTATTTCGAATACACGAATCCATTGTTGGTAACCCGCCAAAGCTTTAGCAAAGACAGCTCTAGATCGGAACCGTATTCCAATGATAGATCCAAAGAACTGAGAGGAACGGAAGCCATATTTCTTTCTTTATGCTCGTCAGGCTCTATTCAAGTGATAAAATTTCAGTTTTCACTCTGATACACAGCACTTGATGAAAGAACCAAAGTTAACAGATATAGCACCTCACTTCGTCCTTGCTTACGCCTGTCTATTATCACCCTTTCAAGCTACCACAACACTAAGGTGCCACCCAATACTATGTCTGTGCCTTTGTTATCTTGTTATGCTCGCGCCCACCTTCTTTATGGCGCGTAAAACCTTCCAGTTCCTAAACCTGATGCTTCTCTGAGACAACTACTAGGTTCTATTACCTTAAATCTTTCCACTTCTTTGCAGCTCTTATCTAATTAAGATTTAAAATCTCCTTATTCCCTTGAAATAACCATGTAAATTTGCGGTGACACCCATAAATTTTCTTTCATTTTTTGATAAACCAAAGTTTATCTGATTTTTCATGACCAAATAAAATGTCTCCCTTACTGCAAGTCAATTTACGTATCAGGTTACACGTGATCAGATCATTACTGCTCCTACCCTGGGGGCCGGTAATTACTGTTTCGTCTCGATCACTGTCCGAGAAAGTTGACGCCTCAGAAAATGTGGTGAAACACAGGATCAGAAATGATAGCGTAGTTGTGAGAACGACGAGATGGAAATGACTGCAGAACGAATTACTGTCGGCGATACGGCGGGACGGACACAGAACAGGTGTCAGTCGCATTCGTGACATTTCTGTCACAGGGAAAGTCGTGCATTCATCGTTAGTGGGAATTTTATTTTGTTCCGTTTTTATGGGCTGCGAAACTGACGACATGAGCGAATGACTATGGAGATGTCGGGGAATGCCCATACTAATTTTTCACCGTGTACCAATTAACATCAGTATATTCTATCATTCAAGTAGTCATTCAATTGCGGAAGTTTAGGAGAGTACATTGGGATTGTATCTTATTTGGCATAAAGACATCAGGAGCGTTAGCGTACTGTACTGTGAGTCAAAATCATTCGATTGTAATATAATTTATCTGCTCGACACTTCTACTACGGTTGCACTCTTTAATATTAAGTAGAAGTTTACTTTTATTAGGTAGCATGAATTGCTGCAATTGAGATTCAACATACGATTGAGATTGCTGCAACGAAACCTCTTCTATTTTGTTCACATTCTATATGATTCTTGCTCACATGTTAGTTCCTAAATCGGAAATCGGAATAGCAACCTTCGTGATCTACTATAAAAGTGCTGAGGCACTCGGTATTAGCAAAACTAATCTTAATACTAATTCATTTGACATTGAAATAGTAAAAGAGATATAATGTCGGCCACTAAGTATTTTCTTGGAACAGCAGCCATTCTCGGAGGTGTTTACTTCTACGATCAAAATGTGCAGCCAATCATCCCTAGAAAACAGCAAGTGCAACATGACTTGGATAAATTAAATAAGAAGCAAACCAATTTATCGAATAAGTTCACCCTGAAAATTGACGAAACCAAGCAAAAGGTTCAGAAGCAACCCCCCATAAAGGAACAGATTAAGGACACTTCAGTGTATCAAAACCTTGCAAATAACGCTTCTGACGCTAAGGACAAGTTTAATAAGAACACCACCCCTGATTCTGAGAAGAACTTTTTGGTTAGAGGAGTAGATAAGTACATCGATACCGTAAATGATATCGGTGGAGGCAAGAAACATAGTAATGTCCAGTCTCTTTCTAATGAGGCCGAAGCTCAAAAGAACTCTTGGTTCAATTGGTTCCAGAAGGAGGATGATAGGTTTCAAAAGAAATTAGACAACACCAAGGATGATGCCGCTAACAAGAAGAACGAATGGTTCAGTTGGGGATCTAAGAAAACTGATGAATTGAAGGATAAGTCCAACGCTTCAGCCGATAGAGCAGAAGAAAAGAAGAACGAATGGTTTAACTGGGGCTCTAAGAAATCAGATGAATTACAGAATAGGGCTTCCGATTCTTATAATTCTGCTAAGAATGAAGCTCAAAAACAAAGATCCAACTTAGAATCAAGTTTGGAGTCAACTAAGAACCAATTCACTAGCAGCTATAATGAAGGCAAGCAGAAAGCTATTGAGAGCTATGAAAACGCCAAATCTCGCTTAGATGAATTATCCGCCAACTTTTCTAAATCTCAAGAACCAGACAAGCAAGAAAAGTTGAACAGAGCTAAAGGTGACTTTAATAGCTCCTTATCGAATTTGAAAGCATATGGGGATGATGTCGTTGATGAGATCAATAGCAAGGTCAAGAGTGCTTTTGGTAGTAAGTAATTCGGTATAGCAAAGTATAGCATCGGTTATCCGATTATTATTAAATAGTCCAATTTTATGCGTAAGATGATAAAAAGCCAGACAAAAGAGCTCAAAAGTAAAATGTAATATTGATCTCGATTAGTATCTATCTGGTAGTCTGTTGGTGATCTGATATAATATCTTGGAGGTAATTTGAATTGTAGCATATGTTTTCTCGATTTCGATTAGTAAAGCTACATCATTTTCGAGGGAATCTAAATTTTTCATTTATCAGGTACTATTGCACGATGCTGGTACGAAGGTTAGGACACTTGAAAAGCGTACCAAAAATTTACTGCAATAATACAGAATCTATAACAAATGTTAATAAGATAGCAACTAGCGACTTACTAGTAAAATTGGGTTACATACAGCATCCCAGTTCTGGTTTCGTGAACTGGCTACCTTTAGGGATTAAATCATTGGACAAACTCAAAAACATCGTCAGAAGACGCATGGAGGAGTCTGGGTTTGAAGAAATAAGCTTAACATCCTTATCAAGCTCTGCCTTATGGAAGAAATCTGAACGTTGGAATAATACTGAACTTTTTAAATTAGCAGACTCTTCTAATCATGAGTATTGTCTTGCAGCTACAGCAGAGGAGGAAGTTACTCAATTGGTCATTAATAGTTTGACAAGCTACAAATCATTACCATTGCTATACTACCAGATATCTAAAAAATATAGAGACGAGAAGAGACCTAGAGGAGGTTTATTGCGAGGAAAGGAGTTTATCATGAAGGACGGATATTCTTTTGATTTGAATGAAACCGATGCTTTAAAAACGTATTCCAAGGTTGTGAACGCTTACGTGAATATTTTCAATGATTTAAAAGTTCCTTTCATAAAGGCTGAGGCCGATACTGGTGACATGGGAGGTTCTTTGAGTCATGAATGGCATTACTTGCATGAATCAGGAGAAGATACTGTGTTCACATGTGATTCATGCGGACATGTTTCAAATATTGAAAAGACAATTTCATTTCCTGAAGAGGTCCGAGATGCAAAAGAAGTATCGGTAAAATATTTGATGACAAAAGATAAGTCAACTTTAGTTTGTGCATACTATCCTAGTGATAGAGCTTTACAGGCAACGAATATTAAAATTGAAATTCCAGATATAGATTTAGCGAATGAAAACGAAGAAGAAATTTTAAAAGAATTTTCAGACGAAGATTCCTTGATCTCCAAAAAAATTGTTAGGATAATGGACGCAAGATTGACATCAAGGTCGAATTTCCCAGACTTTCCCATAAAGTTTATCAATAGGTCATTAATTACAACTTTGACTGACGTCCCTATAGTATCTGCTATTGAGGGTGAACTATGTGGAAATTGTGAGGAGGGAAGTTTGGAACTAAGTAAAGCGATCGAGGTTGGACATACTTTTTTCCTCGGTGATAAATACACCAAGTCATTAGGTTGTTCTATCGAAACCCCCAACGATAAAGGAGGGGTGGAAAGGAAACTTTTACAAATGGGATGCTATGGCATCGGATTAAGTAGGATAATTGCAGCAATAGCAGAAATGAACAAAGACGTTATAGGTTTGAGATGGCCGTCTGCACTTTCTCCTTGGGATGTTACAGTAATTGAAGCTCCCAGTATTGAAGACACTTTGGAATCATTTTATGACCTTTTAAGCAAAGAAAATATTGACTTTGTTGTGGATAGAAGAGCTAAGCTTGGGATTGGAAAAAAAATCAAACAGTCGAATTTAATGGGTATACCGATTTCAATTATAGTAGGTAAGAAGTTCCCTATGGTAGAAATTGAAGTAAGAGGAAAACGATACAACAAAGAACTAGAATGGAAGAAGCTACACGATGATAGAAGTCGAGATTTTGATTGGGAAGTCACCTATAATCTGAATGGAGATGACATAAAACACCTTGTACATATAAATGGGCTAGCTGTAGTACTCAAATGTTTATTAAAAGATATGTGAATAGACTTGTTTACAAATAGAAAATGACCTCACAATGGGGAGATAACAAGGAAACAAAATACAATTTTCAATCCTCTTCAATTGAAATCCCTCTTCTTAGTATCCTACGTAAATTTGCCTGTTACCTTTGCAAATACGTGTAAAATTATCACAGAAAATATAAATCCAACAGCCAAAAACAATACTACTAAGGGGTCAACTCTCAAACCCTGTGCTTCATCTGTGAAAAGCTTCATCATGGTAGATGATGAGCCTCCTGCTCCAGCTGTCCTGGTGGACAATGGCATCGAGCTTTCTGATTGTGCTTTCTTGTCAGCGATTGACTTTCTTTTGGCTGCGCTCCTCAAGCCTCCTGGTGCTGATGACTGACATGGTTAGTAAATCAATGCGAATATCTTATACTTTCCTCCAAACTTACCATTTTACAATACTAATCGATTCTTTACCTAGTTTATCGCCCAGCGCTGCTCACACGTAGTCGATTCTGATATGGCCGGAGGAAAATGAAAAATCAACAAATTGTTACACAAAACAAGATGCAGGCAAATTTTCAATATATAGCGTTGGGGCATTCACCGCCAAAAAAGTTATTTTGGCATCCACAGTGCGTAGGCTCGCTATTTTAGCGCCGCCCCCCTTACACTAAGCAGGAAGGCCAATCACTACTTTAGAGCAGTAAATCTTTGTTTGAGACATTAGTAGAAAGTACATGAAGAATATTTGCTTTTTAATTTCATTCTTAGGCTTAAGCCGTATATATATTCATCGTAAATTTACTTCTTAACACCGTCATTACCAGCACCTTGGTGAGTTGCCTCATGGTGACGGAAAGAGGCAACCTAAGGTGCCATTTTTCATATATTGTCCGGCATATAACATTTCGCTTGAAGGAAGCCTCCCAGAGAAAAAAAAAACTTTCTTCGATTAGTCGTCCGTTATCAAGTGATTCTGAGATATATCCTGGAAGGTTTTGGGAGGTTGAAGGATATACAGAAGCAGTTTAGTTTACTTAAGCTTTATAGAACGGTGACAATAAGGAAGTTGAGCTATACTAGTCCGACATTCTATTAACAAGTTAAATCACCTATTCCATAGTTGATACCGGGAATAAGCCCTGATCAAACTAACAAGCAACAGTCAAGAAAACATCACGGATAGTTGCTGAATTTGATAGGAAATATAACAGAATTTCGTATAGTATGGATTTAAGAAACTTATCTTCGACGCCGAACCAGTTGGACTCAGTAATACAACGTCGACCATCATTATCTTCATTGTCTTCAACTTCAGGATATGCATCCTCAAGTTATGGCGGTGGAAATGGAAACAGTACGCCTCAACTTTCTAACCTGAGATTGGTATCCAGCTCCAAAAATAACATGGGTCTACAGAACTCGTGGTTGAACCAACAATCCGGAAGTGGAAATCAGAATGCTTCCGCTACCAACGTTGGCCCTTGGGTTGAGCAACAGCAACAGCAACAGCAATCGACCTTAAGCAGCTTGGATAGTAAAACACTAGGAGCAAACTTGCAGAAGGCTAAAAACGTGGATGCAGAAGAAACTTCTAATGGGAAGAATTCTGAGGGAAATAATGCTGGTCCTAGATTCAATAGCAGCAACGACGAGGAAGAAGAAGAGGAAGATGATGATTTAATTCCAACAGCAATTGTTATCAAAAACATTCCATTTGCTATAAAAAAAGAACAGTTACTTGACGTCATGACCAAATTGACTTTGCCTCTACCTTACGCCTTCAATTATCATTTTGATAATGGCGTGTTTAGAGGATTGGCTTTTGCAAACTTTACATCCACCGATGAAGCTTCATTGGTAGTAAATCAGCTTAATGGTAGAGAAATTGGGGGAAGAAAATTGAGAGTTGAATACAAAAAAATGCTACCACTCCAAGAAAGGGAAAGAATTGAAAGGGAAAAGAGAGAAAAACGTGGTCAGTTGGAAGAACAGCATCGCTCAAACTCGAATGCCTCTTTGGCATCTTTGTTATCAGCAGCGTCCACGACTGCTGCCACCAAGAATTTGAGTGTCAATGGTGCGACAAATCCAAGTACGACCGAGCGTTTATTTTTCACAATACCAGTTACTGGTAACTTCTCTGCTCCGCCAATTGATTTGAATTTTAACGATCCCGAAACACTTGACTTATACTCTCAACTAGTTCTTTACAGAGATGACATTTCCAAGTCCATTTTCGAATTGGCCATTTCGACTTCTAGTTTGAACTTGAGTCAAAGAAAAATTTTGTCTGTAATGTGCAATTACTTGAACCTACTAGAATTGTTTGATAATGGTTTAATCATCGTGAGGAGAAAGCCTGGCCACGTTGCCCAGGGTCTTATTAACCAAAGCACTCAATCTCCACAGCCACCTTCACATTCAAATTCCATGATGAATTTGAATCAACATACTCAGCTAAATGCGCAAGGACACCCGGATTTATTGAGATCTCAATCTCAATCAGCTTTGCCATTACCTAGATTGAGACAACAAACATCAACACCAATCCAACTGCATTTTCCTCAGTATAGTCAAGCAGCTCAACAGGGATCAACTGGACCACAGTCACAACAAGCGAGGCCATTTTCCCAGGTTCAATCTTTTAATATGTACCAACAACCTGCACAGCAGTCACAGGGTTCAACTCAAGCATCGCAACTAGCCAATCCGAATATGGGTTCTACCAGTGCGGCAGCTTTACTAAGATCTTCTAATAATAGATCTTATGTGGACATTAGATCCACCCCACCATTGTCTAATTCATTCAATCAGCAGCAACAGCTGCAACCTATCATGGATTCACCCATCCCACTGCAGCCTCATCAGAATCAGCAAAATTTTTTCCAAGGGCTGGGGTTACCAAATAGCTCCCAACCATCAACCCCTCTAGCTGGTAATGATATCAGCTCGAGGTTTCAGCCATTTGCGAATAGTCACTTGTCGGGCAGCTTTACGTCATTGCAGCAAACAAATTCAAATGCTCCATTGGATGATATCAATTTGAATTCCTCAAATGGGAATGACTCTTTAAACAATCAGTTCCATTCTTTAAATGTGACAAATTCGAACAATTACGATAGTTCTTTAGGAATTTGGGGACCCAAATAGTTTCATTTGCTTTCTTGAATGCTAAAACGTTTTTTAATGACACGGCACTTATGTTAATGAATTACGATTACGATAATGAATCTTTTCGCTAATTGAGGTAATAACTACCAAAAGAAGAAAGAAGCGTGAAGAGTGTCATCCATTAAAATTAAATGTCTTACGTTAATGGGCACCAATTCATATATCATATATGCCCATTTTTCTCTCCAAATTGCATAAACTTGCCTGAGGAGCAAATTGGAAATAAAAATATACGAATTATTAGCAATGACAGTTGTATTTAATCA